AGTTCGGGAGATGGAGCGCTGCTTGTCTGTTTTAGGGCGGCTTGGGGGGGACCTCAGCTGTCAGCCAGGTGCACTCCGTTCGTCAAGACGGTGCCAGCCCCCCACCAAGCTGCCCCCTAGGTGTGAAATGTGCCCCCAATCCTCTTCATTCACGCCCCATCACACAGCGACCAACAGCAGGAGCTGGCCTTGGCACAGGAACAGACTGCTTCATGCAGTCAGTATACGCTAAGGAAGCAGGGGAATTATTGATTCATGTTTCAGAGAATAGTTTGAATTAGAATTAGATGACACGATTGGAGTCTCTAAGTTTACTGTATTGACTGGAAACACACTCAAACGGTCATGCTGCCCCTCTAAAACTCAAATAACATGTTATATTCTTAGCTGATGTCTTCTGCATGTACAAGTGATGCATAATAGCCATATAAAGTGATGCAAACAACTGAAAAACCCGGGGCATAATAAGACCCAAACACTTCAGGCCCTCTTTCGTTCACTTTGAAAATACGGAAGAGTTAAAAGTGCAGCAGTTTTCAGTCCTTTAGGTGTTAAGATAAGACAAGACAATCCTTTATTAGCAGGGGAATTTCTCCTGTTTCATCCTGAGATGATTGGCGGCTGGAAACGGTCAACGGTCATTTGAATCATGCATTTAAAGTACATGTTGCTGGACTTGACTCGTAGCATTTTTCTGTGACATGTGCAAAACATGCAGACAAAGGGACATTTCTACTGTTTTGCAGTTAAAATCATTTACGCAATATTTTATGTGCACTCTTGTCTCTGTTTAGTATTATTCCCCTTAAGGTCCTGTCTTTCTAGTCTTTTGAGAATACGTAATTAAGATTAACATTTGACATCTGATAAAGTATTGAAGAAAATGTTTGCTTTTAAGGAGGGAATGTCGGATTGCAAAGAAGTCAGGGTTCAGGTTGGTTGCTGAGTTAAATTATATCTTTCAGTGTGGAATTTAAGAAAGGCTACTTTCAAAGAATTTCCACATCTGCTAAAAGAAAAGAACATTTGTGCGCACACAACGGGACAACCACTGAGATCTTTATAAGGTGATGGATAACCGAGAGTCAAAAGATCGTCTGACAATAGTGGTTAACAAGTTGTAAATGTAGCTCAGATGGGCGGAAGGCTGTTTTACCTCACATGCTTTACCGTAAAAAACAGCTTAAAAAAAAGGTTAAAAAAACATCATAAACTGTGGAGCAGGGGAAACAAACTCCTTGACTACCTCTCTTTGACATGAACTGTTGTTTGGGTGGTTCTGATCAAAGTGCAGTGGAGATCTCAAGGTGTGCGCGTGGCGTCTGTACGCGCGTGCTGTGGAGGGGAGAGAAAATCAAAGCATAAGGAAGGGCATAGAGTTGAGTCTGCTGTGTGTGCTCAGCCCACAGCCGTCCACGCTGCAGGATGCCGTGGAACATGTGATAGGGATGATCGCCCCCCCTCCCCTGCCCACACCTCATCCAACTCACCCCCAAACTGTCCTTTTGACCCAGATCTCCCACACCTTTCTCTCAGCAGCCCACTCGTCTCTTGTCTTTCTCTTTTTTGGTCTTAGGGGGTCTGTCTGTCTTTCTTCTTGTCACTTCAGTCGGATCCCTCCAGCCACGAGCCCCGACAGGCCGCAGTGCAAACGAAGCCGTGAGTTGATGTAACGAGCCAAAGAATGTCACCTCTCAGGTATGAAATTGCGTCGAGCGTTAAGTGACAAAAGAAGATAAAAAAACAGCGGTAGAAATAAATACAGAGCAGACATACAAGAGGGGAATCAAAATAAGGCCATGAACATGGCAACAAAAATGTCAAAAAAAGGTCTTGGAGAATAAAGATGAAGTGGTAGTGATAATGCATGTACAAATATAAAAATGCATGTTTTAACATGAACGTTGCCTCTCGGCTTCAGATGAGTCTTTCCGTCTGGAAAAAGAGGTTAAAAGGACTTGTCATGACAGCACCTCTGATTTCCACCTCAAATGGAAAAAGAGATGGAATAAGATTAAAGGAATAGTGACGTTTATATCTAGTAATGCTGAAAGAAAAGGTGAGCATAAATATTCCATTTCCCCGGGTGTTGCTTCAATTAGGGTCGACTTGTTTTTTTCAGTAGGAGAACAGTTTAGGTGCCTGTTGCAAAAGACTATAAATGGAGGGCCTAAATAAAAACATGTTCCCTATTTGGAGCCATCACTACACGTCTATAAAGTAGTTTTTCAGGCTTTCAAAATATAGATCAATTATCACCTATGAACTTTAATAAACATGCAAACATTTTACATCATGCACTCAAAGGCCACAAATGAAATCGGTTTTCATTAATAATGTCAAGCTGTTCTTTCATACCTCACCTGTCAGGTATGGATCAAATGGGACCTTGGCGAAAACAGCTGGATTGTTCCAAACACAAAATTACAAATATGTCCGACGTAGAGTTTAAATAAAAGAGTGAAAACGTCCATCTGGGTTAAACAAGCACATCAAAATACTTATTTTTATTCTGCAGCTGTTACTTGGCCGCTTCGACATTCTCCATTTGGTGATTTTAATTGTTGACAGAAGGCATATCCTCATATGCCTTCTGTCAACAATTAGAGATAATTTTGATGGAAAAGTCCTAGTCAGCACCAATAAGTCTGCTTCATTCTAAATTGTAAAAAAGTTAGAAGAGAAATGGTAAGAATAAAACATCTGCTCGCTGTTGTATTTGCGAATAGTAAATTACGTGCCGTCCCAGATGTGTCCTGATGTGAGCTAAACTGATAGAATACAGTAATTTAAGATATTATGGATGGGTAGATTAAACAGAAACGTGAGAGGTATGGCTTTTCATCTCCATGGGGAATTTCTCACATCATGGTCAGTCTCTGAGGAGATTGGAGAGAAAAACATTAGCCGAGGGGAGGCACGTGCACAGATAGACCCCTAGAGGTGCTCAAGCAACTGCCCTTTTGCCCTGGGTGAGAAAAGTGCCCCTTCTGCTGAAGCCCAATTGTTTCTTTATCCGATATTCACGAATAAAGAAAACTCTCTCTGTCACCAATTCCCCCCCAAATGTGTTTAGATATTTTACGGGGCATTTATTTAATTTCTTGTGAGAATTTGGCCCCGACCTGCTCCGCGGGCCAAACAGGTAATGACGGTGTTTGTGCAAACCCCCGCCACGTTGTTTGGTGATAATTTAACCACAACATTAGCGCTGCTGAAAACATTATGTCAGAACTGACAGTTTCCTAAAAAATGAACAAACTCACAAGATCCTTGATTTCGAAGTCTCGTAGATCTGTTTACTGGCGTTTGTCATGTTTACTGAAGGGAGAGATGCAGACAGACAGGCAGAGAATTTAAAGGCAGTTTTACTGTTCTACAAATTAGACAAGTTCACTGGTTTTGTTTAATTTAACTCAATTGTTGAAATTAAAGGTCTTAAGTTGAGCTACAAGCCAGTGTGGTGAGGTATATTGTGGTATATTATTAGCTGCTTATGCTTCAACTCTGTCGGAAAACAGTACAAAAACAATTATGCAACTACGCACAACATCGATTCATCTCATTTACAACATTTTCAGCAGAATGCCAAGAAATGAGAGACTCCAAAGAGAGAAGCACCGGGAAATATCCTACTGTGTTTTTTTTATTTATTTAGTTTATTATTAAGTTCATAAATCATTTTGGCGATGGGTGCCCTTTTGTTTTTGTTTGAGCACCTGCCCCCCAAAATGTCTGTGCACGTGCCTGCTAAGGGCCAGTTGTCACAGCGATAGGACAGTGTCCATCCTGTGAATTTCCTAAAATGGTTGAAAAATAAAAAAGTTCTTTACATGCTAATACTCATGACGGTACCAGCGCTGGTGCTAGTGCATCTACTACGGCGCATGAAAGGTGGTTAATTAAATCCAAAGACATAACCTGTATGTAGTTAAACAATCTAAATATGCAATTATCTAATATAAAGAATCTGTTAGTATATGAAAAGAAGAAAGAATCATGTATGTGAACTGATCCTGTGCATTTTGTTGTTGTTTGACCTGTGAAAGGGCAAAGACTGGCCCCTCTAGTCTATTAGACTTCTAGTTCAAATAACCTAGACATACTGTTTAGGTTATTTGAACTGCTCTAAATTACCAGGAGAAGAGATGTGACCCTCTGCATACTTTAGTTTTCTAAAGGTGGAGGTCCAAATAATGTGAATAAGATGAAGAATCTTCAATGGATGAACATTTAATAAGTAAACACAATGCATAAGAGATAATCTATTTTTATGAAGGGTCATGGATCGACAATAGTCGTTTTTGAATATGAAATTACATTTGTGAACCCGAGTGGGAAAGGTTCAGGCCAGTGAAAAGTTGTGTGTCTGGTGTTCTGTGTCAGATCCTATTTTTTTTGTGATGGTCATTGGTGGGACTATACTCCACTCTAGTGGTCAGAGTATATTGTCGTTAGTATTAATGCTGTTCTTTCATAGTTCACAAGGTTCACACACTGCCTGCCGAATAAACGTTGTAGTAACGAACTAAAACTTGTTAGTGAAACATTGCTAATCTGCCTTACTGTTTTCAAGCAGTAGTGATTAATTAAATGACTGTTTCTGTATATGTGAAATTATTTTATGATAGGCACAAGACTGCTGGCCCCTCACATATGCTCCATTTTTCACAGGCCCTCAGGGCTGAGACACTGAACATTCGATAACTTTTATTTTGTCTGAGAACATTTTTAACAATAAGAATTGTAGTTGCTCTAACGTTGTGCTTTAAAGACGGGGTATACAGCATTTGTATTCATTATTTTCATCCACTGTCAGAAATGATTCTCAATATCAAAACAATTAAACTAAACAGCAAGTGTGTATGTTATGGACCTGTCTTTGATATGTCTTTACATGCCCACTAATCTCAAAACAAAATTAATTCAAGACTAAAATATAATTTGTCAAAATATAACTTCAATAATGCACACTTGTAGTAACCTGGATACTTCCGGTTCAGGTGAAATATATTTACGACAGTCAGCACGACACTACTTTCCCACTTTACGACTCTCTTGGAGGCTGATTCAAAATGGAGTAGAGGCTTACAGGTACTAATTCGACCCCGACCGAATAGCTCTATAGACATTTTTTTTGTATCGTTTTCTTTCTTTCTTTTTTTTTTGTCTACAGAAAAAGCTTGTCGCCAAATCACGAGCCCGCTTTGCGAACAAAATGACGGACGAAAACAAGTCCGGCTCCCTCGGCTTCTTCTCGAGCTACGACGATCTGAGCGACAGCAGCGACGGCAGCGGCTCCGGCGACGAGGGCGAAAGTCGGAAGAGGAAAGCGGCGACAGACGCCGCGGGAAGCGGGGCTCCGGGCTCCGGGCGGGGCACCAAACGGGCCGCCGGCGGGGCTCCGTTGCCCAGACCCGACGAGCTGTTCGGCTCCGTGTCCAAGCCGGCTTTCCTCTACAACCCGCTGAACAAGGAGATCGACTGGGAGAGTCTGGCCGTCAAAGCCCCCGAAGAGGTAGAGGCGGCGATGTAGGGGATTCATTGTGCAACAACAACAACAACATCCACGAAACACAAACAGTAGAAACGTCCCCGCGGGTACATTTGTTTTGTGTTTGCATTCAAAAAGCAGCACATTTATTACAACCATAAGAGATTTAGCACATTGGCTTTGCAGCTTCTCTGCTTCATGCTGTTTTATGTGGTGGTGGTGTTGTTGTTGTCATCGATATGTGACTATTTGAAGGATGCCATAGTGGGTTTTCTTTGCACATTGATGAGAAAGTTGAAAGTAATGTTGTAAGTAAAAACGCACAACATCCTCCTTTCACACGCTGATGACAGCAGCTGCCGCACACGGTGTCACCTGCCCATCAGCAGCGAACATTCACACACAGCAGACGAAGTGTCTTACCCAAGGACACTGCAGGTATTGGGGCCTGGGATCGAACCGCCAACCCTCTGATTGGAGGACCGCCGTGCTCTCCGCTCGCCCACTATAGTCACAATTGATTTAGATGTCACGTCTGTGCTACACCTACTACAAGCTTTGTTCAATTATCCGTATTTAACTTTTCAAACCGTTGTGTAAACTCAGCAATGGGGCCCGACTGCCTCCCTGCACCATTGAGGCTACAGCTCATTGATGTTGATAACGTCCAAACTGGTCTAATTGCTGTTTTTTCTGTGCTACTTGAAGCCTGCCAGAGAGTTCAAGCCATGGAAGACAAACGCTGTGCCCCCGCCTGAGAGCTACGCCTCCGAGCCAGAGAAGAAGAAGAAGGGACCCCCCCCGGGCATGGACATGGCAATAAAGTGGTCCAATGTGTACGAGGACAACGGGCAAGACGCACCACAGCCGTTCACCGGCAACGCCCGCTTCTTACCCACAGAGGAGGAACTCCCTGAATCAGGTCAGTCCTCAAATGCAATGGGAAGCAAGGCACCTTTTCTTTTTTTTCACTCTCCTTTTTAGAATGTATAAACCGCGTGCTGTTGAGTTACTCAAAAATCCCTGCTTTCCACTCTCCATCCAACCCCACAAAATCCCCCGAACCAACCACCATTACCGCCGTCCTGCTGGCCGTCAGATGAGGATTCCGATCAGCTGGACCTGTCGGGCAAGAAGCGTCGAGTGGAGACCTTCCAGCAGAAGGAGAAGAGGAAGAGAGACATGGGACAAGCGACCTCTGACAAGAATTTCGTAGAGGAGGAGAAAAGGATCCTCAGGCAAAATATTGATTGAGATCCAGCTCGCCTGCAACAATCAATGTCTCTTCTTTAAATACTTTAATGTCGACTGAAAGCGCTCACAGCTGTAAGCACAGGGGTCGAGTAGGTGTTATGCTGCAGACATCAATAGGCATTTCACCTACATGTTGACATTTGCAATATTATAGTATTCGTTTTTTGTCAAGGGACCGTGTGCACACTTTTTAAAAAGTATAGTTAACGGCAGCTCCACTGTTAAAATTCCAATTTAAGAACTCAGGTTCTGGTTAATCTCCACCGACTGTTTTCCCAAGTTAAAGGACAATTCAGGTGTTTTACAGTCTTTTTTTTTATAGTTTTGGTCCTCATCCCTCTCCGATGTTCACGAGACACAGCTTGACTGGGTATTAATCAAACAACAGGTTCGGTCCCAGGTCTGCATCGCCTTCGCTTTACTTCCAAATATGTCATCTAGACAAGGTGAAGTGAGAGTTTAAACCTGACCAATTGCTCTTGCCTGGTAAATATAATATTAGCATTTCCAATAATGATGAAGGCCACAACTGAGTTCAAATGATTTAACTTCAACAATATGATTCAGACGGATTAAGCTTACAGGAACATAAATGTTGTCCGTCGGCTTTGCCCTGTTTGCTTTCATTTAACGAGCTAAAATAACAGTGACGGCCAGCTGTGGTGGTTTATTGTGTTTGTCTTGTGTTGTACAAAATATCTAATCACCACCCAAGTATGAAATATATGTATTTGTGTGCGTGTGTGTGTGTGTGTGTTGAAACAGAGATTCTCCGACAAAAATAAGATTAAATCGCTGTGAAATGTTTTTAGAAACTGCTTGTTCTTCCTGCTTATGACCACTAGATGTCGCCATGAGCCAGAATGGAAAATACTCCCTCCATGTTTGTAGTGGAATCTGCTTCACTTTGACTGTGAATATTGGGCCCCCAAATAACACCCCGGGTCCAGAGTACAAGCTGCTTTGTGATGAAGGGACATCTGATCCTCACTTTAGAAGTTGGCGTCATCTCAGTTCTCTTGAGATACTTGATGCATACGGACCGTTTATTCAGTCTGATGTACCTTGTATTACGTGACACTTTACACCTATAGTAGATAAAAACCTCTTTGCATGATAAGTATTCCAATGTTTTTGTTCATTGTACTGTTTTATGGAGCTTCTGTTTCTCTCTGCACATCTGCTCATCGGTGTGAACGGTCAGACGCAGATCATTTTATAGTTTGTATTTAGTGTTCTGCTGTTTATCTTGAAGCACTTGATCAATATAAGATATTTTACTGCAGAGCGCTGTTCTGTCATTCATTTGACTTGTGTTAAGTAAGACACAATTTCCAAGAGTGCTACAGAAAATAGGCTTGCTATGATATTTATATTTAATCTCAGGATTGTGCTGGCCAAAATACTATCCTGATAATCATCAAATCTGCCTGAAATAAAATTCTGCATTGACAGAAAAAAGTTTCCATTTTGCCACACTTTGAGGCATCAGGCGAATTCCTGCCCTATCTGCCATTGTGGGTTGACATGAAATATTGCAGAAATATGCTGCTGATAAGATTCCAGTCTGCAGGTATGTGCCTGGTCTGAAATGCATTCCCAGGCCTTCACAACAGCAGCAGCAGCAGACTGATTTTATCAGCAATATTTACGCACAAATATCTTCGTACTGTATGAGTAATGACCAGCAAGGTCACATCCATCATTGTCAAGGAATCTGTTGTTCGCGGCTAGAAAGTTCCCAGAAAATAGATTTTGAACTCCTAGAATTGTGTGGAAAACATCAATTCCAGCCTATTTTTTGTGCTTTTGATTTTTTTTTTCATCCCACCAGATGTGACAAATGACTGACATTTAATAAAAGAGAACATCTTGGTCTGAGTTTGTCCTGCATACTAGCATTGGTCACTGGAGGCCTTGAAATGATAAACTACACCTCAACAAAATTCTCCAAGTCTAAACAAAATAAAAAAAAATGTTTGCATTCCGCGATGATATTCATCTATCAAGTGTTTTCTTTTTCCAGCCGGAGAAGTGTCAGTCACACTCAGCGTTTATCACCGTGACGCCTTTACTGGCAGGTCAAGACCTCATGACGGCCGTCGAGCATTCAAAGGGACTTTCACTGAGCGGGCTGCCTCAGCTGCCGCTATCTGACATTTTCACACAGTCAGCATAATGTCGCTGTCGGTATGCTGGATTGAGTTGTGGCTGTTTGCTGCAGGGGACTTGCAGACGATGCAAGAAAGTAGAATTCTCCTCCGTTTTCCTCTGATAGGAGCCCACGAGTCTGCGGCCTAGATAGCACCTCTGTCCACACATCTGTCCACACCTCGTCACGCTGATGAATATTTTCCTCGTTCATCTTCTGAGGCTGGTGGGAAAGTTTTTTTCAGATATTTTATCTGGGAACCAAGAATGCCTGTACAAGATTTCCTATCAATCGATTCGATGATTATTGACGTATTTCGGACTTGCATCATCTTTAATAGCGAAACCAGCCCTTCTGAGAAAAACAAGCACACATACTGTATAATATATACATACATACATTTAAAGGGCTACTTCTCCTCTAATCATTTAAATGAACACAATTGTTTTTGTATCAGATTCAATGTTATAAGTAGGCCGCAATCATCAGGACACATTCAGGATTTGGCTGAAAGTGCACTGCAGATAACAGTCTTGTATCAAAGACTCATCTCCAATAAGTCTCAACCCAGTTTTTGTCCATGACCAAGAATCTCGTATCAAAACACCACTTACAGGAACACACTGTCACCATGGTGTCCTTTGTGCTGTCACTTTAGATAAGAAGAACATCAGTAGCGTAATTATCAACGCTCAATATGTCGAAATCGCTTTTTTATAGAGAAACCAAAAAAGATTAAAATGGCAGAGAAGACTGTGAACTACAGATTCTTTCCTCTCACATTTTCTAAACAACAGTTAGGCAGTAATAGTAGTTTTGTAATTTACAGATTGTGGAAATGACCACTGATGGTAGCTGACATACTGGTTCCCTTCCTCTATTATCAACTAAGAACATCTCTAATATTCCATCTGATCTTCATCAGCTGCGGAAAACTATTCAGAACCAGGGATGAAAAACTGTAAGAAATGTATTACAACTTGGAGAAGCAATCTGAGCAAAATGGCCATAAAACTCATGTGCAGAAAACACATTGTTATCATTATTATATTGTAAAATGACAAAGGTCTAAACTTAACTTTGCTTATTGTACAAACACAATGTCCCAGGTGTTTTATTCCTTTTAGGCAAATTATTCCGACATGCAGAGAACATTTTTAAGGCAGGTCATAAAATTGCAATAATAAGTCACAACAGATATGTCAGGAAGAGGTTATTTTAAATGTGGGAACTTTAAGATTAATTTCTTTCTTTGACGCTATTGAGTGCAATCTTGACTCAAGGTCAACGCGGGCCCGATGAGCACTGGTGACTTTGTGATTTAAGTTTTCATACAGACAGAAATAACACGCAGACACGTCTGCACACGACGAACGCACTCAGACGGAACCGTTCGACTCGGAGATGATAGAGAACAGTAGCAAGAGACAGTCTGACCTCTTCCATGATAACCGTGTCAAAGGTTGTCTGTGGATAACGATAGGCAGCAGTCGGCTAGACGTGTGTGTCTGTGTTTGTATTTGTGTGCGTCTCATTCAGCTGCGGCCCTCTAACCTGGTCGGTAATGGAGGAGATGCTATCTGAGAGGACTCTGGGATCTGCAGCGCTGTGCTGCCGTTTACCCAATGGGGCTGAAGCGGGTGAGGTGGGGTGTTTTAGATGTCTCCCTTGTGCTTCCACAAATTGCCATGGGCCTTTTTTTTCCTTACGGTTTCTGATGATATTTAAAACATTTAATTGAAAAATCAAGAAAATAAAGGTTTAGTGATAACATGAATGAATTGGTAGAATATGATCTATATTGTTTTCCATGCGACAATGGAGCTAAAAGAGATGACAAAAAGTTTATAAAAATCACTGTCCATGGCATCATCTAGCATAAAATGTGTGATTAATAAATGCTACATTCAGCTTGTGGTACGATACAATAGTTCTCCCATAAGTTATAATAACTCTTTTATTATTAAGTTATAATAACTCTTTTATTATAACTTGGATATTAACCCGTATGGAATCACAAATTAAATTACGGTATTGTTCATGCTCATAAACCAAAACTCCCTGTTTTTATATAGAAAGATTTGTCTTTTGCACAAAAATGTGGCTATTAAATATTTTACTTTACAGCTTTTAAAAAGCCACTGGTGTGGACATAGATGACAATGAAAACTCATCTTAGCGTTTTTCTTCAATAGTAAAATATGAGTGAATATCTATGACAATAATGGAACGCAAAGCAATGCTACTCTCAAGGGACCATCCGCACTGATTTATACCCTGAGAAAGACTTGTGTCCAAGGACATAAATTTAGTTGCGGTGTGCATTGAGAAAATGGGCCGGCCCATAAACCAGCCGAGACAGAGAGCGAGAGACAGAGAGCGAGAGACACGGGGTGAGGGAACAATGGGCAGCCATCAGGGGAGAGCCCCAACAGCTGCAAAGCCCCGCATCCCAGCACTCTCTCACGTGCACCAACAAACGTGCGCCTTCATATACATATGTATTCTCTCTATGCCCCCCCCCCGCCGCACACACACATACGCACACAAACTATTTTCGTCTTCACACACTTGTACGCCCGTCCATCTGAAAGGGGGCCAGCTTAGCAGATGTTCTGCCACTTCCCTTTACAAAGGGTGCAAGTGACTGGCGGAGAAGGAAAAAAATGTTCCCCCGGACTCTTGAGTCAGCACGCCGAGTCTCTTGACAGGCGCTTTCTTCTGTTTTCAGTACGACACTGATGTAAGATGTGTATCAAAGACGTTTTGTGAGGGAGCCACATCACATTTAGATAAATGATGGTGAACGTACTACTACTGCATATCCTTTGAGCAAGCAGCAAGACCACGGGCAAAATAATCTATTGTAGGCGCTGAAATCCATTTACAGACCAAAATCGCACAGCACCACGGCTGTTCGTTGCTGGAGTCTGAGTTGAAGCAATTGCTGGTCGGTATGACCAGCATGGACAATAACAAACATATTTTGTCGCTGGCGGTCTTATGCAAACTATTTAGAGTTATCATTATTAAATCATTAAATGAAGACTATTTCATTATTAAAAGTTCCCCATGGTGACTTTAAGTGAAGCCTTTCAGCATTTAACTCGTCATTTGACCACAGTTTTCTATTGTCACGCATGCATAAAGCAATCACTGAGCACATTTGCAGCAAACAAAAATTGTAGACTTCATTTGTCAAAAAAGGCGCCGTCCATGTCCTCCAGTGAATGTGTTGAATCATTGCTACACTTCTGTCCGTGTCCCCCCCCCCCCCGATGCATACGTCTCTTTTACGAGCCTCTCCCCCGCGCTCTCCCTCTTTCTCTCTGTCACACGCAAATACACTATGCATCCTACAAGTTTTGACCTGTAAATAAATACCCAGACAGGGTCTAGTCAGTTCAGATGGGGGGGCAGAGCGAGGCGTCGGGGGCCTACACGGCTCCTGCAGAGCAATAACAGATGCTTATCATATTTTACTGAGGGTAGCCGTGGCGCTGAGGGTGAATGTGGGGCCCTGTTGACGAACAGTCTCCTGCGATAAATGCCCTCAGTCACGGGTGGACCTTTTACCGCAGAAAAGAGAGGCACTTATACTGGCGGTGTTGTAATGCAGTCAGATTCAATCAAAAAGGGAAAAAAAGGGTGTGTGCAGGTACCAAGTGTGTGTTCGTGTGTGTGCGCCTCAGAGACGCACTCTTACACCCACTGCGGCTTTTCAGCGGCTCATCCTTTTGCACATTCCAAGTAGAGGCTACAGCAAACAAGCGGCTTAAGGTTCAAGTGAAGTATGTTTCATTCCTTTCTCTGCCGTCTCGGACGCTCTTAGGGTGTCGGGTTGGGCTGCGAGCAGAGACGAGGGTTGGCCGCAAGGTCAAAGGGGAGAGGATTACTCAAGATACACTTCAGATAAAAGTGTCAGTCCAATAATCGGCGGCGATCCATCATGTTGCAGGTTGAGGTTTTAGGTTTGACGAAGATGAAACTACGAAAAGACAAATTCCTGACAACTTCTCGTTGTGTAAATGGTGTAAGATGGTTCAGAGCTGCTTGGCGATCGGCATTCTCCTCATTGCTCCTCTGTCTTTCTCTGCAGAGCCGCCCCCCCCAAGACAAGAGTAATTTATCTCACTGCTGGAATGCCTTCACAGCTACCAGTGAAGAGGGCGATGAAATGTATATGAATACACTGCTACTTTTAAATAAGTGCATTTATTGCAGGGGTGAAAGGGTTTCATGTCAACCGGAATGATTTCATGGGATTTTTTTGATGGTTTTAAAACATTTGCACTATCAGAATAGATGACTTGTTATACAAACAGCTTCTTATACAGCTTATAAGAAGGGTAAAAATAATGGGCCCATCAGTGGATTTAAATCAGAAAATCAAAAACGTGGTGTTCCAGATGTTCGACATTCTTCTTCCCAAAGTGTCAACCACGCACACGATGTGCCATTGGTTTGTTTTGAATACGTGCTATTGCGATATTCTCCTGGTAATTTATCTGCAAGATCCCTGAACTTTGAGCCAGTGAAATGTGCCAGATAGACAGTTTGAGCTGCAAACATGGGCAGAAGCTGAGGTGAGGCGCTAGAGAGAATGGAAGAGAGGATGGGAGGGAGGGAGGGAGGGGGCGCAAAGTGCGTGTATGCGCGTGGAGCAGAGATGTGGAGAGAGAGAGAGAGAGAGAGAGAGGGGGGGAGAGAGAGGGGGGAGAGAGGGAGGTGGTGCAGTTAAGCAGCCAGAGTGAGGCGACAGAGCGGAGGTGACAGCGGAGAATGGAGAGGAGCCCGTCCGCCCGGCGAGCTTTGACCGCGGCGAGCGAGGAGAACCCACTCGGCCCTTTCCTTCTGCGGCCGTCGTGCTGAAAGAAACCCGGGGAGGAATCAACTAAGAGAGGGGAGCGGAGGAGGGAGGAGGAGGCGGAGGTGGTGGGGGAGTCAAAGGAAAGGAATGGCTGATCCTCTGCGGAGGACTTTACTAGCGAAACTCCGGGGGAAGAAATCCAAGAAAGCAGCGACTGTCGGCGGATACCGCTCTGCGGCGGCGGATGGGGGCCGAGAAGGTAAAGAAAAAGTTTCGCAAACGCAGGTCGACGCGGCTCGCGCGGCGGTCCGGCTCGCGGGGCCGGACCGCGCGGCGGACAGAATGAGCACGTACGAGAATTGTGCCGGCGGGGCGGCGGTGCGAGCGGAGGCGGTCGTTCTAGTCCGGCGGGGCCCCCGCGGAGAGAGAGCGTCCGGCGCACGTCCCCAGGAGCCGGGCAGCGGGGGCAGGGTCGGGGTTAACGAGCAGCTCCCGGGGGTCTCGCTTCAAAGAGACGCGCGCTTCGCGGTGGGCGGCGAGTGCGCGCGGGCAGACGGGAGCCACCGGGGGCCCGGGGGCCCCGACGAACGCGCGCCGTGTGCGCGGGGAATCGCGCTCGCGGGACCGCGTGTCCAGGGGAGACACCGCGCCCCGGAGCCGTGGCAGTGCAGCGTCGGGGACTCGATCGGCTTCGGGGGCGCTTCGAACCGCGCTCCGCACCGGGCGCCGGTGGAGCCGCGTGCCGGGCTCGGCAAAGCCCCGGAGGACGCTGATGGCGAGGCGACGGAGCCCGTCGGCCGCCGGCGCATGGCAGGCTGCGCGGCGGCGGCGGCCGGCGGTGGACGCAACGCCAACCGGAGCGGGGATGACAATCAGACTTCCGGGACGAACTCGCTCGTTCGCGCCGAACTTGCGCACCCGAGCTGCTCGGAAGAAAACAGCGTGATCAGGAGCGTTGAGAGTTACGGGCCCGAGTGCGCGGGGGACCCCAGGGGGCCCGCGGGCGGTCTGCAGAGCCCGACCTTCTTCCCGACAGAGTTAGAAATATGCGACCTAAACGTGGCACCCCTCTGCGCCACACAGGGGCCGCCGAGATACACTTCAGATAGTGAAGATGAGGATTATTATGATAACGAAATCCTGCCTTTCTATGAAACGATCAGAGCAAAAGGTGATGGAGATGGAGATGCCGCAGAGCAGCCGCGGCTCGATGGGGACAATGAACAGCTCGATGTTAGTAGCAGCTCTCAGGAAACAGACCGGCTCAGGAACCGGCTGAAAGAAGCCTATTACCTTCTTATCAATGCTATGAACGATATCAACCTGGACGTCCAGCAGGTGAGTGGTGGTTTAACCGAGCAAGGGGCCACCTCCTCCTGTAGTAGCCACTCCAGGGACAGCCTGTGCTCCAGGTTGTCTGCCAAGAACATGGACAGTGACTCCTGGTCGTCGGGAGGCGACAACAGCCCCCAACAGGTGTCGGACACCGACTCGCTGCTGCTTTGCCTCAGCGGCGGCCCGGAATCAGGCCTCAGGGGTAGGCTGACCAGCAAGAGCATGGTAACCCTGTCCTTGACCGAGAGAAGACCCGCGTTACGGCGCTCTGCTAGTGACGGAGCGGTCCGGCGTGCAGGTGGACCCTCACTCTGTATTCAGAACCCCAAAGGTCTAGACACCAGTGCTGATAAAGGGGCCACGGAGGCAAAAGACGCGGCGTGGGTCGAGGCCTCGGGGGCGGGGGAGCCGTCAGAATCTCCGGTGCTTTGCAACGCCAACGGCAGTGACGAGCTGCTGCGAGACGCCGGCGGTGGCGAAGACCGCGGCGGGCGGCTGGACGAGAGCAGCGGCTCAGCCGACAGCCTCACGGGTTCTTCAGACAGCAACGCTGATGCGCCAACCAATCGGGGTCAGGCCAACCATCGGGAGCCGACTGACGTGCGAGCACAGGGGGCCCGATCCGTCAACAAGGGGCACGGCGTCACCGTCAACAAGATGCAAGAGTGGATGCACCGGGGCCGCCTGTTGTCCTCTGAGATGAAGCAACGCATCGAGGGCTCGTCGTCGCCCCGCGGCGGAGGCCGAAGCCAGGACAGGCCCTGTCCCCAGGGCAACCTCGGCATGTCTAAAGCGGGGGTCCAGACATCCAACCGAGGGGTCAAATCTGTCAAGGCCAAATCCCCGCAGCAGCAGCAGCCAGGTAGGAAGGCAATCCGGAGTGGCCTCAACTCCAGTGGACCCTCTAAATCAGGGACCACTCCTCCTCCTTCCTCCCGTCCGACTAGTGTCATCCTCCTGCGCTCATAGTAAACTCCGTCTGGTGGCAACTCCTCTTCTCCTGGATGCAAAGCAAAGGGACGAGACAACTCCGACCTCACTCCTAAGATTCTTTAACCGGTGGCGGGTTCTGTCCTTCTCACTAATTTAGGTGCATTTTAACACAAACTTAATCACACGCCGGGTTTGTAGGTGGGACACCTCACTGTGTAGTTCAGTAACAACTAACTCTCTCTCTCTCTGTGGTAGCTGCACTGGTGTTTTTCGTTGTGTTGGTTGGTGGTGGGTCGGTTTATGGACATAAACTGTGATCGTCTACAAAATGTCAAATGATTTTCTGATTCTGCCTTGATGTGCTTGTGTGAAAAAAAACTCCTGAAATCATCTGTGTCATGAAACCGCTGCAGTAGCAGGTGACGTCATGTTGTCCCAAAAGAGTTTGTTTACGTGCAACTTAAAGGTGTGATCCAGGGATTAGGTGGGCTGGACATGTGTCTAAACTTTACGGAGTTGGCAAAACAAACTCACCACAAGGTCCATTTAGTAGCTGCTCTGGAGTTTTCCACTGCAGATGGAGTTTGCCTGCTACGCCTCCTCCATGTTGACTTAAACGTTGACACTAATGACCACTTTCCTTTGTTTTCTTTTACACCGCCTTCCAGTGACGGTAACCTGCATCACAATACAAGGGGGGGGGGTTACATTCTGCATATACACATAGGCACCACTTCCTTTATTGTAGTGGACGGATTTACTACATGCATTTCTCCTTCTGTCCATCCGGCCCTGAACTGACTGCCATCGGGGCCGTTTTTAGTCCACGCGCGGGATTCGGGAATACCGCCTCAGTGGAAAACCTTTTATTGACATTCGTTGCACACTATGTGGAAATGAACTGGCATGGATCACAGGCACGTCACCACCTTTTTATTCTACCGCTCACGGCTTTGCGTGTTTGTGAGTGCCACCGTGTGTGTGTGTGTGTGTGTTGTTCTGGCAGTGAATCGATGACCTGCCGTGTGGGCAGGCGGTTGTTGACTGTCACGGTGCCGTGCTGCTAGAAATAGAGCGGGACCTCTGAGGCCGCTGTGCGGACGGCCTCGCATAGAGCCGTCTTTTACAACGCCACCCTAAAGTAAAGACGAGGGCACTCGTTGATTTTAGTTTCCGAGGCCTCTCTCCCCATTTGATTTACATTTTTTTACCCCCATTTTACGCAGCTTTTCCTTACTCAGTCCCCAGTGAACTTTTCCACAGCTGTGGCCAGAGGAATCCAAAGCAGTGCAGCAGCCACTGCAGTTATTCTCTGCGGTAGTGGCGTGTGTGTGTGTGTGTGTGTGTGTGTGTGTGTGTGTGCGCGTGCGTGCAGGGGGGTTGGGCTGTCATGACGCCTTCCTCTCCAGTCGTTTGCTCTGGACAGCTCCCTGGTAACTTGCATTTTAAACAGACTCCGGATTGAATATTTAGAATGCCGTTCCCGTTGTTTAACTTGTTTGCGATGTGCCACTTAATTCCTTGCCACAAAGGAGCAAAATGAAGGGCGATTTAAGCATTTATTAAGGTCAGCTCTGGGCTTATCTTGCCACTGTGGGCCTCTCAGCACCTCACAAAGAACCATTTAAAGAAGGAAAAAAAATGCCAGAGCTTTCAAAAGCTCCACTGAATTGCTTGTCTTGGCTTGAAACTCTTCATTGAGTTTCTGGCTTTTTTCTAAATGACGCAAATATTTATATAATTCCAGCTTTCTAAAAATAGATGTGTTCCTTCCCCTAAGTGTTACTCGGTAATTAAACTACACTTTGAAGTCACAGGACAACAATATTTTCTTGATTAGACTGCAGCTAATTTATTTCTGTTACGACTTGTCCTTTAATTACTGTGTAAAAACTAAAGTTAACTATCACCCTCAGCTGTGTGTGTGTGTGTGTGACTTTTTATGTATGTGTGTGGTTGAAGGATAGTGTGCACATGAGCATGCATATGCACATCTTCTGGTTTAGTTGTGCTGTGATCCGGCAGAGGTTTGGCTCGCCGGCCGTCAGTATCCAGGCTTCATGTTTTTGACAGACCTGGATTTAGGAGTGGCATGTCAGTCAAAAGCCACAGACACACAAAATGAAACAAACAGAGGAGTATGAAATCCACTCCTGAGGGGCAGGCAAGACAATCCATCCTTGTTTGTACGGATAAAAAGAACTACCAAGGAATAGAACAGACATTTTAATTATATATATTATATATTCAGTGCTATAATGAGACAAACGTCGAGGTGTAGTGTGAGCCTTCGCCCTCGCTGTGGCCTTCGGTTTTCTGCGCTTTGCCAGAAACCTTCTTCCTGAGCTTCAGATGCTGAATTTGCTCCATAAATTGGCCTCGTCTGGTGCATCTGCAGTTTCGACAGATTTATGGAGCACGGCCCTCAAGACATATCAGGTGATGGAGAGAAACCTGAGGCCCCAGGGTTCATACGGGATTATTATTAGATTAGAATGGGTCATGTGATGGTGTCTGCAAAGAGTGTGACATTCAGTGATTAAAACGCACTGGAGCTACTGCACAAAGCTTTGTTGAAGGGCCTTTCGGTTACTTATCTTACAATTAACAGTGTGTAATTGGGTCACACAGTTTGTCCATGTGCCTCTGTGCAATCCCCTTTCTTAAACATGAGAGAAAGAAACATTGAAAATAATTTGGGTTAAGGCAAGGCCCCGGGGAGGAAGTGGCGTTAGTGCGGCGGCGCTGCTCGGACGCCTCAGCGAGGTGCTGGAGTGTCGACACGTGATGCAACCCTGCAGGATCTCAGCCCCGCATGGGTGTAAAACGAAAGGCCCTACATTGAGAACCCTGATTACCATATGAATGAGCGTCAACAGGAATGCACGGCACACAGCGAACGATTCCCTCTGAAGGGGGAGCCTGAAACTCTGTATACACAACAAAGTGTTGTCTGTGCGGAGGATGGAACTGGCTGGTGTGTGTTTTGTGCTCATCAAAAGAGAAGGAACTCAAGAACAAACTGAAAGAACTCTGGGAAAGTGGATCTAGTGTGTTGTCTTAAGAGAAGAGAGATATTCAGTAGATTACGACATGAATATAATTAAATTAACTGTCGGGCTCACGTGTCCACACCAGCACAACCAGGAAATACGCTTTAAAAATCTCAAGAAAACCCATATCACTCTTTCCCGTCCACCAGTGTTTTTCTCTCGTTCACCCCTGTATTATGTGCTCTGGCCATCTGCTACCTTCAGGTCAGGGGTGTGTGTGCCCTGAACACATCATCTTCATGCCACGGCTGCACATGGAGTGTTTGCTCCGTTATGGTAATTTCCCTTCTCCTTTTCTTTGCGTTGTGTTGATGGGGTTTCAGTGTAGGAACTTTTACCATCGGCCTCTCCTGGCCAGTAAAACCCAAAGGAAGGAGCTGTTTTTTTTCTTTTACTTTCTTGGAAAGCTGTCTCATTTTGTGTGTTGACACATTAATGGGCATACGTTATACCTTTTTTAATTCAGCTTATAAAAGTCTCCGAAACGTTTTTCCTTCCTGGACCATTCTACTAGTTTGACATTGGAGTAATCCTTGCCTGCCAAACATCAGTTGGGTCTTTAAATGGCCTTAACATTTTTAAATTCAGTCTTTAAATGGCTTTTTCCGGTTTAAACCTAAACCTTTTTTAGTTTCCTATAGAAAAAGAAACAGCAAATCCCAAACCCAAGGCAATAAACATGAATCGATCAGCTACTAGATTTATCAACTAATCGTATTAGTTGTTACAAACACCAAATCCTCATTATTCCCATCTGAAAGTGCTTTTAATTGTGTTGTTGTTGTTAAAGACTTCAGAAATCAGAACGAGTGATTCCATTATGGATTATGTCTGATCCATCAATCGTTTGTATCAATAGCTGCATGTGAGGAGGGTAAATGCGGCCATGCTTGTGTGAGGGGTTGAGAGGAGCCCAACAGGCTGCTGATGGTTTGATAATTGACAGTGAAAACGTGAAACATTTCACTCATTAAGTTGAAACCAGTGTCCTGCCGGTGCTCCAGGTGAGCAGCAGACAGCGGCGAGGCTTTAAATGTGGAGCTGTGGTGCGGAATGCTGCTCGTGTCAGAACACGCTTCCTCCTCCAGTTATGAAAGACCCCTGAGAGACGATGGCATGCTGACAACGGCTCCATGCGTAACCATCTCACCTCTCTTGAGTCTCGCCTTACCAGATTGAGCATTAAAGTGTGAGATAGTTGAAATAGTATCATTCCTTGCATGCACTTCCTATAGAGGACAAACTCGATTATTGGCCTATAGTTTGTAGTTTTAAAAGATTTTTTAGAAGCCAAAAGGTTGGTGCACACAACGATCTAATTACTATTGTAATACATGCTACTTTTCTGTAGGTTTCGTGTAGATTGAAATTTAAGTAGGAACATTGCACGAAGACAGTAATTAAAGGGTTACACGGAACTGCAGCCGTGAGCAGATGAAAACAGATTATTACAGCTCGCCAGCTCGGGCCTACACATTAACCCTTGGGACTCGCTTTAGCGGCAGAAAACACGCTGAAAACGGGTAAAGTTTCCCCTTCACTCCGCAGTCGGCACATTGTTTTAGCCGCTGAGCTGCAAGTCCTCAAACACATCATAATCCAGGGAAGTGCAAACGCACTGCTGGCTGGCGTTTTGTGTCTGGAAATCCTGCGTGAATTAAACAGACCAGAAACTAAGAAGCACTTAAAGATGTTCTTTACATCCACGAAGAGTAGGATCTGTTTAAATTCAACTGCAACAGAGGGTCCGCGACGGGATCCCTCCTTGTCCTTCAAGCTCAGGGTTTCTTTCTTCAATGTGTCGAGAAATGTTTTAATCTGCTCTTGCAACTAAAATCTGTTTTATTTAATGAGCAGTCTTATAACGTTGGGTGAAAACACAGAGGAATGGTATTCCTGAAGCAATTTCATCCCACTTTTTGAAATTAATTCTCAACTGGGGAGAAAAGTAAGGAAATAAAATTCAAGGCTAGTTTCTGTTGTTGTTGTTGAAGCCGGAGTTCAGAGAGGCTGTTTGACTTTCAGAGAAAAGGAAATCCCGGGGGAGCCCTGTGCTCTCTCCCTGCCGCATTAAGGGCTTTGTCAATAAGAGCGACCAAGCAAAAAAAAAAAGAAAATACCTTGGTTTCAATCAACTGACTAGAAGTTATGTAATTTGAAACCATGTGATTCTTTTTTTTATACTTCAGTTTTCTTCCTTTGGAGATCGACTCTCAGATTGACCCACAGTTACTTGTGCACAAACAGGTCGCCCTCTGCTAGATTATGATTTTGTAAAGTGAAAATGTTCCCAAGTCTGTAATTTGGTGGCTGTAGCTCGACGTGCATGAAATGCATTTCCTTGAGGAAAGGAGGAGATGTTATTATAGCATGCGGAGGGCTCGTCTGGCACCCGCTGAGGATCAAAACAGCCTTTTACATGAGCTTACTGTACATGTCAGAGCAAGACCCGGCCCTCAGCACCTTGCTCTGCCCGCCTCACACACACACACGCACACACACACACACTCACACTTTGAGGTTATTTTTCTCTAGCTGCCTTTTCTCATCAAACCCTGTGAAAATAAAATCAAGCCAGAACATGACGGGTTTTGCTTTCTAATAACAATTATTGAGAAATTAAAAAAAAACACATATGGCCACACGACACACGCAAGGTCTTTTTAATTCCCCTTATGGGACCTTTCGGGCACCAGATCCCCGTCTCTATATTTTGCCCTTTTCCATAACACCTCTTCCCAGTGCCTGTACTTATGGATCCCCGGACATTTCTCTCACCCCCCCCCCCCCCCCCACACACACACACTCCCCCCTCTGCTTTATTCCCACAGCTGTAATGACGGTGGTTTCTCTTTTCAAAGCTGCTGCGATGAAAGAAACGTGTGGGTTCAATCCCTCCATCTCCCAGTGATTATTTTATGAATCTAAAGCCCAAATATGCCCAAAGCTGACACTCCTGAAATACTGAAAAATCACTTGGCGAGGTGCTCCAAGGAGACACCGATGGTGGGATTCATAGCGGGGCTTTGATCATGAAAACAAAATAATAGTCAATCCAAAATATATCAAAATCAGGTGAGACGAAACAAAGAAGTGGCTATTTTTTTGACTTCAGAGAAAGGAATGAGAAAAAACGAGTGGAAAACTATAAAACCTGGTAACATTATTCAGCGTTTCCACACCTGTGGTTTCTTGATACAGATGTTTTCTTCAACCTGGCAGAACATGAATAGTCTTAAGAATGAACTACATAAACAATCCATTGGTTAATTTCACTGCATTAATGACTTAAATGATGATCATGAAGAGGATTGGTTACGGGTTTTCATCCCTAGTTTTTAAAGTCTCCTTCTTTCTCTTCCCATCACACCCTCAGCTTTCATTGAGAATGTCCAAACCTCATGTGCTAATGGCCGTGAGGTGGGCAGGGCCAGTGAGTCGTCGCCACGGCGACCACCGCTCACCACCATCACCGTCTCCAAGAAGCGCAACTGGCTGCAGCAGAGCTCCCTCGGGAAGAACCACTGCACCAAGGACGAGCTGCTGGGAATGCTGGGAGCTGAGGAGGAGGGCTCCCATCAGCCGCCGACCCCTCCCAGTCCCTCCCCAGACCACTTGAGACCTTCAGCACGGCCAGCCTGCCTGCAACTGCCTCAGGTTAGCCTCAAGGCTTCTCTGTTGGCAACACGTTTGGGAAATACACTCATTCGCTTTCCTGTGGTTGAGCTCCGTAGGTGTATTGGTTGATGGCTTTGTTACCTTTTGGGATGGAGTCCTAATGCTGAGTTAACCAGGTGCTGGCTGTTGAATTGGATTTAACGATCTTCTCATCTTAATCCCGTACATAAATAAATGTTCCAGTTCAGGTGGATTCACGCTGTCCTTTTGTCTTTTCCTCACAATGACATAAACCGTGCATGGGTCCCTTTTTTAGTTTAAAACTTCTTTCTTGGTCTAGATCACCGTTGTTCCAGCCAAGGTTTCTCCTCACCCCCGCAGCGTGGACCCAGCCGAGGAGAACGACGCCGACGACGAAGGGGAGATCTGGTACAACCCGATCCCAGAGGACGACGAGCTGGAGACGTCTCGCCGACCCTCCGTCCGGCTGCGGGTCCCGCCTGGCGCAGAGTCCCACCGGAGGCCCAGCAGGGGAGGGGATGCGGATCGTGGCGGCCGGAGCCTGGGGGGCGGCGGCGGCGCGGGGCCGGAGCCCCCCGGGGAAAGCCTCGGGGGTGGTTCGGGAGACGGGAGTCAAGGCCATGCGGCACATTCCACAGAGGCACTGCAACCGCACAGGCCGACGCTGGCGTGCAAACCACAGGAGGAGGGGGGGCCGTCCACCAGCAAAGCCACAGGTAAGGCAGAAGAAGAAGGAACAGGCAGACGTGGACAACGCCACTTATTCTTACTTTCCTTCCTTGCTTTTTGTTAACAAAAGAAATAACATTTCTTTGGGCCAATGTTCAATGGCCGCTCGTTTTGTCACTAAAATGAACTACGACTGAACTATAAAAAGTATTTCATTCTTCACACTTATGGAACCAAAAATATTGCTGAGTTAAAAACACAAGTGTAGCCATCCCAGTTCTTTCTTTTTTGTTCCGCTCTGTTTGACTGGTGCTTTGGCTGTCCAATCATATCACTCCATGTCAGTGTTACTCATTAGTTAAACTCAAACAGACATTGGCCAGGAGGAATTCAACAGGCATTCCTCAGAGGAAACAATATCCATTCACTTGTGAGCGTTGGAAATTGATACTTTTTGAAAGTTCTTTCAAAAACTCCTGCCTTGAACGCTTCCTCATTAACACTGCTTTTAATATTTTATTATTATTTTACAAAAACAAAAAAAAACGATTAAAGACATGAATTAATTGAAGTGCTCTCCATGCACTTTCTGATTAACTTGTGTGCTCGGAGATTGTTGGTAACTCAGTACAATGATGACAGCCAGCACACGGCTCCCTGTCTCCTAATCAGCTCCGTCTCTGTTTTCTGACTTCCGACTTTTTGTTCCCTCTGATGTGGCAACACGGTAGTTTGAACCAATTGGCATATCTTGAGCTGAGCCTATAATTACTACTTTTGACAACACTTTTCAGTGGCACGCAACACACGTATGTTGTTGAATCGTTTGAATACGTTGAACAAAGCTGGAATAGAGCATGAAACGGGCTTTTTACGGTCAAATACAATTTTTTTAAAAGAGACCTTTTCCTATAAATAAAAGACTATAATGTTCGGTTTTACGGACATATCTTCATATAAAGAAACGGTTTACGGGGGAAAGTTCTCTTAAGGTGTTGCATTATCTCCCAGGACAGAGGTTCGATTCCCTTCTGATCAACTCCTCTATCCGCATCGCACTGCTGGCTCTCTCTGACATCCCTGAGCAAAACTCTCCTTGCAGGATTAGGATTAAACCCGTCCCAATTTAGTCTGTGTTCCGGTACGGGGAAGGCACTAATCACAGCGCATGGATCTAATTATATTTAGGCTATTTCTGCCTGCACCTTTTGATAGGCTTCATTCCTAATCTGCAGCACTGGGGAAATTAGCTGGTGTCATGAGGGCCTTTTTATGTTGGGAAAGCAGCTGCACGGACGTAATTGGAGGCTTGCGTGGATTGCTCAGCAGTTTTAACAGAGAAGTAATCTCGTTCTTGCCACGCACCTCATTTACATTCGGTCCTGAGCTTCTGTTTAATGAGAGTCACAGGCCTGGGGTAGTGCGGGCTTACTGGTGTTCTGAATGGTCGCTGTGAAAACGAGAGAGCCAGAGCACAAGTGTGGCTTTTCTTTCCTCTTCTCCCTCCCGCTCCGGAACTGCCTCCCTCTCTGCTGCCTGTTGACTTTGCAATTGATTCCTGTGAGTCTGTCCACGGCATCCCACACATCACTGCAACTAAAAAGGGGCAACAAGCCCGGCTACGAGTCACCAAAGAGGAAACACTGATTACTGGGTGTTTTTTGTTGGCGTGTGCCGCAGTTGCAGTTTGCCAAATCAAAAGAAAAAGGTAGGAGGGTAAAATATAGCTCAGTTAGAAGCCTCCTGTACCTGACATGAATTAAATAAAAACCAAAATATCTGAAGTGGTCAGTGAGGTTATGGTTCAGGAAGAGGCTTTGCCAGGCTCTATAATCTATTTCTTTATGTCAATGTAAATCATAATGCAACAGTATCAAACAACTGACAGCATTGTGAGTGATATACCAAAAGAGCTATTACCGTTGTTTTGCACATTTTATTCCTTTAAAAAACAAACTCAACTATAATCCTTTAAGGCTTCGTTTGTATGCCAAAATAGCAGATCAGGAACTGCTGTACCAAATTAAACTTCACCAATGTGTCTGTTGGTTGAGGCGTCGTTGTTGCCCCAGCAAGATGTCGCTTTACCGCATTTGTGTGTGTGTGGCTGTTTGGGAACCACATTGTGTGTTGTACCACCACATTTCGGTAAACGTACACCTCGTAGGGAACAATGACCTTTGATTTAAGCTTCGACAAAGTCTTTAAGCAGAACACAAGGAGTGCAGCCACATTGTTGAGCTCAAACTGTGTGTTATTCACGAATACGAGTCCTCACGGACTCCATTCTATGATGTGACAGGCCTGGCGTTGATTGAGCGCGAATAAGAGCGCCTGCTGAATTAATGAAGCAGTGCACATGTAGATGGCTCTCTGCGGCTATAGCTTTCCTCTGTCCGGCTGGCTGGTTCCTTTTCCCTCACCGGATGCACTGCAGACTCCTCGTGTGCTGCCTATTGACTGACTTTTTGTCCATCTGAATGCTCCATTTGTATGGAGAATAATGATTGATGGACTTTTGGGGGGTGGTGTGTTCCCAATCTCTTGTTCCGTAGCGCCTGTTTGGGGAATCTGACTTGGCCAACGCTCAGAATGGGATCAGGGCTATTTCTGGGGGGTTGTTTTGGTCACGCTGCCCGCCGCGCTTGAGAGTTGGCCCCGGCTGCCAAAGTTACATGAGAGTTCGAGCCTCGGAGCTCCAACCCTGGAATTTAATCTTGGCCGGCGATTGCACGGTGTGGCTCCGGAGGAAGTCAACAACTTGCGGGGGCAACCCTGTGAGAGCAGCACTTCAAAACCAGAACGGATTCCTCAGCTCGGCGCTTTTCTCATGGCTCTTTCTTTTCTTCATTTCCTTACCGGAGCAGCTGGAGAAAACGGTTCTAGTCTTTGTTTTAATGAGTCTCTGTACGCTAGAATAATCCTTTGTCAGCTAGAAGTGAGCTACTAGAAATATAGTTAGCCTAAAACCAGCGTTTGGACCAAATGCTTGATGCAACATTTGTCCTTTGTCAAACTTTTTAAAGGAGCTGTAGTTCCAGCACTATTATTACTACTCTGAACCATCAACAATAAATTCCGCTCTGCGTTGTGAAGGCATTCATTTTCTATTGAAGTTTATTGCAATAAAATCAGTCACTTTAAGATCGCATTTCCGCGGAATGCTGGTGTTGTGATTTGTTTTTCAGAAAGGTCCAAACAACGAGACCCACGCCTCGTTGTTTGGATTGCGGCGGCGCAGCGAGGCCTGTGTTGCATGCGGGCCGCCCAGAATCAGCAGCCACTCAACTGCAGCAGAGCCGGAATGCCGGCAGTGACGGGCGGGCCGGGCTCCATGAGGGCTACTTTGGCAGGGGGCCATGTTGTGCTAGTGAGAGGGCCTGCATGCTTGGATATATTAGCAGGGGTTTTGTAACTATTGTAATGAAGCGGTTGGGCTCCCGCGGCCGCTGAAAGGCTTTGCAGCCCTAAATGACGTGGAGCCGAGAGGAGAGGATGCAGCACAGAGTCACCCGAGTGGAGGAGCTAAAGGATAAGAATGCCATTCACCCGTTTTTTACGCTCGCCTTGTTTGTCAAGAAACGCCGCGGTCACGTTTGGCGTACATGCTCGTACGCGCAAACACTCACACACTCAAACTGGTTGTGGTTTTTACAGGGGCAATCAGCAGATTATCGGCCCCTCCAAGGCGTGTTTGCAGTTTGTGTCTCCTTGGCCGGACACACAAACACCACATTGTTGTGTGCAAGGTCCCTTAATACTGTATCCCAGGAGGAATTTCACAATTGTCTGACTATTATTTACTTTTCTTGTTGTTGAATAGAAGAACAATTTGAATAGAAATACCAGCCCTATTAAACCAGGATCAGGGTTTCCCTCACACACAAACACACACCCTTCTCCTGCACCTGTCTGCTGCTCGCGTTGTGTAAAGCCCTCGTCGTAAATTCCTGGGCTTTGTTAGGAGGTGTCAGTGGCCGGGTCCCTGAGGGGGGCCGCGGGGTCATCGGGGGCATGGGTTTCTCTAAATGCATGCATATTTGCATGCACTCTCTCTTTGTGTTTGTGTTACAGTAATGTGGTGAGTGCATGTGCGTGCTAAAGGGATGGGGGTGCACACGGTTAGCCGCATCAGGTGTCACCCAGAGAACTGCAGACCTTTTGCCCTTTGACCCTGGAACATGGCCCTGGAGGTTTGGGTGTCAAACTATTGCCCCCCCCGAACCTCAGCTAGGGAGGTGTCATGTTACTCTCCTGGCTGCTGCCACACGGCCAAAGGCTACAGAGGACACAGCTGCATGCGTGTGTGTGTGTGTGTGTGTGTGTGTGTGTGTGGAGCCGCAGTCATTAACACTGCAACAGTCTTGAACTGCTCTGCTTTACAGAGCCAGTAGACGTTGCCCCAGTTCATGTTGACTGTCAGTTCAATTACAGAATAGCAGGGCTGCATGTTGCTTGTCTTGATCCTTACTTTTGGAGGCTTTCGGGTAAATTCAAATAAATGGACATCCTAGATGTCCTTTCCGTGTCCTGCATCGCCCACTCCAAACTTCCCCGACTGCTTTTGTCCCTTTTTTGTCATGATTTGCTCTGAGATTCATTTTTATTATATTTAATAAACTAGAGATCAGTGTCATTACAATCAATAAAGAATTCTGCTACAATACAACCGCATTGGAACACTTTGAACGGCAGAGTTGATACATTACAGTTAGGTAGCAAAATGCCGTCTACCCTTTTCATACCTGGCATCCTCGTTTTACTGGTAATACTTTACTTTACTACATGGTTTTAAGAACTCAAAATATTCCTCATGCACATGGAATTTCACTCCTGAGAACCTTGTTTCGGAGCTGAGGCTCAGGCTTTGTGTGTACCCCACCCCACCCAGATGTTGTTTGGTGCCCTCCACCCATGTTTTCCCTCCTCACAGCGCCTCTGTGTCTGTCATTGGCAAGAAGCTGTGACAGGGAAGTCTACTCAGCCGGGGGGGGGTGAGGAGGCTAAACACGGTTTGGGGGAGGAATGCGAGAGAACAGCCGCGTTCGTTTGTACATTCACCGGCCGGCCTGCCAGCCTTCCAGTCGACCATCCAGACCTCTGAGTGCCTGGACAAGGGGCGCCTTTGTCCCCCATCTGCCGGCTACACCCTGTCCTGCTCTTGCCCCCCCCCCCCCGTCTTACCCTCCTCTCCATCCTGTTGGACCTCCTCTGCCTCCCTCTTTTCACTTGTGGGTCCTCACCCCAGAATAGCACAGCAGGTCCCCTCTGAAAATAGAGCTGGTGATGTTGGCAGGGTCAAGCTCTCTCTCGCTCTCTCTTCTTTCATCTTTGTACCTCTTTGTTTCCCTCTTACAGACCCTCCCTATTGTTTCTGAGGGGGTTCCAGAGAACGTAATTAGCCCACGGAGACAACAAAATACATACATTCTACACTTGAAATGAGCAATCCACTATCAGGGAATAAATGATAATGAAATTTTATCGGGCCCCAGATTTAGCATCTTGTTGACTATCTAGACCAGATCTAAAAGCACTTCCCATAAGGCACACACAAGGCAATGCAGCCTTAATCTCCAATGGAGCAATGCAGTGCTGTATGGCCTCCAAAGTATAAATAAATGAGTTGTTGATATAAAAACCTTTAGCAGCGTCCAACATTGTTCTATTAACAGGCCCATTCACAGAAGCTCCTGTTGAGTCAGGTATCTTTTTGAAAAAATGACAATGAGTCAAACTCAGTCCTGTAGACTGAACAATGGCTGTCACTCCTGCATGGAACTCTAGACTGTGACACGTCATGTTGTGGACATCTAGTTACAACTGCCCTCAAGGTTCAAATCAAAACGCATTTTATTTTCTAACTTCAATCGAGACCGAGTAACTCCAGCTCAGCCCTGAAGCGGTGGGAGTCTCTAGACAGACCTTCCCCTTCTGGTAGACCACTGTTATTCCCGGGGCAGCTGCTAATGACATTCCACTTCCATTTCCATGGTGTTTGATTGAATGAAGCCCACTTACAGCGACGGGGCCGCTTAGAAACTAAATGACGGTCTAGGTCTACATGTATAGACTAACTGTATTATAGTGCTGCTGTATTTATGAAGCGTCGCTTGCATATAAACCTAATCACTCGATGCTTTTCTGAGGGCCTGTAATTCATGGCTTTTTCTTTCTGCACTGGACATTTGAACAGTTGCTAGTAATCATGGAAGCGGAGTGGCTCTTCTGGCGATTACAGAGACTTAAGAACTTGTGACTGGTCTTTACCCACTTGCTCCTGCGAATAATCCAAAAATGTCCGTCCAAATATTTTTTCCTGCCCCAGAAATTTGTCTGGTGAATTGTTTAAGCTTGGTTGACGGCGTGAAGTGTCAACCGAGGGATAATTTTCTCGTGCCCTGTGTTTTCCTCTCCAGACTGCGCTGACCTGCCCAATGCTGTCAGCTCCCCTCCCTCCAGCCCAAACCCCGCCAAGAAAAGCAGCTCCATCAACTGGTCCTTTCCGGACAAGATCAAGTCCCCGCGCACCGTTAGGAAGCTCTCCATGAAGATGAAGAAACTCCCGGAGCTCAGCCGGAAACTCAGCATCAAGGGGAACCCGAGTAGCGGCAACGGCAGCAGCGGCCACGGAAGCGGCCACCCAGAGCCCAGGGCCCCTTCTCTCCGAAACCACGCGCGTGGGTTGGAGGTCGTCCCCTATTCCTCGGGCCCTCCCAGATTAGCTGCGTCCGGGGGCGGGCAAGCCAGCCGCAACGTGATCTCCCGCTACCACCTGGACAGCAGTGTGTCCACGCAGCACAGCTTCAGCAAGAAGAAAAGCAGCGGCGGCTCAAAGTCCGCCAGCAAAGGCGGCTACCTCAGTGACGGGGACTCACCGGAGCTCGTGGCCAAATCCGGGAAGCACGGCTCAGCGGAGGCGAAGGCGGGGAGGGGCAAGGAGACGGACGGAGGAGGCGGAAGCTCTAAGGTCAACGGCACGGAGCTGGACATTGACGCTTTCCGCCATTACAGCTTCACAGAGCAGCCCAAGTGCAGCCAGTACATCTCCGGACTGATGAGCCTGCACTTTTATGGCGCCGAGGACCTCAAACCGCCGCGCGTCGACTCCAGAGACGTCTACTGCGCCATCCAAGTGGACTCCGTCAATAAAGCACGAACTGCCCTGCTCACGTGCCGGACGGCCTTCCTCGACATGGACCACACCTTCAACATCGAGCTGGAGAACGCCCAGCACTTGAAGCTGGTGGTGTTCAGCTGGGAGCCGATGCCGAGGCGCAACCGCGTCTGCTGCCACGGCACGGTGGTCCTGCCGGCGCTCTTCCGGGTGACGCGGTGCCACCAGCTGGCGGTGAAGCTGGAGCCGCGTGGCATGATCTACGTCAAGTTGGGCCTGATGGAGCAGTGGCAGAACTCGCTGGACGGCGGGCCGGGCGGAGACAGGGAGCCACGGGTGTTCGGCGTGGAGGCGTGGCGGGTGGTGGAGCGGGAGAACACGGGGCTGATGGTGCCGCTGCTTATAAGCAAGTGCATCAACGAGATCGAGAAGAGAGGCTGTCAGGTGAGTCTGTGCGCGGTTCAATGGACAGAAATAGTAAAAGACGATGAACCAGCGCCGGCTTTTGTTTCCCTCGTTCGTCTGTCTGTTCTTATCCTGATGAATCTAAGGATAGTTTTGACTACAAACCAGCAAATAGTGACAAATGTCCAAGGTCTTTCTGACTAACAGTGAAGTAAGCCGACCATACTCAGTTTATAATGATACAAACAAACGCAAACACATATACTCACTATTGGAACTTTGCATACAGAGAATATTGTGAATTTTTGCTCAATAGTGATTGATTTGTTGTCAAAGTTGTTGATTATTATTATTATTTTTTTTTTTTTTGACGAGCAGTCTAAGATTGAAAGATATCAAACTTACAGTGAGAGAACTGGAGAAAATGAGCAAAAGCTATACACATGTAAGCCATTGCAATCCTTTTCTTTCAATAAGGATGAGGATTTGTTTTAAGACATAATGCATGTTTGTACATATGGATGTAGCCTCCATCGAGCTGCGCATGCTGTCGATGACTCGCAGAATAGGCAGAGGAGATGTGAACATCAAGTAAATAATTTACTACCAGAGCAGAATGATTCCGAGTTAAGAGACTGACCTGGAAGTGGTGTTGATGGATGGTGGAGCGATCCCCAGGATCATGTGATCACTTCTTGTCGTCGCCCCCCCTCGTCCCCTTCCAAGGCTCCACATTTCATGTGGTCTTTGAAGCCCGGGGAGAGGCGGCGGCGTTTCTCTTAATTAGTGCTGAGCCAGCGGCAGTAAAAGTGTCTGGCCACTGCTCCTGACTGATCACTCTGGGGGGGCATGCCAAGGGGAAGCGGGTGCCTGGGGCCAACAGACAAACATTAGGCCCCTACAAAGAGCCTGTCTGTCAAATCAGATCCCGCCTTTTGGCCACTAGTGCAGCATGCTGGGTGAGGGCAGGAGGGAGGGGTAACAGCAAACCTGAGAAAATGATTTTATCCCCTGATCTCTGGACTCTTTACATGTCTTTTATAGATTGTATTGCATGAGACCGCCAACTAGGGATCGCTTTCATCACCTGTACATTTTTCTAACTTCTCATAGGCCAAACTATGAGAGTTTCAAGTTTAGAAAATCACACTTCACCAGAAACTAACGCGTTCTCTATCATTTACAAAAATGTTTCATTGATTTTGCCTCAAGCATTAAATGAATGTCCACAGCCAAATGTCCATCACCTGGCCTTTCAACCTGGTAGTTTATATAATCCTCTGCTTTGTGCTGCCATTAAGCGACCCCCGTCTATTTCTGTCCCTCCCTGGACTGAGTTTCGCCCTCCGGCTCGTTCTTCCACTCCCTATCTGACGCCGTCTGTCCCCTGTCCCTCACAGCGTTTCTTCTAACCAGCCTCTGCAGAGTAGACTTTGTGCAGAGTATCAGTCGGAGATGAAATGTAAGGGGCGCCCCAGGTTGCAGGCAGACAGAGGTTAGGGCCGGGGTGACACCAGATCCCAGAGGAATTTGCAGGTTGTGTCACTAAAACCCACACGGCCAGACGTGCAACGTGTGTGCCTTTTGCAAATGATTATGTCGACGTTGTGATGGAGACTCCTTTTTTGAGAAATGGGTGTCCTCGGGGCTCCTCCAAGCTTTTAAGTCGCTGGATGATTGTGGGTGTTCTGAAAAGACTGCGTGTAACGCCTGTGTGAGGGACCGGAGTGAAAAGAGGCAACCCGCATACTGCCACACAGGACCTGCAGGCAAAAGCCATTTTCAGACGTTGAATCGGTAACATCGACGGCTTCCTCTGCATTTCTATGGCTCCAGTATTCTGTAAGAGGTCTTTTCAAACGGGACAGGACCGCAGCAGACTGCACTATATGTTCATCTACACAGACAAAGTCTTTGTTTTCTCACCAATCGCCATGCTTGCTTTTAAAGTTATTTCATATAGTAACTTTTCTAGAACAGTCTATTAATGTAGATTAAAACTATATCAAATAGGATAATATGATGGCATTTTTATAGTACATTTCAATAATGCTAAACACTGTTAAAAAGTACAAGTCATCTAATTCAGAATTATTAAGTGCATATTCTTACTATGCTTACTAGTGTTTTCTATTTGTAAGTTCACAGTATTTTGTGGTTCTGTTTTTTGTTTGTGGTCCATGAAAAGTGATTAACAATCTAATCTGTGCCCACGTATTGCCCTGTGGTGCGTCTGCTAATGTCACAGTTTTCTAATAATAGGTTTGGGTATTCTAGAAGATAAGATTGCAGTTCTGACATTATGGAAAAGTGACCTGGCATTGAAGTTTCTCTATTGTTTGGATTCGTTGTTTTTCTTTCGGGATGTGGTATAGTAATCAAAGTATATTTGGGTTTCAGGCAGATTTCGCGATAAGACTAGACATTTGAAACATGTTTTGAGAAAAAAAACAATTATCAGATTAATCTGCGATGCCGCTGCTGTTCTTTTAGTGTTTGTGTGTAGTCGTGGACTCAGGAATGCAAAGTATTTCTGCTCTCCGATCACACGTTAAGACAAACACGTGGGGAATCGTGTAAGAAAAGCCATCTGTGACGAAGTGGATAACTGATCATTATTTCTCTGCTCGTGTCTATTCGAAAGGTGATCAAAGGGAAGAGTTGTGTTCAGAGGAAGTCAAAAGGCCGATCGCTCGGACACTCACGAGCATTAAAACGTTCAAATGTGCTTTCCTTTCTTTCCTTTGATGTCTCTATAAAGTCTTTAAACTAATCCCACACCAGGGAAAAAAGGGACTGATCCCATCTAGAATCACCGAGGACTCCACATTCCTGTCGGGAGGAGGGGGGGGGGGGGGGGGGACTCATTTGGTTTTTAGCGTTCCTTGTGTCCCCCTCGTTTTGGCACGTAGTCCTGCCTGTGCTGCAGCCGCGTCGCCCGCGGCAGCCACAGCGCCGAGCCAAGTCCTCCATTGCTACAGCTGTTTTCCTTTTTTTTTTTCTTCCTCTCAATGGACTTGTTGTTCATTGTGCCCAGTGACTTCTGCTTACTTTCACACAAAGCCAAATCCCCACCTAATCTCAGCTCCTCTCCGCCTCTCGCGCGAGGCCTCAGAAAGGCCGCCGCGCTCGAACAGAGAGCTCGCATGCATGCGGCCCTTCTGGTGGAGGAGAAGCCACGGCGCTGCAGCGGCGAGTGTGTGTGTGTGTGTGTGTGTGCCAATTTGTTTTTTTGCTCGCAACTGGACCCGCCCCGCCACATTCACAGGCCCACTGACTTGACGCGTTACCGGGGGGGGCAACCTCACCAGTTGCTTTGCCTATGCAACATGCCAGACAGACACATGCCGGATAAATGATGGCATGTCTGTAGGCGGCTCTAATCCCAACATAACAAGGAGACGGCCAGTTTCGCCTATCAAGTGTCAGCATCTGGAGGAAATTGTGCAGGGTTCCTTTAGGTCACCCTGTGCAGGCTTAGGTAAAGAAACATTAATGATATCATTTAACGTTGCTCTGTCTGCTTCTCAGGGTTTTAACGTGTTTGACGTTGTTTTCTCTTGAGTGTAGTTTGGCAAAACACAGCAAAAATATTCTTCTACTCAACTTCAAATTAGTGATGAAATACACGGATCTATTCAAAATGATGTACGGCACTGTTTTAAAGTTAGACTACGCTGTGTGAGTAAACACATGTTAGTCTTGCTTTAAAGTTTAGTGAACAGAAAACACAATATTCTTCTAAAATGTAATTTTACTTCAGTCGGTACGCCGGAGCTTTGGTTGACAAAGGTAGTGTGGTAGCAACACTAGCTCATTTCTTCTGACTATAAATGTCAGAGGTTGGCAATGGAGTTAGAGTTCTGCTCTCTCAGTTTCAGGGTTTAAAACAAACAAGCTACAACAGCCTCTGTCTCTGTTGAGATGTTGCAGCCTGTGGTTAGAGCTTTACAATCAAACATGAAACTCATCTACCCATAAACGTAAAATTAAAGAGAGAAGAGAGGAGAGGGATTCTTCTTTCAGGATTTGCCTTCATAGGAGGGTAGACAAAATGAAAAAATAGCAATAGTAAGCAGATGAAAGGTAGAATATAAGGTGTGTGTAGTGTGAATAAATGGGTCATGTTCCGTCAAAGGGGCGCGATTGCTGTTTGTAAAACACGTGGGTTTTCGGTGTCGTCTCCCCCAAGTGTTGTGTTTACCTGACCGACTCGCGTGTCCGTGTGCAGGTGGTGGGGCTTTACCGGCTCTGCGGATCGGCGGCCGTGAAGAAGGAGCTGCGCGAGGCGTTTGAGAGAGACAGCAGTGCCGTGGAGCTGTGTGAAAACACGTATCCCGATGTCAACGTCATCACAGGTAAACACAAGGCGCGCTAGAATTATTCAACTAGGTGGCTTTCCCAAAGAGTGTCGCTGTCCCTCTCATTCATGGTGTCACAAAGCTTTTGTTTTGTAACCTGTAAAAAGTTCCGTCCAAAAAGATATTCACCCACATCACATTTTGTTTTACACAACAGCAACTTTTAACACTTTTATTTTGACAATCACATAATTAATGATGTATAATGTACCCGATTGTTTCGGCTCTGACGGCAATTGCTTTGACTTGTTGTCGGTTTGTGTCATTAAACAGAAGAAGTTCAATGAATGTCAGACATTTATTCACAGCATTTTGTATTTATACTTTTGGCAAAAGTTACTAAATAATTTGCACAAAAAAATCTTAGTGAGAATAAAAAATACAGGCTGTCTCACTTAATTAAGAGATTACAGCTTTATTGTCAATGTATATTAATAATAAAACAAAGAGGTAATTACTTAAATGGAGGCTGGATTTATTGATTCAGTCCTTTCCCCATAAAACGTGTCCTAACCGGCATGTCCTCTGCAGATAGGTCAGCACATGTGTGCGTGTGTGAGTCTACCGCTTGTAGTAAAAGCATTCCTGCAGTCAGTCAGTGCCTGAGGCCAGCTCCCCCCCCCCCCCCCAACACACACACACACACACACACATACACAAATCAAGTCATGCTGTACATTCAGGTCATTCTTTCCCCTTCAGGTCTGTGGTTGAGACATGCTCTATATTGTCCATAAGAGGACGCGTTTTATTAAATACAAAGTATTCAGTCTGGTTAATGATTAAAGTGGGAATGTTGTTTTCTTGCTACAGGAGTACTGATGAAATTGCGATTCTCCTAAATGTAGTTTAGCCTGTACTTGAAATGCCTCCAAGATCCCCGTGAGTCGCGGCCTCTTTTCCGCTCCGACGCTGTGAAATAAAAAAAAATTAAAATGCAAACGCTGAGTTCCAGCACATCTCGCAGTCTTCAGCTCTCCAAATCAGCCGTGTCATTGGATTGAGTAATGAATCCAGTAATGCCAGAGATGAGGGAGGGGTGTCGGGGGGCCGAGGTTGCAGAAAAAAGACCTGGTCATGATTTTTTTTGGTTTCTCCCACAAAAAGAGGAAGACCAATGGAGGCCCCTGGACATTGTAGGAGCTGCTGTTGGTTTTGGGAAGAGGCCCCGCATAGGCGTCGTCCTATCAGGCCTGCTTTGATCCACATGCATTTGCATGGCAGCCCAAAGAACACACTTAACAGTTGAGCGGCTTGGAAAAAAAGGGCCAAGCACCAGCGTGGATTGTTGGTTTTTGCTCGCTGCCTAAATTTGCTCCACCGAGCGAGCTGCTGTTGCAGATGGCCCTGAGTGGGTGGAAGAGGACAGAGAGGTGGGGGGCAGATGAGGGGGTTATGGAGTGTGCTGCAAAAGTGAGACATAATCATGGGTTCAGTCTTAAGACATACTGTACTGAAATCTGCCCGATGACTGACTGACTGTGCAACTTCTTCTTGCCAATATTTTGGAAAATAATATGTTACAAAAAATGATCCTAATTCAAAATGATGGCTGGAGGGAAGTGGAACCATGTGCTTTTATAGTCTACTTCTTAAATAGGCTAAATATTCCTATTGAAATGGAATTGGTTAGTGCAGAGTCAGGCTTGTGACTAATGACGAGCAGCAAAGGGATGAGCTAAGAGGGCTGGCGCGTCACACGGCTAATTGTAAAGCGGAGGTAGCGAGAGGGATTATGGGGAGATCAGAGTTCAATCCAAAGCTTGCAAAACATGCTCAGTGCGCGACACCTCTATTGTTTCAAATCACTCGAAAAGAATCAGAAATCTGTTATCCACATGCTGTTGAAAATCAAGACAAACCCTATTAAACATTATTATATTGAGCAGTTTGTGGTCATCAAATGATCTGTGAGCTCTGTAGTTAATCTGTTTAAGTGTACAGCTGCAGCATGTTGGGTTGTGTGGAGGCGGGATCTCCTTTAGCTTCAAGTTCAGACCAATACGGATCTTCTCTTCTAACTATGCAAGCACATATGTGTTTCCCTCAATGTTGCCGTGTCAAGTTCCATTGGCGTAGGACCTCTATTCCTTTACACACAAGTAGGCCTTTGCATTGTCTAATAGTTCAGTTACTCAAAATATCCGGTTATCCTAAGCTTCACGCACACATCAAAAATAAGCAGAGCATGAGCTCATAATGAAAACCTCACAGCTCACACTGGTTGGATGAAGCAAATTTCAGTCAAAGGGAAGTAATGGTTAACGTGTTTCGTCCTCTTGTGTGGAATCAAAGCTTTTAAAGTGATCCAACGACGGCCAGCTTGTCCAGATGTCTGTCCTCCACCCTCAGCAAAGGAGACTAGTGTCCCGCGCCCTGCTGGTGGACAGCTCAGCTCGGTTATTGATCCTTGTTTGAGGTCTTTTAATTTGCGTCGTCTGACTCATCTTTTCCATAGCCTATTTCCCTACTTTGCCCCCCCCACCAGCGAAGACATGGAAAGTCATTAACAAGTGGCCCCTTTGTTGCCGAACAAACACAGATGGTACTTGGCTCACGCATGGGGGGATTAGCTGAACCTTGGGCCGGCTGGGGAAGCAAAGGGGCTGCAGGCCTGTGAGTTCTGAAACTGCGCTCCGTAATCACGAAGACGAGTTTCCGGTGAATCGAATGTACCATGTGACCACCTCCTTTTCCGGATTGAGGAATGGGATTTGCACCTCTCGTTTTTTTAATTAATTTTAGTGTAAAGGTTTTCCGTGCCAACGGACAAGGCAAACGACACAAACATCTCTGCTGCCCCCCCCACCCCTCCGGTGCTGCGGGAGCGTGCAGGACAGCGGGGAGGGGGTGAAGGGTGTGTGGGGGGGGGGGGGGGCAAACCAGCAGGACAGAGAACAAACAGCCATTTGTTCTCCGGGCGAGGCGTTGACTGCAGCGCTGACGAGAGGGGTGACCTTCCGCTTTGTATGAACAAGAGGTCAAAGGTAGAGCCGTGCCCCAGTGCATTGTGTGCCTTGTAGTGTTGGGTGGCACATTTGTAACATTGTTTGAATGGATTAGGTAATAAATCATTCTGCCTGATTACACTTTTCACTGCTAAAATCTGTAGTTTTAATTCAAATGTTTTGAAGAATCCCTTCAGGAGTTAATTCTCGCCACTATTGATTCCACGAGTCATTTCAGTTTTTGGTCTTAATCAGCCACGCGTGTGGATACTTCATATCTCTGCTGGTTTAAAGCCAAACACCAATTGGTTCGACAGAGGTGAGGTGACACTCAGGGTGCGCTTGGCGCCGGCTCGACTGTGAAAGAAATGGAAGCACCTGCGGTTTAAACCCACCTGTTCACCGCTGAGCTCATGACCTTGTGTTTGCGTGGATCTGGCACCAACAGCCTAAGACACAAAGGTAAACGCTGGCCATGACTCAGTGCGGGCTAATGATTTACCCGGATGGCTGTATTCTCCTCACTTCAGGCAAACAAGCACATGAGCACGAGGCCGTAGTCGCTGGTGTTTTCTTTTTAAATGACTGAAATGGTGGAAACACGTAGTCACATATTGCGTGTGAGGCATAAAGAGGATGTTTTGCCTCTTAAAGCAGTACGATCTAAACCAGTCCTGCTCTGTGGTGGTATCGAGATGATCTGCCCCACCGCGAACTAAGGGTCAAAGGGTCTTTGATTTTAGACCCATAAAAGCAAGACGAGTGGTTCCTCTCAACATTGTATTTGCACACTGGCTTAACAAAACAAGTCTTGCTTTGCAGAGATACGGGGGAAAAATATGCCTCATTTTTGCTTCCAGGCAGTCTGTTGTTCCTGCAGTGAAACAAGCTGATTATTATTATCTCAGGACGAGAACCCGGAGGATGTTCACAAAGCATTTCTGTGTAATCAGATTTGGAAATAAGCATGTGTAATGCAGCGTTAAGGACGGAGAATATTGTTTTCATTGGTCTTTATCGCATTCTGATCGTACCAAACCCGATGAAAACACTTGATAACTGGAGTGAATAACAACTAAAAAACAAAGACTGAAGCATGTCGCCACAGGTCAGCCACAATGTCTCATTGGGTTTGCTTGGAACTGTGTTAAAGTTTGACTTTGCTGACCTATAGTTGTCAACGTGGTGGTCGGAGGGACGTGGTGTGCATGTTCGGGTTGGAGATGTTTTTCCTCAGAGGCCCCGCTGCACGCCTATGGAATGCACAACACTCTCTCTCTCTCTCTCTCTCTCTGACTGTGTGCCCGAGCATCCGAATCTGTTTAATGTCGTATTCAATTCTCCTCGTTCTGTTTCATTTTAAATTCCGTGGAAAAAAAAGACTGAAGAAAGAAAGCGAGATTTCGCTTTGGGGTCTTTATACCTTTTGAATCTAATGTCAAACATGTTGGGGTATTGTGATTGATGAGCGGTTTGACTAACGAATGTAACACTTCGGAGGTTTGGAGTGGGTTATTTTCCCAATGAGTATTACATTTAGTGTCTGCTGAATGCCACTGTACTGCCACTCAACCGCTAATCTGAGATTTAAGTGTAGAACTGAATTTAGATCCTTCTTACGCCCTTTTCCTAATTCATTTAAAAGCATGTATACCCACGGAGGGCAAACAGGCAATTTAAGTGTGTCATCACCTTAAAACACAGCAATGTACGGTTCCTTAAAACATTTGTTAGTCCTCTTTATTAGATTACTGTGTCATGGACCCACAATGCCAGTTAGGAATAGACTGCAAAGCTTTAAGCCTCAGGCTCCCTTAAAGAGTAGAACAGGGACTTACTGGGGTTTAAAAGTTAGCGTGTTAAATTGTGCCCTCCATCCTCCTTACTGAGCCTAAAGGGATGTCAGCAGATTTGCCGTGAACCTCATTCATCTTATTTTCTCTAAATAGAAGACAAGAAGCAAAACACTTGTATGTTTGGGAGGGAATCCAGCGACGTAGAGGTGATAAAGTAGTAGTAGTCCTCACCCACCTATGTTAGAATAACACATGTTCATGACTTGGGTGCAGACGATCATCTTATCAAATGTTTTACTGATAAACAAGAGATTGCCATCTTTAAAGTGCCTTTGTAGCCAGCGGTACATGGGGCCTACACAGCTTAGCTGAATACAGAGTGTGTGTTTAGCGTGAAGGCAACACCACAGGGACACACATAAGTCTTTATGTCCACACCCTTCACGCTGATAAACAATCATACCTACTATCAGAGATCCATTATTCTAGTGAGCCCACATGAAAACCTTCAAATCAATGCCCAGAACCTACGTCAATAAAACCTATTCAGCTCGTAGCGCGCAAAGCGCTACAATCTAAATGTTCATATGTCACCTCTGCATAAGTAAACTGCACGGACGCCTCAGTGTATTTGTGCCAAACTCAAACTACAATGGAAGAGGGGAAATTAGCAACCAGCAAGACCCAAATACCTCGTCCACGAGCGGGTCTGCAGGAGAGCGACTAAACAGCCGCGAGCCTCTGGAGCATCATAGCGTTCTGATATCAACGGCAAATACGTCATCATCTGGAAAACATGTCAGCACAAGCGTTTTGGAGCAGCAAGCTCTGGCACCTCAGTGGAGAACACACGGCGTTAACAGGGTCCAAAGGCTGCAGACAGCAAGCACAGGACAAGTCTTATTCTGGCCTGAGGTGCACGTCTGAGCCTACAGCTGATTAGATACGTGTCGTGCTCCTCAACAAAGCCGTCTCTGAGAGACACGATCGCACTGTTGGCTGGTGAACTTGCTCGTGAAGCGTTTGCAGTGTGGCAGAACAGGACAACGCTTAATTGCAAAGAGCGCGTTGGATGCGTGGTGCAGTGAGCAAATACAGATTCAGTGTCGCTGCGTCGATCTGTGTCGAGTTTAGCATTTCATACCGGTCAAAAACGGGCTTTGGGGCTCGTAACGCGGAGGGGAGGTCACTCAAGGTTAAAACACAAGTTAGTAAACCGAGGTAAACACGCAACAAACAAAGTCAGTGATGGAAGCGTGTGCTAGGCGTGTGCCTGTTTGTGGCTCACTTCCTTAATAAGTTGCATTTTGCACAACAGTTAAGTGTTAAGTGTGTCCTTTATATTTTACCAGTGTGCTTTGTTTCAATTGTATGATATAGTCATTTATTTGTATAGCCAACAGTGCTGATCACTGACCCCCCCCCCCCCCCCCCCCCCCCGGCCGCCTCTGAAAACTGAGGCAACTTCACGCGGAGTGAAGATCGAGCAGACACGCACCGCAAAGAGCCGCCCCGCTGCCAAAAGCCTCTTTAATTCCTATATTCACCCCCCCCCCCCCCCCAGCACACACCCCCTCCCCTTCCTTTTGCCTTTGATGGAGAAACATGCCGGCAATATTTCAGGGACTTAGTGGAGACAGACGGGTTTCAAGTTCTCTGGCAGCTTTTGTCTAACCCACGACCCACTGAAGTCACAGGTGTGAACCCCCCCCATCCCCAAACTCCCATCCGTCATCCCAGCAGACGCCACAGTAGCACCTGAGGGAGGACAGGGACCAGGTTCAGGGGCTTAGAAAAAAGAGTGAGGGGGGCTTAGACGTATTGTTAGTGATTTGTCTGTAGTTAAAGCCGCCAGTTCAAGCGTGGAGGAAACTGAACGAACTGAACTGTGAATCTAACAGCGTTCACCAAAGTGCTGCACGTTGTCTCTCTCCACCTGCTCAGGGGTCCTGAAGGACTACTTGCGAGAGCTGCCCTACCCCCTGATCACCAAGCACCTGTACGAGGCCGTGCTGGAGTCCATGGCCACCAGGCCTCTGCGGATCGGGGCGGGGGCCTGCGAGAACGACCAGGCCGACTCGGAGCACACCGTCAGACTGCTGGACAACCTGCCGGACGTGGAGCGGGTGAGCGAGACAAACTCGGCGTCCCTCTCCTGGCACTCCCAGTGGTGCCGCTACCTGGTCACACATGGGGTTGTGAAAGGGGATGGTGCATGGGGGGGTGGGGGCTATTAGTGGAGGCATGCAGCCCACAACCCCATACCTGCATTATTATCTCCAACACTCTTTCACTGCCAACTGTTCAATCTGCACATCTTTACAGCAGTATACTGTTAAACTTATCTGCTGGCCTACACGCACAGAGTAATACTAGACGCAGCTTGAGGAAGTGGATGTTGCCGTGTAGCTTTGCTACAGTGGTACTACTACAACTAATCATCATAATAATGACGGGTCTTGTGTGTGTGTGTGTGTGTATCAGATGACACTGCAGAAGCTCCTCGACCACCTGAAGCTAGTAGCGTCCTGCCAGGAAGTGAACAAGATGACGTGTCAGAACCTGGCGGTGTGTTTCGGACCCGTGCTGCTCAGCCAGCGCCAGGATGCGTCCTGCCACACCAACCGGGTCTTCATCGACTCCGAGGAGCTGGCCAGCGCGCTGCACTTCAAGAAGCACATCGAGGTCCTGCACTACCTGCTGCAGCTGTGGCCTGGTAAGGAACCGTTGACATTATATCTCATGACGTTAAGTTCTCCGCAGCCTTTTGGGCTGTTTGTCAAAGGTAACATACATCAGACAAACCAAACGTCAGTTGGTCTGTCAACACGGCCTCTTGCAGCATAAGACCTCATAGTCCTGCAGGCTTACGCTGCGGTTCAGCCCTACAAAGGGCCGGTTTGCTGTGATCCTCTGGGTTTTTCCACTAGTGGCTCGAGTACAGCTGATTCTCCACCATCTGCCGGCTCCTCGGAGATGAAACTCTCCACAGAGTGCAGCCGGAGCCAATCGGAGCCCAGGCCGTAAGCCCCGATGCAAACTGAACTTTTGAGGCGTGGCACCCCGTCTTTTAAGATTAACCACCGACCACGGACAGAAACCCGGTACCAGCTCCACGACACACACGCAGGCCATCTTTCTGCCTTCTGCACAGCTGCTCTCTGTGGGATATGAAGCAAATGACAATGAATTTAAGGAAGGCATCAAGAAAAAGAGCTGCAGGCACAGGGGCGAGTTGAATCTGTCACGCCGACTGAGTTGATATTTCTCGACCCTTTGTTATGTAATTTCTCTCTCTGCTCAACGTGTGAGCCGCTCAACGGCTAAAAAGTATAAATACAACTACAAACATAAGGTGAAGATCCATTACTGCTGCAATAGGACTGATCTTATTACTGTATTAGTTGGCAGTTCTGTGTCTGTTATGCTCCTCTGTTGGTGCTTAACATGTATGCTGATGAGATGCGACTGATGAGAATCCAATGTTTTATATCAGCAGTCATTGCTTATTTATCTTAATTGAAATAATGCATTATTTGGAAAGCGTCCCTGTGTCTCCAGCGACACCTTTATTAATCTGCGTGCTGTATTTTGTCAAATCTTTTCTTGCATCATTTAGCACAGACGATTTAAATCCTCAGAGTTTTTCGCTGTAACCTGCAGCTTTAACTAGAGCCGCTTATTGCCGTCCAAAGAAGAACTGACAACGTCTTGTCTTGGCTTCTGAACGTAAACGAAACCTCAGACTCCCACCGTAAACACATTTTGTGTTGCTCCGCCCTCCTTTACATCAACCGTGGAAGAAACACACGCAGAGGGAGGCACACCAACTGATTAAGTTGGCATTTGTGAATCCCAGGGTTGCTGGTAACCTGGTGAAGTACAAGTGGAATTAAACAAAAAAGTGCAAAAGAGGTTTCTATCAGAGGAGAGAAACCACACACAGACACTGGAGGAACAAGAGGAGTTCAAGTGGTCTGGAGAAAAATAGTTTTTAAGCCTGCACTTATTCTCCTGTCTGCAGCTGATGTCACACTATAATGGTTTGTAAAAAAACCTCCACGAACCTCTGAGCGCAGGTTCAAGCCTTTGTTTGCGCCCTGCGCTCTGTCTGCTTCTGCCAACTCACAGCGTACGACTCCTGGACTATAATTAAAGGAATTCCAGCCTTAACCTTCGCCCTCATCCCCCGAAGCTTCCCCCGAACGTTTCACAATCACTACGGCATATTTTCAGATGCCTCTTCACGCTTGTCACACACAGACACATACCTGACCCCCCCCTCCCCCCTCCCCCCCCCAAGACTCGGTTGACACTATTTACAGGTTGTGTGTGGGAGAGGAGAGCATGAACATATGTGTGTGTGTGTAGAAAAAGGCTGAGGGGGTGTTGTGTGTGTTTGGTGTGAATCATGTTGTTTGCCAACTGTGCAAATGTGCAAGTAGATGTCAGCAGGTGGTTACATGGACACAAGAGACATTTTTATTTCACTTAGCCTCGGGCACAGGGAGCAGTATTTTTGTTTTACCCCAGCCTTCATTTTTTCTTCTGACAAATAAAAACTAAAATCCTGCCGTAAGTGAATCATGTCTGACATGAAATAACACGTTATCTGTTAAAAGAGGATAATTCCTGTTTGTTTTAGGTTGATAATTGCTCGAGTTCGAGCATTGCAACTGCTGCACATAAACACTACCTTTTTTGTACACTTCCAGACTAAATATAATCCAGTGTTGTACCTGTTGTACATGACGGGTAACACTTTTTAAATGTTTTTTTTAAAGGTCAGGCTAGCGATGTCAACAAGTGTAGGCACACAGAGATAAAGACAGACAGGTAACCGGACTGCGCTCGCTGCACCGTCAGATGATTCTTTCATGTCCAAACAGAGTTTCAGTTGAGTTAATTTTTAATTTTGGTTTAGTCACAGTCGATAGAACATTGCACAGAAGAAATGGTATCAAAGAGTGTGGTGGTGTGTTTGTCTGACTTTGAGCACAACATTAACATTATGTTGGCAGCGCTCCCCCAAAGGAATGGACTCATTGCCGGCTTATCCACACGTCTTTGTTTCCTGGATGGACGTTCATTTCACGAGCCCATCTTGTTATTTTCTGTGATATCTCGCTGTGCTTTTGTTAGTGGTTTTGAAAAAATACGGATGGAGACAGATGCAAAGCTCGCTGACAGTTGACCTCAGACAAGTAAAAAACTAAAATGTCTGCATGGCTCGACACCACGTAGGGGTATATGATAACAGAAAATCTACTATCCAAACAAAATAACCTCTTTCTGTCCCCCAATGTTTCCAGTCTCTCTGCTAAGCTCAGCCAACCAGCCGCCGGCTGAACCGAATGATTTGGATTTTCTAATTCAAGAAATCAATAGAAATCAATAAGCACATTATCACAAAATGTAAAACCCTGAAGACCTTTGAAGGACATTAGCTCAAATGGCTTCTCTACATTTCATCTTTTGTCTCTCTCCCTGTCCCTGCTCCTCCAGTTGTGGACCCGCACGGCCGGTCCTCCTCTCAGCCCCCCGTGGCCTATTTGGCGCCGGCCGCACACGACCTCCTGTCAGCTCCTCCCCTGCGGCGCAGAAAAGAGCGGCCCCAGGTCCTGAACCTCTCTGAAGCGGAGATGGCGGGCGTTCTGCGGCCCAAACCGGGGCGCTTGGACAGCCCCAGCAACCGCTACGCTGGCGACTGGAGCGGCTGTGGCGAGAGCTACTTCCCCTGTGAAACTCTGCTGCCTCCCAACAATGAGGAGGCGGACTACGACGACGTGCCCTGCGAGGACACCGAGGCAGCGGAGGAGGTGCAGGCGAGGCCCGAGGAGGCGGAGAAAGACGACGGGCAGATGATCATGAGCCCTGCGCCCGATCCTGCCGTGCAGGAGCAGCCGCAGAGGGAGGAGTTGGTGAAGGATGAGGAAAATGAGGAGGACGATGAGGAGGAGGAGGAAGTAGAAGAAGCAGAGGAGGAGAAGAAGCAAGTCAAAAGTAATCCAACCAGCGGGGGGCTACTAGAGGACAAGGGGGAGGAGAGCATGTGCGAGCACATCCTGCCCCCTTGTCTGCCCAAAGAGCACACCTACCAGGCGTACATGAAGATCCAGGAGATCAGCCCCGTGCTGAGCAACAGGGTGAACCTCAGAGACCTGCAGGAGAGCATCGACACTCTGATAGGAAACCTGGAGCGAGAGCTCAACAAGAACACGCTCAACGTCGGATATTGACTCCGGCTCCGGTGACCCACCGACACACATATGCACTCACACACACACACACACACACACACACACTGAAGACTGACCTTCTTTACCGTTCAAGGTGCTTCAGGATACAGCTACAGTGTTTCCATGGAGACGCTGTGATGTTGGCGCGGTGCTTCTTTACAAACCTAAAGGACGAGGTGAGAAGATATGCAACGGGGCACTTCTGGCATCTGTACTTTACCCACAGACATTCCGAAATGTTATTTTATTTTTATCCTGTCGGCAGTTTTACTTCATGTTGTATGTTTGTTTTGGTCTGGTTCTGTGTTCCATGTTGTTATTGTTGCTTCTCTTCTTATTAGAAGAACCCATTGACCCCTCAGGGGTTTTAACGGTGCCTTAATTGTGTGAAGGTGGTCCGGCGAGAGGGAGATCCACCCTGAAATAAGACATTTACATCGAAGGCGGGAGGGTGATATGTTGTACAGCAGGTATGTGGGGGAGCTGTGGGGCTCGACTCATGCAACCTTTTACACGGTGAGACTAGTGGCAAAATTGCTGTACAAGTATTTCAGTAAAGGGCCTCTGAAGTACATTTTTGAACACTTCCGCAACCATGGGATACATTTAAATGAATGCTTCTTTCAATTAGGAATTGAATTACAAGAAATTATAATTCAGATGAATAATTTCTCACTGATCCCTTCATTTATTAACCAGTAAACGTGTCTCTCATGCTGAAGTTAATTAGTTAATTGCTTCTACGAGCATGTAAACTCTGATTAGTAACATGAACCGAGATCACAGGAGGAACGTTTTGTACAATCTGTTTGAGGGTGGATTTCCTTTTTTAAGGCAGCAGAGAGCTTTTGTATTGAGGTATGTAACACTAAATGTTGTTCAACAGTAATGCACTTATAAGGCAGGCAGTAGTGTACATTGTCATCATATTTCACCCAGTAAACAAGAGTGTGGACAAAGATAAGGGAGAAAAGCCACCAACTGAAACCTCCTCTCAAAGATGAATGTGATGTGGCTGGAAGTTTAGTTACATTCCGCATTGATGGAGATGTTTAGACACCCACGAACAGGCAGAGAATAAAACTCTTATCACTGACTAACAGTCAAGCTGTATTTGATCTGAAGCGGGCAACTCAAAACAGAGAAAATGGATTTCATATGGCATCATATTTACTTTTACTTACTTGCCGAAGAGTTCGCTGATAAGATTCCCACGTCTCGTCTGTATAATAGAAATTCGGGGAGAACTAGAAGGTACTTGGCTCGGCTCAGTTGGGCTATAGTTTAGCCTAAAGATGGATGCACGGGGAACAACAACAGCTGTTTCCTGTTCCACACCATGCTTAGATTAGAGAATCTATCAATCTCCAACCTCTCTGCAGAAAAAGAGAATAAGCTACTTTTCTCAATATGTGGAATGAATCCTTTTGGATTCCACCAGCTGGTTGATTTTCTGCTTCTCCCATCTTTTTGGCAAAAGGATAAATTACATGAAGCCCAAATGTGAAGCCCAACTTCAGAGCAGCAGTGGGAACCTAGCAGAGCTCTTCAGTCTGTATGACTCATTCAGCTGCCTAAATTGACAAAAGACGTTATTAGCAATCCAGGGATTCAGAATGATCAGTATTTAACCTGTATATGTACATAATTATATAAATGTATTCGGAGTATATTATTTTTTACAGCTTCTATTTTAATGACGTATTTAAATGCTTGTGATGACCTCGTAGTGTTGTAGAAATAGTCGCCTTTTTCTCCCTTCAAGCTACCTGTACACATTTTAATGTGCTGGACTAATGGTACAATTTTAGCTGTAAAATATGATAAAATCGTGCTCTAAAAGTGATATTTTTATGGGTTGTGTATATATTGGACATTGTTATGTGTCTGTGGTGGACTAAGCTCTTTGTTTGTGACGATTATTAGTGTTTTCTTTTTTTAAGGTACTGAACGTTGCATGGTCAAAAGCTTTACTGACACAAACAAGGCTTTGTATTTGATATTTATATGTAAAAACACTTATTTTGTAATGTATGCTTGTTTGTTTGTCAACCTTTTCCTCCAATACTCAGATTACTGTACTGGTCCAGTTTTTTTCTCCAGAGGAGTTACATGCTGACAGTGATTTTTCTTTGTGAAGCTTTTCCTACTACACATTATAGTCAGCATTATCTCAGAATATGGCCGTGTATTTCCATAGACTAGACATAGACCTTCTGCAACACAAAGACAACCACGGGCCACGTTTACAGTACAGAAACCCATCAGGAGGAGCATCACCTGCAGTCTGATCTCGTTTAGATTTTTTTTTATAAATAGGAAATTCAATGATGCTGATTTCTGACCGCTTGCGAAACAGATTCAATTTCCCCCTTCAATTTCGGGAGGTTTTTCACAAGGTAAACTTCTGAGTGGTGCTCAAACAAATGCACGTATTTTTCAATTGCAGCGGCAACATATTAGGTACTCTTCCTGTATAATTTAGTGTCCTTTCAACTTTTCACCTCTTTTACACAGAATACATCAGCACATTTCTGTGTGTGTTGCGTCTTGGATTGTTGACTTTCTGTCTCGTCACGTGGAAAGCATTAACAAAACAAAAAAGTGTTTTGTATTGAACCTGAGAAATGTGTGATCATAATAAAGTATATTATTTTACATTTACATGGGTAGTGTGACTCTTTCTTGGCTGAAATTAGATTCAGCTATAATCTGCAAAGGATGTGCTGGGCTTTCATCTCTGACATTATTGGTAGTTTTTCCTCCAAACAGTCAAGTTTAAGTTGCAACATCCCCTTGAATGCCGACAATTACCCAGAATGAAATGAACCATTGACCTACAGCGTTGTTTAGTAGAGTAGTTCATATATCTGATCAATGTAGACAAATGAAAGGGTTATTCTGCATGTCACCCTTGTGATTTAACATCATGACTACATCGAAAAACCATTTCCCAAACCTTTCTAAAAATCATCTTTGTCTTACTAATAAAAAACAACAACAGAAAGAACATCTGACCTTAACTCCAGGAAACTGGACTCTGTGTTTTGTATTTGTGTTATTCATCCCTTTGCTGTGGGAGCATTGTAACCCGGCCTCGCCACAGAGCAGATAAATAAGTTGGGGAATTGCCCTTGTTGGCTTGTGGGAATCTCCCAGAACGACCTCCAGCTTCAGGGACATTCCCAGAATGCAGCTGCATTCAGTAATCCGGTGAAGGTTGCTCTTTGACTGTTGTTCCAAGTTAAAAAAACAACAACAACATGACCAGGAGCACTCATGGAGCAATAAGCAACCTAAACTTAGAACAACGCGCACCACATGGGCTTCAAAAGCGGTGGGCTGAAGCAGTTAAATGTCATTTTAGGCGTTTTCCCAAAATTTCATCTAAAATTAGGGCCCTGAAAACTGCGCCCAAGCGGCTCCAGCTGAGGTGATATATATCTCTGGCAGCTAGCATGAGAAGCCGGAGCAGCCATGGGCCTTTCACCACTAAGTGGTTTCAAGCCTCGTTTGATGTAGCTGGTGTAGGTTCATAACACATTTTTATGACTGCCTTGAACAGGTATGAGACAGCTCCAGGGTACCGGATGTACACATACATACCTGTCCACACCCCCACGCTCTGCTTTACATCCACTGTCAAGGAAACATCTACCAGCATGAAGACCCCTAATAGACTGTTTTAAATATATATATCATTTTAAACGGAGAACAGTGTTCCTGTGAGTGATGACTAAAATAATGGGTAAAAAATATTGACCATTAATTTCATTTTTAAATATCTGACAAAAAATGACAGGTGCCTGTTTTGAAACAACCTCTTCCCGGCCCAATAAAAGCAGGAGTGAAACCCCAGAGAATGTAACAGAGGGGCCTGTTTGGATGGTGGAGGTGAGCCACTTGATATCAGGCCGTCTGTCTGGAGTCAACCGAGCTAAACATTTCTTCATTTCCAATCAGGGAGCAACGTGAGATACGGGTGTCTTCAGGTAAACACCGTCGACAGGCACCTGCATGTGAAACTAGACCTTTCCTTTTTGTTCGCTCCCCGGCTCCCTTAATCCCCGCTGACCTTCTCTGTGTCGGTATCGTGGCTGCAAGTCAACCGCAAAACCCCTCCACCACAGAGTAGTGTTATCCAAGATGAGATGTAGCATTTGAAACTGATGTGTCCACAGTTATTCAGACCATTGCCACGCTTATTCGATACAAAATGTGTATAAAATAATAAAATAAAAACTGCTAGTGGAACCAATTCAATGTACCCGCCTCTCTGCTACCGTAAAACATCCAGCTGTGCAACATTTGTCCTTTTTGATTTTTAGTCAAAGCAGTTGTGGATCTGTGTTCCAGAAAGAAAACTATTAGATCGGATTAGATTTTTTTTTCTGGGGGTTGAACGCTTTCTTTGTAAATGGATCCTGCGCTCAGACCAACGCGAGACTCGCATTGTGTCTCACTGAGTCTCGACTGATACCACAACCCACGGTGTCCAATCGGCTACAAATTACAGTCATATTCAGCGCGTTTGTTCCTTTTATAGTCTTTCATTGGCCGGTGAATGTTGCCCTACACGTTCTACCCATCGACTCCTCGTAGACATGCCGAGCTGAGCCGGGGGAATTGCTGTGATCCTGGCCACACATTCCTTACATGCAGTGCCCTTCAATGGGGGGGGGGCTATTAAACGTATCTTACCAGGGTCCGAATCTTTCCGATGCGTTTTTTGGGGGGGTATTTTGTTCCCCTGCAGGTCCGGCCCCCGTGCTTGGCAGCTCATCTGAGGGCCTCGAGGCAGATCTCCTGATGCACCGCTGACAGATTTGCCTGTTCTGGGCCGCGGTGATGATGAGAGAGCAGACCAGAGGCAAAAAGGGGGACGGGAGGGGAGAAGATGAGGAGCGAGCGAGAGGGGAAAGTGAAGAATGGAGGGAAGGAGAACACAGAGGAGCGGCGCTTCAGATCCTTCGGGGGCCGGGCCTCACACAACGTCGGCCCTCCCCTCTGTCCTCCCTGCCTCTTCCCTCCTCCACCTCCATTGCTCTGTCAGTCAGGACTAGACTATTTCATTTTAATAAGGCTAATCCCCCCGAGAGGTAAGCTGCTCATCACCTCTCCCCCCTCCTGTGTTCCTCCAGACGAGAGCAATCTCCTTTCAGCGCGGGGGCGGGATGGGGGTGAAGGTTTGCTCCGCTTGATAGGAGAGAAAAATGTGAAAGGTGAGACTGAAAAGAAGCCTTGACAGCAGCTGTGGTCGAGGCTCAGTGAGAATATTTGGGGCTCCGTGGGTTGATAAACTTCCAGGTGCCAGACCTTTGGTAGCGATTCATCCTCCGACCTGCCTGTAACATCACGCTGGAACGAGGCAGGCTGATAACTTTGTTCTCTGCAGGGGAAGTGGAGTGACACAGTTGGTATTTTAGTGTATGCTATCGCCTGCCTGCTGTCAGCAGAGCGCTCTTCAGCTGTCAGCAGTGAAACTTGATCCTTGATGCTAACTACTAGCATCTACTGGTATAGTCTCTTTAAAGCGATGCTTCCACATTCAGGGGTAGTGCGCTTGTGATTTGGATTAGAAGTGAGTAAATGAACATACTTAAGTTGGATGAATGTGAAGCTACAGCCAGATTAGTTTGTATAGTATACATACATATACCTGTTTCCCTCAAAAGCCGAACATATTTACTAATTTCTGACTAATTTACACTTTGTAGGAACCATAAACTAACTGAAGTGGAAAAATAACATATGGATTATATGTTTATAATTAAACGGTTTCCTGATCCCAGTCTTTGTGCAGAGCTAAACCTACCAGATGTGGTAGCTTCATTTTCAGCGAAGTACACCAGTGGTTTTGAAAAAGCAAGATTTTTCACCATGTGGAACTGTTCCTTCAAAAGAAAAATCCCTCTGAAAAGTCACACAAATATGTACTGAAGCCTTTTTTGGGAGTGTCCTGCAAACAAATGAACTTAATGTAATTCAAGCAAAGTTCTGTCATTGTATTTTTCAATCCATCTCTGATGGCAGAATGTAGGAAAATACTTTAAAGTTTCTGTAGGGAAAACCTACTGTGACGGGCTAAGAGGTCAGCTAACAGAATGTACTCTGAAGGGACCATCCTGGGTTCATGCCGAGATATCCAATGAAAAACTGCTCAGAGTGAATCTGAATTCCTTTGGTAGAAAAATTGTGCATATTTCCTCACTGAAGGAGATCAAGTGGTGGAGCATCATGTAAAGGGCACCGCAAAAATGACAAAAAGTCAAAGCTACAAAGGAGCGTATCGTGCACAAAAACTCCTTCACCAATTGTCTTGACTCAAGGTTTATTTCATAGCTGCTATCAGAGCTCTCAACTGCAGATCACCGTCTTCAGTGCATTTGGATTTTTAGCATCTCTTGAAATAATAAGACGTCAATGATGAAGAAGTTAGCTTTTGTTTTCTAGCGTTGAGCTTTGTTTCCAAGTGGACAGAATATCTCAGAGTCATTCTGCTGTCACATATCGGCTAGTTAGTAAACCTTGAGTCAAGTTTGTTTTTTTCAGTGAACCTTTCCACTATCGATTGTTGACTACATAGAGAACATACACATGCCCACATGTCTTCTGACACACATACACACACACACACACACACACACACACACACACACACACACACACACACAAACACACACACAAACACACACTCACTCACACACACACACACACGGATGACACGTTGGTTTGGAGCTGGTAAAAATGACAAGAATCCAACTAGTTGATTGCTTTAAAATTAGAAAATAAAAAAGAGTCAAGAGGGAACATTCCACAGCAGTGTCCTGGTCACTTGATCTCTGAAGAGGTCACGGGTCAGCTAATGAAACCAACCAACAGTCTCCCAGAGGTTCTAAAGAGAAACAGCTTTCACAGTTTGCAAAATAGTCTGAAGATCTAAGTGGAAATGGTTTTGGCAACTCAATGGCTACTTTGAGGTTATAGTGAATAAGTTGCCGGGGAAAGTTTTTTGTGTTTGTTTCAACTAAATGCAGCTGTGCTGTTCTGATGCACAAGATGGGAGTTATAAACTTACGGAACGATAACTGTCTTCACTCGGCTGGCTATGAAATGTGGAGGCTGGCTCCTTGTTGGGACATTTATGCAGCAGACCCTCGCTGCACCCCATCCCACCCAACACCCTCCCCAGCAGGAGCAGCTAAGAGGCCAGTCAGAACAATACCAAGGCTTCCTCAATGGGCCGGATTTACAGCCCCTTCCGCCCAACATCTGTTCATATTGTCTCTCAGGATTTGGCTTGAAACTTTTAAAACGTTGGCTGCTGGTGATCCATCCTATATCGACACCCCTTAAGTCAAAGATTTATTTTTGGGTTGCGGTAATCTTTTGGCCTTAAATGAAGAAATCAACTGAGGAAAAGATGATGATGATGATTACCCTTCGTTGCTGTGTTCAACAGCAGAGCTTGACGTCTCTCTGTATGTTTGCAGAACTTCCAATGCCACAGCTATTTGACTTGCAATCAAGCTTATCCAATTGTGCAACATCAGACATTGGAACAATAACTAACCAGCAAAGGTGAGGACGCTCCCTGTATGTATGTGTGTGTGTGTGTGTGTGTGTGTGTGTGTGTGTGTGTGTGTGTGTGTGCTTGTGCGTGGGTGTTGGTTTGCAGAAGGCACATTCCTGAGCTGGCTCAGTAGAAAACGAGAGGCTTGGCAGAGGAGAGAGGGACTGAATTCCCGGGGAGGTTTGAGGGGACGACAGGACAGCAGAGGCCCCTTTTGTCACCCGGGCTTCTTGGTGCCTCACGGGCCAGATGGACGCTCGCCTCTGTACACGCTCACATCCGCCCACGGCTCTGTTTTCCATCTATCTATCTATCTCTCCGTCTCCGTTCTCCTTTTGAGGCACCTCACTGCGAAAACCTGGCAACGGACAGCTGTCCTATACGACCCCCCTCCGTCTGTCCCTACAGCCTCTTTTCCTGCCAGTTTCTGTTTCTATGGGTCCTCTAGGCTGCTCTTGACCTGCCAGCACTCTGAGGCGTCCTTAGTTTAACATCATTTAGTAGGCAAACTGATGGCGATGAGAAAGATGGAGAGGCAATCGTTGCAACACGCAGAAAGAGAGACAGCACTATGACAAATGTCACAAAAATAAAAGTCAAACTTGAATTAACAAAACATTTGTGTTAGCTGCAGGGCTTCTCATTTATTGGAACAGTACCCCAAAAAAGCATAACTATGGCTCTAACTATAACATAACTAGATTCGTGAATTTAAGTTGACAGTTAATTAGCTGTTATGTTTATCAAATGTATAAATAAGTTGAGTAAAATGGAATTTTTAGAGGTGTGTGTGTGAGAATGTGTGTGATTCAGGCGTAGCTGACAACAGGCCCAAGCCCTTCAGGATTTGTTCTTCCAGCTTTAGGTAGTTTTTGTACTCTTGTTCCTCATCAACAGGGAGCTTTAACGGCTTGTCACAGTCCTGCACACAAACAACAGGGAAGAATTAATGTAATGAACAACACGGAGCAAAAAAACAAGGCAAATAAAAACGTGATGTTTGAAGCAGAAATGTTGGGGTCATATGTAGGTAACATGAAGCTGTGAGTTAAAGCCCCTCGATGTTTCAGCTTCCAGCACTAACTTTGGCTGGGTTAAGAAAACAACATCCTTATAACATGCCACGGATGAAATAACAACCTCAATGAATTAAACATGAGAGGGAAATAAACGAGACGGAGCCAGAGGGAGAGGGAGCATCCACTACGCCTTGTCCTTCATCCACTTTGAACCGGTGTGCACACTTTTAACTGGGGCAATAAAAGCATCGGCTGGTATCACTGTGCATTCAGACCGTTACGTGATACTAGTCGCCGCCATTCAAGGCCACTTCCATGGCCGATATCGATGGTCCGGGGAGCACAAAGCCTGCTCGCCTTGTCCTCAGTCAGGCTGCACAGCTCACCATTCTCTTTGGCTCTTTTGCCCGCTGTTCCTTTCTCCTCAAACGATCCTGCAACCTGTCTTCCTCCACCACAAAGTATTTCTCCAGATTAGAAATCTGTTTATTAGAAAAAAAGTGAAGCAACTTGTGAGCAGTCTTCCATGAAACAAACTCATAATCACAATTTCTGTGGAAACGCTGGGGGTTTGGCACACGTGCACCAACCTGCCTGTAATTCCTTATACTGGCTTGATAACAATGCAGTAAAGCAGCAACAGAAAACTTTAACAAATGACAATTGTTGAATTGTTTGGCATGCTGCAGTGTTGAATATGTTATCTCATATTTAATCTTGAGGGTATATTATTAATTTGCCTAACCTTGTGGAAAGTGAGTACATAAGAGTCTTTGGACCGTCTTACCTCATTCCTGGATGGAACACAGAGGGTCTTTGGCATTTCGAACATACAGAGCATTCCAAGTTCATCAGCCACAGCCAGGAAGTTCTGCTTAGCTGTATGTACACAAAATGTCCGGCAAATGTGATTTGTGGTTAAAAAAAGAAATCTTACAACAAGGTACTGTGGAGATATTTTGTGTTCCCTGTATATGCATCTTGAGATTGATAACATCTCTCACATTAAAACTGCTGAGCATCTATCCGTGGAATGTAAAGAGCTGATCACGAGGTTCGGACTGAGATTTGAACAGGTCAATACACATGAATGGACATGAAGATGAAACCAATGTATGTGGTAACCCCCCTCCCCCCTCTCCCCCCACACACTCTCCTCTATGTGATGTGAAGTGTGTGAAGGTTTTACGTTTTCTCTCAGTTAGCTGAAGAAGTTCTGAAGTCCAGTAAATTGTGCTTTCCTTTCTCCCAATTTGTGTCCATTAAAGGATTCTATTAAAAACTGATGCTTTTCGGTATAAACCATAGAGTTTATTTGTTTCATTGAGTATTTATTAATTTTAAAAAGTAATGCATTTTAAGGGAGCTGCATGGAGATGTATGCTAGCTACTCTATTGTGCACCAAAGAGGCCAAGCACTCACAGGATGTCCAGGGTTTGATGCAGGTAATTTTGGCATTGCTGACTTGGGCGTAGACCCGCACAGGTTCAATCATCTTTTCCAGCAGGTTCCAGACCTCAATGCTGCCATCCTCTTTCCCGATGAAGAGAATAGCTGGCCGGGTAAGGGACCAGCATCCCACAGTGCACCACTGCTCAGAGTTTGGTGACACGATGATGGGGCCGCCCTGGATGTCGTAGTGAAAGAAGTTTAACATTGAAATGCAACAATACTGTTGTCATAAATGTGGTATATTGTTCATCATATTATGTTAGGAAGTATTGATCAAGTTTAAAGTCTAGAATGACTTAGATCTTTGGTGTTTATTCAATTCCATCAATTATGTGGGTATAACTTTTACTGGTTGCATCATCTGCTACCGTAAGCGAAGGGATAGGTGCTGTTACCGTGACTCCCTCCTTCCAGATGGCAAAGTTCCAGTTTCCTATTGTCAAAATAATGTCTTTGAAGAAGGGTGACCTCTGTACCGTATTCACCAGCCAGTAATGGGTATTAAAACAGTGAAGGGGCTTGACACCTGAGAGAGAGGACGGACAGAGAAGGCACACTTGATATTTGACAGTAACTTTCTCCCGTGGAAGCAGGTTAAGAAATATAAGGAACATTTCAACTCCTGTGTGTATGTCAATGGGGATTACATCCAGACGGGCGGCCCAACCAAAGACAAGCCTTTCAGTAGTTGTGGTTATTTATGTGACTTTTATAATTTGGGCTGAATAGTTAAATTAAATCTGTTTTTGCCTACTCGTACCTTCATTTGTCTCAATACATTAAATGTACAGTTACTATTGTTAATAATGCACTTCAATAATGGTAAACCAGAATACTCACTTTCCAGTGATCCAGAGTTGTCAATCACCTTTTTCCAGTCACTGTAAATAATCTCCCCTGACTGGAAGTAAAAACACATTAAAATAGAACACGCCACCCTTTTCACATTCTTCTTAGCTTTAATTACCTCTGTTCCAATGAAGAGTTTGGTATTGACATCCTCCAGAGGAGTAAGTGTTTCAGCTAAGGGCACTCTGAGCTGGCTGAAGTCCGGGATGACCTCTGAGTTGACAGCATTTTCATTTTCTGCCTCTGTCAGTGTGTCAGATTGTAGATGGTAAGTAAGTCTGTTTCTTTTTGTATGGAAAAATAATCCAAAACACAAAACGGAAACAATACAATCAGTGAATAAACAATAGGCAAAACACCGGAATGACAGACAAGGAACATTAAACACAACTATTTAAAATAAGGAAACAATAGAGACTGGACGGTGGCATTGGTGCAGCCTGCTCTGTAATCTGACCATGAACAAGACGACAGAAGGACAAAAAAGAAGGAGGTCGGGGGGGGTTAAGGGGGAAAGGGTTGGTAAGAGGGGATATTAGAGGAATGGGAGACAAAGGCGATGGAGGTGGGAGTGAGGATTGTGGCAAGGAGGGAGACAGTAAGGGAGAAGGGTGGGGGGGAAAGGATGGAACCAGCATTTTCCATCACAAAAGCCCAACTGTCTGTCAGGGGCAGCACGGGACTATCCTCTCACACCCCCGTATCAGCAGGTTGTTCCCAATCAAGTCTCAGTTTCACCCGGTTAGATTAGCTTTTGAAGGTCAGATCAGATTACCACACATCCTTTAAATCCACTTTCCCCCAGTGAAGATGTGTGTAAAGATGTGGGACAGACGACACCGCACAGCAACAGATGTGGACATTGTTTCCCTTTCACCACGCTGCACTGCAGCTCAACTGTTGCTTAATCCCCACGAGGAGTTGCTCGCAACAAATCGTGCGGTGCTGTTTTCAGGGCAGGGAGCAGCTTTTCTACAGCGGCTGCTGCTGTGAGTGCCAGTGACTTGGCATCAGAGATAACAAAAGGCAGAGAACAAACGTGCTGAATGTGGACTCAATAGATACGAGTCATTTGAAGTGGCAACGTATTAATCACATGGGAGTTCATTAAAAGCTTAATAACAGACAGACTCAGGGCGGCAACAGGTTTATTGCCTCGGTTAGTGAACATATTATATCTCTGAGCGCCAGCCACCTAAGCTGTGTTCAAGAGGCAGACCTTCAGCCAGACAAAGAAAGGTCTCTTCATGACCAGCCAGGACACACACGATCGTCCTCTGTCCCTAAAGGTGCCTGAGCAGCATATTGCTAAGAGCTGACAGTCTCTCTGCAACTATGAGGGCCTTGTTTTAGAAAGTTTCCCTTAATAAAGTGCTATGAAACAGGAGGAAAGAAGAGGGACACAGACAGAGAATGAGAGTTCCTGAGGGATGAGTGAATCCTACTATTACTGATCACTGTGCTCAACCATCCAACAACTACACACACACACACTTGGGATGGTTCATTTTGTATGTTCAATGTTTGGCCTACTTGCTTGTTTTAGTGTGTACGTGAGTTATGATATCCCACTTTTAAGAGGTGTGTTGCATCCAGGAATAACACCTGACAGTATGTATTGTACAGATGTTTGTAATTAAATTAAAGCTAATTTGTGTGACTGGTTGTAGAAGGGAGAGGCAGTGCAACAGACAGGAACAAACAACGACAAACAAGCTCAAAGGTAAAATCCCTCACCTGTGGCACCGGCTGTATGATTGGCTACACAGATGTAAGGTTCCAGGCAGAATTTCAAAGGAGCATATTTTCCAGTGGTACCAATCATTGGCAGGGACACCTGACACATGACAGACAAGAAGATAACTTTTTACATTTAAAGACATAGACAGAAACATACAATAAATACATTTGGGAAAGGCTTCATCGTCCTGTATAAATATGGTAACATCTATTACATTTTGGTACTTTTGGGGTAATCCTGGCTTGCCTGGTGAAGGGATCAATGTAAATGAAGCAATTCAGTTTGATGAATTGGATTTCTCTTGGAGAGGAGAGGTTTGTGTGTCGCTATGAACCTGAGGGCTGTGTTGTCTGGAGCCTTGTGCTCCTGGTAGGGTTACCCTTGACAAAGGGGTCTCGGGCGAGGAGCCAACCTAAGAATGGTCCAAAAGAACCTAAAAAGCGCAAGAGGGAGCTACCTGGCCCATTTGGAGCCAGGCCAAGATGGAGGGCCCGACAGCGAGCGTCTGGTGGCCGGGCGTGAGGCACAGCCCGAAGGAGTGATGCTGGGAACGCCTTGTTATCCCCCAGTCAGAACTGGTAGATGTGGCCCGGGAATGGGTAGTTTGGGGTCCCCTGCTGGAGCTGTTGTCCCGACCCGGGATAAGCGGTTGAAGATGAATGGATGGATGGTGCTATTAATACAATTCACTGACAGAAGCGGGTGTCCTGTAACATCCAAAAGTTCTCAGATGACACTGCCCTGGTTGGTCTGCTTACCCGAGGCAACAACCTGGCCTATAAACGGGAGGTGGAATCCTTTGTCAGCTGGTGTAGTGGAAATTTCTTAAAACTAAATGTTGGAAAAACCAAAGAGTTGGTTATTAATTTCACAAGGATTAAGGAGGAGCTCTCCCTAGTGATAATTGCGGGTAAACACATAGAAATTGTCCAGTCTATTTTGGAATCTGGACGGTAAATTAAACTGGAAAAAGAACAACTGATGCTGTTTTTAAAAAGGCTCACTTCATCTTGAGGAAGCGTAGATCTTTTGATATCAGCAGAAAGCTTTTTCATGTTTTTTATTACAAGATCTTAGCTCGTGTCCAATTGTATGCTGTGCTCTGCTGGGGTCTTTTATTACAGCAGCAGTTTGATTATATAATGAACACCGGTTTAGCATCTTTCTGATGTTGGTCATGTTTTTTAAGGCCTCTTCGGGTTTTGTTTGTTTCTTGTAATCTGTTTCTTGTCTGTTTTCTCTGTGGACTGTGTCTATTGTTGTATGTACAAAATATGTTGGTGGCAAATACGTTTCCTCATTAATAACGTTTTCTGATCTATTTTGAGACAGAATGGTTTTATTCCAATTTTGGTAGACTTTTAGATTTGGGAATAGTATAAGAAATGAATGTGGACGTATTGCACCCTTAAACCTGCAGTACCTTGTAAAAAGGCCTCCATGTGTCTACCAGGTGTTTGAAAGTGTTGAGGAAACTGTAGGGTGCCTTCTGATCCGCGCTCTGCTTCCTGGCTGACCGGTTCACGTTTGAAACTCGCACATCCCAAAACATTATAGAACTTTAGAGGGAGACAAATGAAAAATAAATAAATACAAATAAAACACTCATCCTTTTGTTTGTAATTAAAGAAACACAAAGATTAATGTATATAATAGCCTCTCCTCTAAATATGGTGCCGGCCAATAACTGCAAGCAGTGTGCAGTACAGAGAGAAAGACTAACCTCACCTCCACTCACTTCATTCATTCGCCTTATTACCTTGTGCATCCTTCATCAAGGATGCTTCTGTTTTACTTACCAGTCAGGGGAGCAGGTGACAACCTGTGTAGAAATGTTGTACTTGTTCTCCACTGGTAAGCCTCTGTTGGTCACCTTAATGAGAGAGTGAGTGAATCACAACATCAACAAATGTCTGTCAGACTTAATAAAGAGCGGACAATAATGAAATATATGCTTGGGTGCACTTTGATGATTTCCTTATTGCACTTATCCGGATGAGTGCCAGTGGTTGTCACGATTTATTACAACTTGCTTTGTAGATAAAGGGGTTATGCACTGGTGGGACACCAGAATTAGAATGTATTCACTGTTTTATGAAGAATATGACGTTAGAAAGACTAAGCCACGTGCTGTGGACTGTTATAATCTGAGTAGAACCATTGTTCTTAATCCTGGGTTCTAGCCCAAACAGAGTGTCACTGCAGCAAATATTGCGTCAGCTCCGTACGTTTATAGATGCTATCTTGATACAAATCATAATATAAATAACCATTATTTTGTGGTAGTGGCAGTAATCTATAATATGAACTACTCACTCTATTACCTTAAGTTCTGTTTACATGTTTAATGTTTTATTATCAATTTGAGACGGATGTGAAAGTTTAAAATGTACTCTGTTTGCCTTACGTATGCCACAATGTTGACTTCAGATATGATAAAAGAAGAATGAGATAAAGAAAACATTAAGGAATGTTTTTCGAAGTAGTCACACAAAAAAAACCCTTTTAAGAATCAAGATATGCCAAATAAACAAACGTTAATCAGAGGAAGGTTGAAAGACTGTACTTATGCACTCCTGATGGAAAATGTCAATTAACTCTTTACGTGATCAGTGTTCAGAATATTTAATCTGATTAAATATATTTAATATTTAATCAGATTTGGAGTTGTTACTCCTTCGGACCTCTCTAGCCGTCGGTTCTGCGTACCTCGAATGTTGGTGGCAGCCACTGGACGTCAGTAATTGGTGCTTTGTGGCTGTTCTCTATGGGAGACGCTGCACAGTAGCGCACAACAGGGGTGTTTTTCTCTTTGTGGTCATCAACGTCCTGGTGCGAGGGCACACACAAAAGGCCCAGCATGTACAGTGAGCACAGTAAGCTTTGACATTTCAATCCTAAAAAAGAGACGACAGCGGTCAACAGCCCTTCGAAAATGGACCTTCATGATATTTAAATAAAGTATACTTTAACACTTTAAATAGTTCTGCCAAAAGATTGTGCGTTACATTTTGAAACAGAATGTGAAAAGGATTCATTTCAATAACACTGCGGTGCACCGGCAGATTTAAAAGAGTGTGAATAGAACCTAAATCTTTACAGATTTCATTCTTTATTTATCTGATGAGCCAACAACAGGTGCTAATGTAGAGCAGCTTTCACAGCACTCAACGTTGAAATAAAGCCTTCCAGCTGACTGCCAATGTTTACATTTCAAGCACAAGGGAGGTGAGTGATCTGATGTGTTTAACTGTTATCTTCTCTGGGGACAAACTATGGTGGAGAATGGAAGGCTTGTGTAACAGCTGCAGTGTGCGATCTGATGACAAAGAGAATATAGAGAATAGTACAGAGGTTGGTAGCAGGAAAAGGAAAAGAGAAGTAAGTAGTGACAACAGGGGTGGAGACAGCTGTTCCAATCTATAGGCAATAAAATCTCACAAAGCAAATGGGAGCCGGATGCTGAGGACACGTCTATTTAAATTCAGCAGCAGCCAAGTGGAAGATGTCACTGAAGGACATGCAAGTTTAAGGGACAGAACTGCTTTCGTATTGTGTCTTTAGATGTCTCAGCAGGCTATGAAGGACTATAAATGTATGCTCGTTTTTTTGTCACCTATAATTATCCCCCTCTCTTTATTTTCACACATAATACCATCTAAAAGAGGCAGCTATGCAATGCAAATATTAGTTTACTACTTACTATTAAGTCAAAGGATAATTCCTCTTTGACGTTTAAGTCTATTCTTTTACTTGGGTTACCTTGGACTGGTTTATGTTGAGGCCTTCTTATGAGTCATTTAATGATATAACTTTCTTTGAAATCCACTCCTGGCATTAGTAAGCATGTGGAACTAGTTTTGACAGCTGTGGCTGGCTTGAAAAGGACCATTAGCCCACTTCATTCCTATCTAATGAAAGAGTGAGGATGGGGGGAGAACTCACGAGTCAACGTGTCATCATCTGAGCCTCTCTCTGCAGCAAATACATCGCATGCTTCGGTAAACTGAGGACCCATACTTAAACCAAGCTGACATCACCACTAGTCATGGATTTAGGGTAACTGATACAACATGCACACACCAACAGAAACAGAACACCACGCACTAGTGTATCAACATTGTGCACGTTGGAGAGAGGACATGCGTACTTACGAATGTGGCAGTGTTAAAAGGAGCTTTTTCACCAGGTTGGGTTCCCTTTAAGTGGATGGAGTGAGCAGACACGTCCCACAACACGACCTGAAGAAAACAGCATCAACGGCAGAAATAATGGACTTATGTCGTACAGGATGTCATCAATTTGAATCATTTTCTATTATAATGAAAAAAGGAGCATGGGAAATTGGTACAGTACAAGAACTAGGCAGAACAGGCAGCAGATGCAGCAAACCAGAGATGCAGAGCAGTTAGAATTAGCACCTGGCCATTCCTGCAGCCGCCAACGATGATATTTGGATCAGAAGGGCAAAACTCAAAGGCAAAAATGTCACCTGGGCACTCCAGCAGCAACTGCAAACAACACAGAAACCCATGTAAGAAATATTACATTTTAAAGTACACATTTCCTGTATTCGGAGTTTTTATTTATTCTACTTTCGCCATTCAAAGTTCAGCTTTTAATCCGCAAAACCAAAATGCATACAGTGCTGTAGATTCCATTTCATCAGGCATGAGAGTGAAAAAAAAACCAAGTGGGTGGAGATTGTGTTACAGAGAAGTCATTTTTCAGCATTATATTCTTCTGAAGTCTGAAAATAGCTGCAACACTGAACTGAACGCTACACTTAATAAATATACGGCAGATGGTGAAACCAAAGCATGACAAATTATGCAGAACTTACATCATCTTTAAGTGATTTAGCAGTTTAGTGTCATTGATTTATGGCCTCTGGCAAATCAATACAGCATCTCAAATTTAGCTGAAGCAAAGAAAATACATTGTTGGCAGGAATGAGAAACTCTTTACAGCCATTTGTGTATCAAAGTGTACCTCAAAGAGATTAGGGGTGAAAATGAGCTAGTATGCTGTCAAAGGTCTTTTCAATCTCTGGCCAGCTTCTACAATCTCCACATTACCTCAGGCGGTCTCAGATACTGACATAACTTTCCATACCTGGGCATGAGAGGAGTCAGAGAAGCTATAAAAGACAATGAAAGAATCTTCTGATTCAAACATTGGGGAATCCTCTGTCCTTTTTTCCGTCAAGGCCACAGCGATCACACCTATTAGATCGCAAACACACATCATATCACACTATGTATCAACAAAACAGCGACAGGAAAATGGACATTCAATAAGGTTTAACTTTACTCAATGAGAAAGTGATGACTCCCCCACAAACAAAAGTTCACAGTGGTGGTAGTTTTGATACTGATATTATAATTATCCATCTGGCAGGAAGGCTACTCTATGGGGGTTGACAGCTTACCAACATTACAAAGCAGCAGTGAAGAACATCAATGTCAAATTTGAATATTCCCAGTGTGACATTGGAGAGAGAATGAATGTTACTTATTTGTAATAATTATGCTGTAAACATAGTCAACCAGTAGTACCTTTGTCAACATGTTCCAACCAGATATACATTTAAAACCGTGATTGATGAGGTATTGCTGCAGTTCATGCTGTGAAGTATATTGGTGAATATAAAATTCTTTCGCTCCAATTCTCTGGACAGCTGTATTCACTGACTGAGATTCTTTCCCTTTACCGTGCAATGTAGGGTGCCAATTGAAGGTGCTGATTTTCTTGCCCTTGGCGTATTTCTCTTCTGTGAAGACCTTAAAAAGCATCAAATGTTTGGGAACCTCCGGAGAAAGGTACTCGTCTTCAGATGTTGTCCCCATGGCCTTCCACCGATCAACAAACACATTCATGATTGTTTCCTGCTGAAGGGCTTTCAACATACTGCAAACCACAAAGAAAATACGATGTCAATTATGTTCCGTTTTCCTCCATCAAATCTCTTCCAAGCCACAGTAAAAAGAGTTCTAATAGTCCACATGTAGTTGTATTGCATAACTGGACACAAAGGAAGGTTGAGGGTCAAGTGAAAGATTTGTTTAAAGTCTAGTCTGTGAAGACAACAAAAATGGGGCATATTTTTTCTCACATTGAGAGGGTGAATGTCTCTTAAAGCTTTTTGTTTTGAATATTCTAATGCTCCCACAGGGGTAATAATGGATGGATTTTAAACCCTGAGGGTTGACCATGAGTTAACACCAAACAGACGACACCATGTATTTCAGAAGTATATCACCTTACCTCGAAGTCACCTTTTCAAAGAAATTCAGAAAACTCTCAGACCGGAGGATTTCCTCTTTTTCCTCATTACTGAACTCTCTTGGTGTGTACTGGGTAGAAACATCGCTCGTCAACTTCCTGTAAGAGTAGATCAATTACAATACAATACGCAGGTGGAGGTGGAGGACAGAAAAATAGTGCAAAAGCCGGAAAAAATCGTCTTAAATACTTGAGGTATTATAGCATTGCATTCAGTGTTACTATCTTATTTTTTTAAAGCCTTGAGGTGTCAGCAGTATCTGTCAGTGCCCCCCCCCATCAGTTTTAGGTTAACTGATTTGCAAGCAGCATACCCTTTTGTCTGAGTATTGCTGCTATGCAGTCTGGGAACCGCCCGACACCCAAAGTCCCTCAGCATCAGTTTGATGCTGAATCTGCTGTCTGGGCAGGATGGACACCCTGTGACGGCTGTCTTGCTGTCAGAAAAAACAGCTGGTGGCCCAAACTTCCTCCTCACTTCGGAGAGTTTGTACGTGAAGAGCAGCTGATGAGAAAACGGAGACAGGTTTCATGGGAGGACAAGGGTAAATGGGAAAAATGTGTTTGTCATTTGTAGCAGTACCTTTTCTCTGGTTTCCCTGACAGATTCTTCCTCTATTTCCTGCTCGCTGCCAAGAGATATCCATGGCTCTGGTTCAGGGGTTTTAATGGCTTCATCCTCAAATACTTGTGGTGTCTCAGGCTCTGGTGACCCAGCAACCTAGAGAGCATTACATGATCATACAGTTACAAGAACACAAAGGACACAGAGATGGAATATAAGTACCACTGTTTTAAAAGCTGTTGCACCCGAGAGGCACCAAATTTGGTAAAAACCAGAACAGGAATAGTGTGTATTGCAAATGTATTAATGCTTCACACTGTTTGAAACATTAGAATCTTGGCCACTATTTGCAACAATCCGTTTAAGAAAAACTACAAACACAACTCTAAGTTATAAAAATGATATGTTCCACAGGCGGCGTTAGACCACGGCCGTGATTTTGACTGCTCCCGTTTCTGGGCTGTGAGGCCTTCACAAATGCCTGTCCTAGAGTAGTAATCCTCACTCTATCAAGGTAAAACCTTCTAAGATTACTGTCCACACATGAGGCTATCGCTAAGATGTGGTATCTCCATGTTTTATAGGATTTATAGGGCTGTTGGGGATTTTATTTCTTTTCTCTTCTTATTTTTATTTGTTCACCAGTAACATATATACACATCACAATACTCACGGGGGTCCTGAGAGAAAAAGATAGACCAGATGGAAGAAGTAGTTACAGAGTTATTACACTTTTTATCATGGGGTGCCATTTTCCGAGCATAGGCCAAGAAACAGCCTCAGGGTGCAATCTGCCCACATGGCTACACAAATTATAATCTGAGACCAGTCATTGTGATAGTCTGCGTGATAAAATAGTCAACATACCGCCACCATAAAAGGAAAGTAAATAAAAATAAATACATATGCCTACAGTATTACTAAACCAGAAAATACAATTGCAATGCACATATACATAATTAGTCATATTGCCATATTTAGTGAGTGTAGAATCCCTACTGCATCACATATCAAACACCAACATGTCTACTTACGTTTAAGATTCTTTCCTTTGCTTCTGGTGTGAGAACCAGGTAGAAGCTCTGGCCATAAATGAAGTCCCTGTCAAAAACCAGCAGCAGGTCGTCGTCTGGGTAGTCCTGGAGGATAAAAGAATGCAGTATTCACAACATTCAGTCTCTATACATAATGAATATAGGGTTTTTCAATTGATCCTGGCAACTCTGCACAGCAGTCATTTGGTCAAGATAGTAGATGACAGAGGGAGATGTGGATTCCACACTTGACAGAGGGAGATGTGGATTCCACAACTGATGTTGTCGGCTTTAAAAAGACAGAAAATCACACATACACACACACATACATCACCAGGTAAGTCCGCGGCTTTGTCCCAAATAACAAAGAGGACATTATGAAGGACTAACACAGATTAGGGTGCTCTCTGGTCACATTAAGTTTCAAGTTTGAGTTTATTTGTTTTTGGTAGAATGTACTTGAACGCTGAAGGTAAGAGATGGGGGTTCTCGTGTAATGATTTGTGCTCAGAGACACAGGGGAAATGGGGTTAAATGGGTTACTCCTTCTGTTCCCACAGCCCTTAACTTGGGGTCCGTGTATCATCACAGTGTCTCAGGTGTATTGTGCGAGTGATGGCTTGGTGATGGATCAGCCTCACCAGCACAATCTGCTTCACAGGGCTGAAATCGGACACCGCGGCTCTTGTCTTAAAGTCCTTTATTACGTCGTCTTTTTTCAGCAGCTTGTAAGGCCTCTCCCCTGTGACGTCCACATCGGAGCAGCAACCAAAGAGCTTCTGGGTGGCTGATGTCAGGACCAAGGGGAAGATGTCATCGGGGTGACCTTGGTGAAAGAGCACACAATCAATATCGCAAGAAGGTGGTAGATGGAGGAAAGCGTGGAGCATCACAATGAGCTGGATTTAAGCCACTTTAGTGTAGACAGAACATTACAAACATCCAATTACTCAATAAAGGCTTCAATTTTTGGTCCCTGTGCAAGATGCTAAATCTACTCAGATATCAAAACACACTTGTTTTCACTCAGACTAGGAGTGTTTCCAGAATGTTTACTTCATTAAATAATCTAATATGTTACAGTAATTTGAGCAAAGCAATGTTGATCTAAAAAAATGTTGTTTACAGATCTGAAAACATGAAGCCCCATATCAAAATAATGTAGAAGTATAAGGCTTCATAAAACTACATCTTAAAGTTTAAATCCGAAATCAAATTTTAAGGTGTTTTTTGTTAGAAGGTGTTGCCAATGATAATAATGAGTTGTCACCTGTTTGTGCTGTCTATTCAGCAGACGGTTACAAAACAAATTGCTGTCATCAATTGCGCATTGAAAATACATCTTTAATGAGATGATAAAAGAGAAAATAAGAGAAAATTATCCCTACAGATGGAAATGGCAAAATAGACGTGTTAAAACAAAAATAGCAATGGCGTATTTCTGATCATGACCCACATATAAATGTTTTTACAGTTTTGCGTTAATAGAGAAACACAGAGAAGCAACAACCAGGAACAAAAACTGTGAGCTTAAACACGATGGACGGTCTTCAAAGTCCCCACCTTACGGACTCGCACAACAACGCCTCTGATCCTTCACCTGACCCCCTCAAATGTATGAAACAAAATCATTGTACAGAACTTACATCTGATTTTAAACATTGTGTATGTATGAACTAAGGCCATATTCAGGGCGAACGGGGCTCGTACAGCTTAAGGAAAAGCACTTCCCAGCGTCAACCTTTCCCACTCACACCAGCTAGGCCTCATGCCAAATCACCGTAGTGGAAATGAACACCCTTCAGTTCACACAGTTAAGTGGCAACTATGGCACTTTTATTCATGGGAAATATTGACATAAGAGATGAAGAAAGTGTTATGTTCAATGTTCCATAACCCATAAAGAACGCACCTGTTGGCTGTGCCAAAGAGATATTGAAATTTGTCAGGCTCTTTTTCACTTGAATAATCCACTCACAGCCAACTTATTTGACAGCCTCAAGATACGTTTAATGTACCACAGTACACAGTGAACGGCTGAAGAATTTATGTCAGAACAATAGGGCTTTATCAGCTTTATAAGCTACCACTTATATTATCAATGTCTTTGAGAGATCCATTCAGACGAGAAAGCGGTTATGTGCAGTTATGTTTGTGTCGGCGAGCCACAAAAAAGTTGGTCCCCACCAGATAAACGACCTAATGTTAGACTTGGTTTTGGTTTAAGGGTCGGGGTTAGGTTATGGTCCAACTATTTCAACTATTTATGATGTGTTGAATTAGGAGATCTGAAAAACTATAATTCATATTGCTGGCTGTATAAAATGGAAATAAAATGAATGTCAATCTGAAGCGGAGGACTCTTAACAACATCGATGTTAACTCCTACAAGGGCCAATGCTGACACAGCATGACAATAGGCCTCACAGCGCAGTAGAGAGCCTGCCCCATCAAGGCACTGGAACAGTACACTCAAAATAACAAGAATTTTAAAAGTGTGATTATTAGTTTTTGCAATGCTTGTTACATCTCTACCTCAATAAATAATCTGAATAAACAGTAAATATCAATCATTCAAAATATCAAATGAATTAAGGTGATTGAATAAAAATTTGCTATAAACTAAATATAATGCTTTAGTAATCTGTATTCAAAGGTCATGTAGGATTTACTAGACTTATAAATAATTGAGATTCCATTCAGAAACTATCTGCCAAACTAAAGAAAAAGTGGTTAACGTGCTAGGTTTACCTAGTTTTACTTAAATTCTGAAACATGTTTCTTCAAGTTGATATGGATGTGAATGCAATACGTTTTAAATAAATATTGAAATAATGAAAGCTCTTTGTTAAATTGTTTCTTCTGATCAGGGTCAGGGTGGGTAAACACACAAGAACAACAGTAGATGTTTTTCTCTTACCAGGCTTTGTCTCATGTACGGGGGACTGAATCCTTTTGCCTAAATGGAAAATAATTGTCAGTTCACCATTTCTTTACTGTGCGTTTTCCATTTGATCGAGACAAACATGCGCACAATGAATCAAATCAACACTATACTAATACTCATACACTCACCTTTCCCTTTCCCCTTACTGCCTGCACTGCTTGTTGCACTTTTGGATCTCTTGGGCGGCATCCTTGCTTATAGAATAGTTCCACTAATGACACGGAGAAAGTTTAACACAACGCAGAAACTTGTATATCTTCATACTGATATTTTATTGATCAACTGTCGCACATTGGTATTCACACACAGCGGCAGAAAAGTGTGTTGCCCCCAAATGTCATTATCAACGCACGTACGCCATCTTCTGGAGGAGCGGGTAATTTTTACTTAAAGGAAGGGTCCTAGAAGAGAGGAGCCTCTCTATTTAGCTCAGCTGTGAAAAAGAATAAGAGCAAAGCCCTCCGGATGACATATATGTTTATATGGTGTAAGTTACATAAGTTTAAACTTGTTAAGATTAAAGCTACTCATGTGAGTGGGGAATTTGGGAAGTAATCAGGTTTCACAACATAAATACGTTTTTTTGTGTTCAGAGGTCTGACGTTACCTCTGAACACATAAAAAGCATAATTACGTAATTTTAATTTGTTATAGTATATAGTATATATTTGTATAGCAACTTTCAACAACAGGTGCTTTACATTAGACCAGAGGTATTCAACTAAAATGTAAAAGAACATTACTAGAAGCAAAGGTCCGCAAGACCATAATGTGACTATTTAGTGTAATTAAAGTTGTATTAACATCTGCATGTAATGAACACACGACAGACGAATCAAATGAACTTAATTCAGTACGATTCAAAAACTCTTTGACAATATTTATTGTCACGTAACAAAGAACTAAACATATTTCATTTCAGAAAAACAAAATAAAGGGAGGAATTGCTTGATTTTCCCCTTTTCTGTTTCACATTTGGACTCAACAGTCTCAGACGATTATAAATAGTAAATCTATCAGCCAATTATAAACAATGAATCTAAACATATTTTAATAATTGAACATTTTTTTAGAATATAACCTGACAGTCTTCTCACATAGAGGAGCTCATTGTGCCTCATAATGGCGTTTCACATCGGCACTTTTAATAACTGTTATGGTTTCTAAGCATACGAGACAGTTAGTTAGTAGTTAGTGACCTCTCTTCAGACGAATGTAATGCTATAAAAAAAATTAACTTCCATTACTTAAGGTATAAACAATTAAACTATGCAAAAGTGAATTATTTAACGTTACCTCTAAAGTGTAACGTCAGTGTTCAATGGCGGCTCGCTAGCTTACCTTTGGTAACGGTAATGAAACGGACACTGTGGTCAGGCATAAAGTATCTGACCTAAAGCCCGCTGGAGATGCCACTTCCACACTTCACGGCGACGGTTAATAAACCAGTTAGGCAGAATGATTAATAATGATAATTCATGAACATTTACCGTTGAAGCCTGAAACCCTCTCAACACTTTTCCCACGCCTATGACTGTTTGGTTGCCAGTGGTTACATGAGTGGGCGTGTGTGTTTGGTGGCAAGAAGGGGCGGGCAGGGTATTGACGGACATATCGAAGAGCCAATCAGATCTTAGCGGCAAAATGAGTATGGTTGTCGTGACATAAATTACCTGAGCCAATACAGATTGCTTGAGGAGTTTGACCGCAAGGTAACGCACTCAACACGCACTCGCGAAGTTCAACCGGCTTTAGTCAGTTTACTTTCACTCTCACAACACAACGATATATTGAATCACTTGAATCGTGAATTTCTATTTGACCAAGACATTTCGGACACAACGCAGGTGACAGGTGAACGCAAGTAGTTTATTAACAGGCAGCGCGACATCGGTGAGTAATCTACGACTAAAGGTGTTTACATTTTGTTTCTTCTATTGAAAAAAACTACTGTTTAGTGTTGACCGTGATCAACGGGATATCATATTATCGTCCACACGACAAAAAGTCTTTTTTAGTGGATTGCCTAAGCCGGAAGCTGAATGTGAGCTGCTTTGTTGTTGCATATTCAACAATCTAGGCAGCGGATCTCCGTCCTCTCCTCAGTTTGAACATCCATTTGCTGTAGAAAGCATTTCACAGCTTCTACTGAGCTCGTGCCATGTTTTTGTGTCTTTTACTCAAAAAAATAAGAGGAAAAATAACCCATAGATTTCCATGGATCATCTACAGCTCTACAGTAATTCAACTGGGGGTTTAATGATCAATTTTTGTCAATAGTGTCCAGTGATACAGTGTAAACAGAAAAAGGAACATCACAATCTTCAAAAATAAATGATGTATCGCATGACAATTGTATTTGGTTGAACAGCATTAATAACAGGACACAAACGATGCATTATAGAACTTGAGTCACTGTTGTATTAATTGTAGACATGGAGGAGTCCAGTGACTTGTATGACATGCATGAGACGAATGGCTCCCCTCCCTGGGACGACCACGACCATCGGTGCCTGGAGGAGCTGGACAATGTGGAGTGTCTCAGAAGGAAGATCAAATTTTTCTTCATGAACCCCTGTGAGAAGTACCACGCTCGTGGCCGAAAACCATGGAAACTCCTACTGCAAATCATCAAAATTGCCATTATTACTATCCAGGTGAACATCTCAGACATGACCTGAACATATGTTAACTGTGTTGCTTCAATACCCAGATAACAATTGTCATTTCTTCTCGTAACCTTAGTTAGTATCTTTTGGGCTGAGCAACCAGATGGTCGTCAGGTTCAAGGAGGAGAATCTGATGACTTTCAAGCACCTTTTCTTGAAAGATTATGTCAATGGAGGCATGGATATGAATGCTGTTTACAGACAGGCTGATGTTTACGATCACATCGACTACGTCCTTGAACAGGTAACTGTCTTCTAGCTGTGGTTTTACTTTTTCTTGCAACAAACACCAAGAAAGCATCATTTGTACTTTTTTTTTTTTTTTTAATTCAAGCGAGACATTTTTTCTCCTTTTTCCTACGATAAATCATTACTGGAATTTAAGGACATATTTAATGTTTGACCAAAGAGCTTTGTCATGTCATGGGATTGGACTTTGTTCATGGTTTTTTGAGCATTCATCATTATTGTTTTGTATCTTTGAACTGCATAACTCTGAACCCTGAACGGTTGTAACAAATGTAAATTGTTAATTCCTAGTACGGACATCTGTACAACATCACAGTAGGCAATCACGAATATGAGAAAAATGGTACTTTCTACAACCCCCTGACAGTGTGTCAGGAGTTCTACCGAAACGGTACCATCTACCCGGGCAATGAGACCTTTGAAATTGATGCCCAAGTAAAAACTGGTACGTATGCATGACTGTTTGAGCTGTGAGGAAACAGAATACTGAAACCTCGTCTAATGCTTTTAGTTGTTGCTTCTCTGTTGTCGACTTTTTTTCCCCTCTTTTGTCGTGGCGTCTAACAGATTGCTTTAACGTTTACCCGATGGATCATCCGTCATTGAGGGAAGCGCTTCCAAATTTCAAATTGCATTTCAAAAGGTTGGCACGTAACGTTTAACCGAAAGTCTTCTCCTCTCTGTTTAATGCAGGATGTGAGACGCCGCAGGTAATGCGTCTGCTCTGTCTTCCAGAATGCTCTCCGTCAAGATCACGTTTGTCCTTAAAGCCATAAATTTACAGACGGTGAGGCATCGAGAGCTGCCCGACTGCTACGACTTTACCGTTGTTGTAAGTCTGATGATGATGATGATGATTGGACACATCCGAGCACTTCGCTGTTGGCGTGACAAAAATCCCTTGTGTCTCTGCTCCTTAGCTGTTGGGTTTGACTTTGACTTCAGTCCTTTTTCTTAAACGTGACTGACTCCTGTTAACAGATAACTTTTGACAACCGAGCGCACAGCGGCAGGATGACGGTTGACCTGGAAAGCGATGTAGAGATCAATGAGTGCAGAGACTGGAAAGTAACTGGAGCATGTAAGTTTGCGCAGCGGAATTTAGGATGAACAACGTCTTGCCTCCCGCTCGTGTCCCCGGACTCATTAAGGCGGCTCTCTAAGCTTGAGGCTCCGCCGGCAGTAAAATCTGTTTCAAGACGTTCGTCCTTGTTCTCGGGTGTGAGCCATTTTAATCTCTCTGTTCCCTCAGCTGCTAGAAACATATACCTGACTGTGCTATTTGACTGCTTCATCATCATAACGTGCATCGGCTCGTTTGCCCTCTGCGCTCGCTCAGTTGTCAACGGGATTCATCTGCAGTTTGTAAGTTCATTCAAATGACTCGACACTTTCCGCAAATCCATTCTGAAGGATAGAAGTTACAGGGTTGTTCATGCTCACAGTTTAGTTTTAGTTAGTTTGATAATGTTGGTTTAATTTTCACAGGTAGATATCTTTCATAACGTTATTTATACTTTTTTTCAGAAGTGTTACAACTTGTGACACATACTATGAAACCTGTATTATACAATTGCATCACTTTTTTGTGTCTCTTCATGGCATACTAGGCAATGGTTAATTTATATGAAATATGGCCCATATCTTTATGAAAATTAACTATATGGTCATACTGTGAAAAATGCTGTATAGTAACAATTTGTCTCTGAATGAAAGTGGAAAGTGACATTAAATTGAAGTAAAGTACCTAAAATATGGGCTTGGGTGTTAAATACATGTACTGACATTCATTTAATATTCATCATAATTACTTGTATACTTAATAACAAAATCTTCTGTATTTGTTAACAGGAGTACACACTCTACAGCAGAAACCAAGTGCCGTGGTCAGACAAGTTGGAGTTTTTGAATGGTTGGTATATCCTCATCATCGTTAGCGACACATTGACCATCAGTGGCTCCATTCTCAAGATGGAGATCCAGACAAAGGTAATGTGAAAACTGAGATTGATTTATTTTAAGAATATCAGGTCATCCACACTGTATATAGATGTGATTCCTTCACATTTGTAGGGGTCCACTTTTTCTCTTTTAGGTCCTCACTAGTTATGATGTCTGCAGCATCTTGCTTGGGACTGGTACCATGTTTGTCTGGATCGGGGTCATCCGCTACATGGGCTACTTCAGGAAGTATAATGTAAAATAACACTTTTATGGGCATCACATGCAATGTAATAATTCATCAATACCACATTGTTTACAACAAACAATGCTGTAGAATGCAAAGACACTCACCTTTACCAACTTGTCTCATTCCTGAACAGGGAATGAGCTAAATGTGTGTGGCATTCAGGATAATCTTCTGATCTTTTACTCTGTTGTTATCTGTGGCCTTTTTAGATTCTCATACTGACACTAAGGGCCGCTTTCCCGAATGTAATCCGCTTCATCTGCTGTGCTGGAATAATCTACCTGAGTTACTGCTTTTGCGGCTGGGTCGTCCTCGGCCCATATCATGAGAAGGTTTTGTTGAATTTTTTCAAATTCTAAATATGGTTCTTATATTAGAAGGAAATTAGTGGTGAAATGTAACAAAGTAACTTTGTTTTAAGTGATATTTCAAGGTACTAGTAATTCATACCATTAGGGTTAGAAATTACAAGCCATGCATCATTTATTAATATCAGCACCTTTTCCCAGCTGCAACTTGAAAGTAATTCAGATGCATCATTATGAGTGTTCCACATAACGAGCACTTTCGGTATCATCTACTCGGAAATACTTTTATTCTTTTACTTGACCATTAACGTCAAGCCTCTCCGACCCCTTTTGTTTTAGTTTCGTACCTTGAACACGGTGTCGGAGTGTCTGTTCTCCCTGATCAACGGAGACGACATGTACCCGACCTTTAACCACATGAAGCAGAAGAGCAGCCTGGTGTGGATCTTCAGCCGGGTCTACCTCTATTCCTTCGTTTCGCTCTTTATCTACATGGTCCTCAGCCTTTTCATCACGATCATCACTGACACCTATGACACCATTAAGGTGACTTTACTAGTTTAATTTTGTACAACATTATTTTTCCATACCTTGTGTCGATGATTTGTATCTTGGTTAATCAAACAGTAATTTTAATTTTTTTTGAAGCTATTATAGCAAACCTAACCGTCACTTTTTGCCAATAATTTAGCAGCAGCAGCAGAGTGGAACCCCGACATCAGAGCTGCAAAAATTCCTGTCGGGGTGTAACGACCTGCCAAATTCTGGGATGTACAGACTCGACGAGAACAAGGGCTTCTTGAACTGCTGCGTTAGCAGGTACGTCGAATGCAGCCCACACTATTTAATGTGGTAACGTCAACTACTTTGAATGTCTCTTATCAGCACTAATTAAATGTAGGCACGATGTGCCAAAGCATTTTTATATTCTATGTAGTTATTGGCCATAACTAAATCTAAACTCAGCAATTTCCTTTCAGGTGCAGGGAAAGGCTGACTTCAGAGGCTTAGCAGGTGTTTGATATGGGTATATAGTTAAAGTATCCCATGCCTCCCATGGAATATTTAACATCATGGCCTTGGTTCTCATTTGATTTAATGTTGGAGCCCTTTCAGTGCTGGAAAAAATTTGAGATTATATAAACCTTTACGACACACAGAACATTTATAAATACTTTTTTATTCTGATATCTAGAGGTTAAAACAGAATGGTTCACTCGAACATTTCAATGTAATTTGGAAAGATCCCAATGTTGTATATTGAAGATAATAAATCAAGGTGGAGTGAGTTTTTTTTTTTTTTGTTAACATTGTCAAGAGAAAGTTCCAATACAAAAGCTAGAAAATGTCTTCTTACCGCACATCAATGTTATTGCAAAAATAAAAATCCCATTTCTGGTCATGGCAATAATACGCATACAGTCTTAAAGTAATATTAGGAGGCAGATACTGTAAATGGCTGAAACAGTCACTGGATGAGGACGTCCATTTCCCCAAAGAAAATCTGATACTTTAAAATCAGAGTTATTGATGGATACATCAATTCAAGAAAAGATGTACTGGTCTTTAATACTTAAGCAATACGGCAAATTGCAATGCATTGAGAGTCTCCGGTCCATCATGAATCAGTTTGGCTCATGTCCTTTAGTCCAGACAACACAACCCAGTTTATGTGAATGGCTTGATGCAAGCCTCCGGAGTAGGCACAAGCCGCTGGCAGTCTTGGTCCAGGATTGGGGCACCACAAAAAAGGTGATGACTGCAAAGAGTCGGTCACACAAGTCCATACATCAAATACCTAAATTCCTTTGTTTACAGTCACAGAGAGCAGTTTTGTAATGTCTGAGACCTTGCATTGTTGCAATCTTGTATTGGGATTCCAAAAAAAGGAAAAGAAAACACTAAAAAAGGGGATTGTTCACTCGTGGAATCAGTCTGGTTTGGATTGGGTTATGCCAAGAGGGGCCAGGACTCGCTGCTCCTCCATCCTGTTGGACTGCGAACGCACAATGAGACTGAAAAAGTCTTCATCTGGAACGGTTGGTCCTTTACTTTTAGAAGGTGGCGCAGCACACCTCTGATCGTTCAGTCTGGAGCCCTAAAACATTGACAAGAGACGACTGAGTGCATTAATAAGCTGATGCATGCTCAAGAACACAAGGTGGAATGCTTTTACTAAATCAGGTCTCATACTTACATACAGTATAGATCTGTAAACTAATTACAAAAACTAAATTGCACTCACCAAAAAGAAAAAGCATGTACGACTTAAAAAAATGGATAAGGTCTTCCTCCCCCAAACTATGTAGTTTCTTCCAATTTAAGATATATTTAAACTGTAGAATAAATGCAGAATGCTCGAGTAGCAGGCTATATACACTTGAGTTAATTTTCTCACCTGGCACTTGACTAGCATGTCAAAGAAGACATCGTCCCCTTGGGGCTTCTCAGCAGTTGCCTCGAGGCGACTGTACAGGGACTGTGTGTGAGGCGTATCTGTGCTGCAGATCGGTGCTGGAAGAAGAAATTGGCATTAGCAACAAAGTAAGTGGCGATCCTGTTGGAAGTCAAAAAAAAAACCCTGTCAATATGGCGCTACCTTGTGGCGGGGCTTGATTTGTGCTGGAGGTGGAGGGTGTACAAGGCAGGTTGTAGGTGCTGAGTCGTAAGCCAGGAAAATGGCTCTGGCTGACTCGTTGGTCGTCCAGACGACGGGCCTGGGAGCTGTCCAGCAGCTCCAGGAAATGACCAGGATCCTGCAATGGTGTTTCGGACCCCAACGTGGCTAGAAACATATGGTACGATTATGTGGGTGTGATTTGCAACAACTGATGAAGGGTGCGTTACAATTCTGCCTTTTTTGGGCTTTACACAAGAAAAATGACCACAGAAGAGTTTCAGAGGGATGACATGCCAGCCAAAATGAATGTTAAGAATCACACTCCCCATCAACTAGCTTGTAACAATGACCTTTGCTTCATGACCATTACAAAAGGAGTGCAACAATAGGCTTGTTCGCCTGGAAAGTGGACGAGAGCAGGCGATCAAGTTGGAATAAACAGCAAGTCAAAGAAACTTAAATCCCATTTGAGCCGACCTGAAGGCCATTTGCATTTTAAATCATACCGGTTTGATTAATACAGTACCAGTCAAAAGTTTGAGAAAATGTGTCCAAACGTTGGACACATGCTGTATATCTGTGGAAATGTACATATATCTTTTTTTTCTGCCTGTAAAATACTTTGCTGCTCACTTTGCTAAATGTTTTTAATATTTTATCTAATACATTTAGATTAAAATTGACTTACTGTTATTGCTAAACAAGAAAAAAAACATTTTGAATGAACCATTACAATTCCACAGAAGAAAAAAATATTTTTTGTCAAATCTAAGAGCCAATCAGCTGTCTGATCTGGCAACAGTCAAGTGTTTCCCAGCATGCCCTAGGCCATGCACTGCGGCGGTCTGTTCTCTTAAGGTTATTGTTAAACATGTGTTTATGGCATCAGAGGAGGTCATAATCAAGTCGGACACAAATGTAACCAGCATGCACTGTGCTCCTGGTTCCTCTCGAAACGAGCCCCACTGACTATTTGGGGAAAAAAAGAAAGGAAAGGTCCATTAAAGCTGCTTCCCTCTTTGAAGACACCACACACGTTTTACAATTCACTTCATGGGAAGAAACAGTGAGTGGTTTGTATTCAAATCACAGATTTTGGGTGGCTTATTACTTGGAGTCATCTTTGACACAAAAAACACAAAAGGATTGCACAACATGTACTATGTAAAGGAAACATGCTGCATTCACACCATAAGTGACTTGTCACCAGGGCAGGTTCCAAACAGGATTGTTAAATGGCTCGTCTTCAATAAAGAACAAACTTGTAGCCTCATAAGAAAATAAGTACAAATGTCTTGTAGCATTAAATATGGTGTGAACACAAGGGGCTGACTCACATTTCCTGTCAGCTACAGGTGGGGATGAGGAGGGAGAGGAATGAGCAGTGAGATGGCTCTGGCCATCCATTAGGGAGCACCTTTGGTCGTCCATTCTGTTGCCCTGGAAACGAGAGAGGAGGTCGAAAAAGCCGTCCTCTGCAATAGTGTCCCGTGATCCAAGCTAAAGTGTTAGACAAAACAAATAGACTTGTTGACATTAGAACAAGGCTTCAGATTATTAATTCTAAACTAGCCAGGTGGCGGGCATTTATTGAAAACAATCAAATTCAGGAATGAAAGGGTTAACTTCATGAACCTACTGACTCACGTCAAAATCCTGTTTAAAGAGGCAACCAACTTGAAAAATGTTAATTCAATTTTCTAACATTGTAGAAAATACAAAAGAAAATTGCCCTAATTATTGATCAAACCAGATTGTATCTGTGCATTCCTCCTACATTCTCAGTGCTGTAATCCTTGTGGGAAGATTGTTGAGTTCTTTTTTTTTTTTTTTTTTTAAAGTGTAGAACGTCAGACTTTAATAGTTATCATTTTGCAAAACAGGCTTGCACTACAAAATTCAATGTGTGGGCTGTATGCTACACAAGAGGATACTTTGATAACCATGGTTTCCTGTATAGTTGTAATATACAAGTTTATACTTTGGTATTTATGATGAAAAAACGCATAAATAGTGTTTGAACACAGGACGGGACTTTTAAAACACCACTGGAAGGTTTGACACAAAAAGGTATTTTCATTAACTATGAATTTAATCACCTTAGCTTTTTTTCTATAAATTGTTGACTGATGTTTTGGTACATATTAGTCAGAAAGTTTTCCTCACACGGTTTGTGGGGAAAACATTTAGTGCGTTTAGAAGTACCTGAGGAGACCCTGGTGCTTCCAGCTTAGGAGCCGAGTGCTCAGTACACTTTTCATGCTGATCTTTAGGAGACGATTTGGGGTTCTTCTGCTTTTTGCTTTTCAGCCGATGGAAGAGGAAGAGCTTTGGAGAAGACTTGATAGTGTTGTTTTTTGAGGAGCCAGGAAATACGTCTTCTTCCCAGTCCTGTACATCCAAAGTGAGATTGAATTTTAATTGAACATCACAGGCAGATTCATGTCTGAGGTTCAACCCACTACGAGTTGTGAGAACGGGATCTCGGGGAAAATGACTAAGAATTTTACATGACAAAGAACAAAAGCTCTCCTGTTGGCCCACATGTTCCAGGCTGACTTCATTAATCTATTGCTAAACACCACATTCAGCAAAATTGCACCCTCCACTTTAGTGCACAACAGCAGGTAAATTTGTAATTTCTATATTTCTTCTACATTTAAAGTTCCTTGAAGAGTAATTTCATACATACTGGATGTGCAGATGAATTCCCAGTTTGATTTGTGTCAGGACATCGATTCTTTTCCAGGTTCTCTGCACAGCCTCCTACCCTTACTGAAGGCTTGACCCCTGGAGAAAAAAAAGAAACAACAAACACAAAAGTTCAACAGCTTGACCACTTAACATTTGTACAGTACACATGCAAGGGCATCCATGACGCTATGTATAGGTCAAAAATCCCACCGAATATCGTAAACAAAGACTGACAATAAAAAGGTTACCAGTTTCTGTCAATCATGGCTCGTAGAACACCGATTCAATTGTAATGGCACATTACCCGAGAATGAATTTGGAGGGAAGCCAGCGGGCAGAGAAGAGCTATTCGTGTTGGCGTTGCGGAAGCTGTTGGAATGAAAGCTGGACTTGAGGCCTACGACCACCCGTAGGTCAGACAGGTTCATCCTGGCTGTCTCCTCGGCACTTCGGTCTCCAGTCTGAATCATCAAAGCCAACGTAAGCATTCAACCACAAAACAAATAAAGAATTACATAACAAGAGTTTATTCACCATTTGTCCCTAAAAAGATCCTTGGAATACACACGCTTTTTACGGAAAATATATGATTCCCTGCTTTTCACCAGGCAACCCCTAGAGGGGGGTGTGGCCTGATTGCAGCTACTGATTGCACCCTGAGGGAGTAGGTAAACCGTAAACAGTCACCTCTTTGGCAATTTCTAGATGCTTCTCTGCAAAGTACATGGCTTGCTGATGATTCCCCAGGGCGGTGTGGGCATTTCCTAGACTCCAGTATGCTCGTCCTTCGCCGACTCTGCAGCGAGACAGAGAGGGAAACCGGCTCATCAACTTCAGTTGAGATTGCGCAATATGGGGCAGGGCATATAATACAACTTTTCTGCAGTACAAAAACCTGAGTAGATGCAGGTGGAAAGACCACATTTTAAGAAAATGAAATCTCACTTACAGGCACATTTTACGGAGGGTGCAAACATACGGAATATGCACGTTTCTACTTAAGGAAAGAATAAAAGGGACATTACAAAACCAATAATCACAGAATTGAAACGACTCCCCATATTACATTTATACATTTTACAGAGCGTAAATGACAAAGTAGCTGTACAAGTTTATATTACCAGAAATATTTTTTCTTTTTTTCCTCAGAAGATAGAGGTATTCCCAACATAAGAATAACAACATTGCTTTGTTAGCGGGGTGTAAAAGAGAAAATATCTATACACACTGACCTCATCTGTATGGTGAAGAAAAAAAAAAAAACGTTCAACTGAGTTTCCATAAGGACACATTTTTTGATAGGAATAGTACTAGTAGTAGTTAGTTCATGAGAAGCCAATTTGACATAATCTAGAAAAGAGTAAAGCTTTTAAAAAAAAAAAAATCCCTTGCATCTTTTTTGGTAACTCATTTCTGTGTGACTTTCTCTGCTTTTCGGTGTGCTGCAGCTTAACTGTTCCTTCGTGGCTGTTGGCAGTAACAACCAACTTTTGGCCAGTTCAGAGGCCACCCACATTCAAACTGTACATTTGCATTATACTTCAAAGGCAGTTTGGCAGAACGCAAACAACAACTGTCTTTTATTGCCAATACCTGTCATTGAGGTCCTGAGCAATGACCAGATGTTTGAGGTGGTAGTCAATGGCTCTCTCATAGTCCTGCAGTAGTGTGTAGGTGTTGCCCAGACTGTAACAGGCCTGGGCCTCCACAGCTTTGTCCTTCAAAAGCCTGGCCAGCTGCAGAGTCCTCCTGAGGGCGAAACCGAAGAGGAGGAAAGCTGTCAAAAGAATTTCTAGGGTGGGGCAGGAGAATGATAGTTATCTGCTACTTTCTTTGTGCAATTTTCCAAAGTATTCTATAAATCGAGAAAATATTGGATTAAAACATGGGAATGGCATCAACTGCAGCCTCTGAACAACTCCATGTGTGTACACGTCTGTGGTGATTATAAATCCCTGAATTGTAGATGGGCAAACAGGGGAAACACTGAATCAACCTGCCAGTGATTCATTTCCAGTATTTGTCTGCAACTTCCATTGTGAAGATGCATTTTATTTTTTCACCTTTACTCTTCATTTTTGTTTTTATACGAGACTCATTTTCTCATTGAATGGGAAAATGTGTCCAAACATTTGAGTAGTACTGTACATGCTGAATAGAAGGACAGAAAATAATAAAAACAAAAAGCCTTTCAGGACCAGGACTTTACTCGAATTAAGCATGTTGCAGACATTACAGCAAGACATAGAGACATTTGCCAAAGACCACCATGATGCGAGAAAGGCCTTCAGCCTCCTTTACTCACTTGTAATGACCAGCCGCCACTTCAAACTGGCTGAGGAATATGTGAGCATTGCCAAGGTTACAGTGGGCTCTCCTCTCAGCAGACTTATCCCCAAACTCTTTGGCGATGAGCAGCCGCTGCCAAAAAACAGTGCATGTTACTCAGATTACAAGTAAACATGGACAAAATCAAGACGGACACTTCGTTCACAATCCTAACATGGAAGGAAACAAAAAGGTGTGTGGATCAGAACGTCTACTTCCTCTTAATAACAGTGTGTAGCATGTTGTGGGATTCATTATCAGAAAGGGAGTATAATAAACAATTCATTATCGCTCCGCCGCGTGCGTCTCCTTTGCTCCCTCAGAGGCTGAACTCCTCCAAACACACCCAGACCCACCTACAAACCCCCATAGGTTTCTTCCTGTAAACCTGTTTGCCGGCTGAGATAAAGCCTGCCAGCAGAAGCCGTAGGCAGAGGGAGGAATGCCTGATACAATCAGATATCAGTGTTCTTCGTTATTGACGGTCATCATTTCCAGTTCCAATCAGGAACAATATTTGTTTGACATTTTAGATGCGTTTTCAGTTATTTTAATGGCTTTTGTCATGGACTTTGCTGTAAACATATTCAAAAATAAAATCAAAAAATCGTAAATGACAAGTGTATATTTTGTTTTGGAAATGTGACATGTTTTTAAAAGCAGTGATTTAGTCATGAAGAACAAAGGTATTGATAAAATCAGTAATACAAGTCCTAGAGATACTTTTCCTTATCTGAATGCCTCCCTAGTTCTTTGACACGCTTTGGAAAATTATATTGCTTGCAATCCTCAACACTAAATGCTAGAAGTAATTGTCACATTATCAACTAACATAACTTGCCTTTAAAAATACAAGAAATTAAGCATATTTAAAGCTGGTGATGTGCAGAAGACACTGACGCACACGTTTGCTACCTACCTTTTCGTGTGCAGCTGCAGCATCTTCAAAGTCCCCCAGAAGATAGTAAGTGTTGCCAAGGTTACCATGGGTACGACCTTGGGCTGCTCGATCGCCGAGGTCCTTCACCAAGCACAGGTTTGCCCTTTATAGAAAGATAACATCAAAGAAACACATTCAGGCTTTTTTCACAAAAAACTAAAAAACATTTGGGATACCAACTTACTCGTAGTACTGTGCAGCTTTCCTCAGAGCAATCTTGGCCTCCTCCGGGAACTCTCCTGGCTCGGCTCCACTCCAGCAGATGCTCTTGCCATTGGCGTGGTAAACGTTTCCGAAATTATATAGCGCTCGAGCCTGCCCAACCTACAGCACGCACACCAAACGGAAACAGGAGTGACCAGGGCAATAATTATATACTTAAAATACACTGACACCAGACATGCTTGTGTTTGCACGCGGGCTGGCAAACTATTCTAGAAGTTGCTGCGCCGACGCCTCGCCGTCATCGCGCATGCAAAAACTATTCTGTAGCTGCTGAGCGAGTCATGCGGTATTGATTGGAAACGATTTCTGATCCAGTCATTCTAAATCAAAGCAAATGGGCCTTTTAGCCATTGACTGAACTTTTCAATCAATCATTCATCCATCGTTCATTAAGAGAACGAGGCTAAAGAGAACTATTTTAGCTTCAACCAAGTAACTTCCTCATTGTAGTTTTACTGACCCACCTTGTCATACGTGGCTCTGGTGATATCCAAATGTCTTTGGCAACAAACTACTGCTTCATCGTACCGTCCTAATAGCTTCAATGTGTTCCCAAGATTGCCACTGGCTTTCGCCTCACCAGGTTCATCTCCAATTGTTCTAGGAGTTCAAACGAGAATTAAAAAAAATAAAGACTGGAAGATTAATGAATTACTGAAATGTACAAGTCGAGACAGGCGAGAAAGTAATTTACACTTGCAAGCAGTGGAGATCAGAACTAATGACCTGTAATGTAACTACAGAACCGTACATTCCCCTCTGTAAAACCATTATGCACACGGTCGAATATTAGAAATTAGCAGGAAACCCAGGTATTTCTCAAGGTGATACAATCCATATGAAAAAAAGTCCGAAAAGGAGGATATGGATTTAAAACAATTATTAAGGATGTGAGAGGCTTTACCTCGTAAGTGTGAGGTCATGGCGGTGGTACTCCAGGGCTTTGTGGTACTCTTGAAGGTGAAAGTAGGCATTTCCCAGCTGGCTGTAGATGGCACTAAGTATCTGAAGGTCCTCTGTTCCAACCTGGATGGCAGACTCAAAGAAGGACACACCGGCACGATAGTCACCAGACTTACAGAGCCGCTCCCCTTCCAGAGCCAGGTCCAGACACGAGTTCTCCATCCTGCAAGAAGAGGCCTTTCTGTGAGATGCAAATGGGAACTATATGAACTTTTTTATCCCCCAACTTCACTGTAGTCCACCCAGACGGCTCGCCACATTCATCACTTTGAACGTAGAGAAAAATATGGGCCAAAAAAGTTTGAATACCATTATCAATTCTAATGTCAAAATGAACTAGACTTCTTGAAAAAGGTTCTTCACCAAAGATCATATTCAGTACGGATTAACCTGCCACTTGTTTTGAGGTAATGAACAAAATGTACTATTGTAAGACAGACAATAATCACATTCCAGAAGCTGAAACTAGAGTGTTGACCATTGGCGCTTGGACCAAATTTAACTTCAAAAAAGTTTGAAAAGAATGAAATACTCTTAAGCTCGGGATGCTCAAGAACAGCACAGCCACAATTCTTTCTCGTAGCATCTCTCCAGCTTAATATAATGGGAGATAAGGAGCTGAAACTTTTACAAAGGACATAGCTGCAATAACCATCTTTCAATTACAATTAAAAATGTACATGCATGGACCTTCGCTGCTGTCGCACGAGTGGTTCCAAGAAATCATCCCTACATGAACATTTGATACTTCATCACATAGAGAGATTACCGCAGTCTGAAACAAAAAGGGCTGAAATTATAAACCATTATTTTAATTATCAGTTTACGTTTACTCAATAAAATAAGTATAAAATTGTTTGATTTGTGTCATCAACAGTCGAGACCTCACAGATATTCAATAATACTGTACATGACATTAATGATTACATCGACATCAACAAGAAAGTCCTCAACCCTCTCAATAGAATTAATAATAGATATCCTGACTGTTTGGCGACTCGGTCTGGGATGATGATGACTACTACTCTCCACACCCTTCCTAAAAAAACAAGGTCATCCGTTTCCAGCAACATCAAACTGCCAGTATAAAAAAAATAAACAGAGACAGGATTATATCATAAAGTTGTAAAACAAACAGTCATGCATGGGTGCACAGGACTTCCAGCGTTCATTTGAAGGATGCAGTCTCAAGAGGCCGGTCTACAAGCGGTAAGCATACAGAGATAAAATAAACTAAGAAACATTTTTAGATATAATTAATTAATAATTAAGATTTAAATATAAATAATTGGCAGAATTGGGTTTAAGTTTAAAAGGAAGAGGTACATCATTCGACAAACAGGGCTTAGACATGGCTCTCCTTTCAAGTTGACTTTGGAGCCCCCGTGATGGGGACAAAACGAGGGCTCCAAGTCAGACAGGACGTCCTGCCTGTCCGTCTCCTGACCCACCAGCAAAATGCTTCAGGAAATCAATGGTCACTGCCGGGGTTCAGGGCTACCGCTCCAAACCAACACGACAGACTACGTTGAATCTCCTGCACGGCTCCTTTATTTATCATCCTGTCCACTCAATGTATTAATGAACTATTTCTGGATTCAATATTAGTCACACATTTGAGTTTAATGTTACTGCTTGTTTAATTGTAGCATCATTCCTACTCACCAGTATAAACTGTAATACTTGCGAAAAGTTTTTTTTAAATATGTTTTCTATGATAGTTTTCCGTGCCATGTTGTAACAATTGGGCCTAATCAACCAATTTGTATGATTAAAAAAAAAGCTATAACATAGACGCATGAACTTTTCATTGTCTGGATTAGCGTGCTCCCTGACGTCTAACGCTCGGTGCCCACGTACCTGTTGCCTCTTCCCATTCTGATGCACCGAAGACAGTTTGACACGACGGACATTTCACGGTTCCCGATCACTCCCTCGGGCGAACACGGCTCCCTCAGCACGACACAGTTGACCTTGTCTTCCCTCACGTGCACACACATAACGCACACGGCCACTGTGTCCTAATTTCATTTAAATAAAAGAAAACACGGCTCCCGTGGATCTGCCGCCCTCCTTCAGAGCCGTCTGCTAACCCGGAGCAACACAAAAAGGACTTAATCCGCTCAGCGTCCACATTAACCTTAAAAGGTCAGGAGCAGGGGCTGGAAACCTTTTGTTTAAGCGAGCGCAGATTAACACCAGATTTTTACCAAGCGGAAAACTACAACAGGAGGATGCTTTAGCTGATTAGCGTACTTGTCCATGAGATAGCCACTGCTAACTTGCTATCTAAGCCACCTGATGGCCTGTGTCAGGTCCAATTAGGCCGGATCTAAGGGGTAATTATAGACACTTTAAGTGGCCCCAGTGAACCCTAAGGCTATTTGCTCGACACGCCAAGAAATAATCATTCCACGGCGGGAAGCACGGATGGATATTTTACTGCAGATCAGTCTGCTGAAAATAATGTTACATGAATTTAAATGAGATGCATTACTTGTTGTTGAATTTCTAAATTCTCAATGACTTGCACCAAAGGCCAACAATCCCTCCAAAGCTTCCAGTAACTCACCACCAATGTGCCCTCTAGGGGAAGAAACAACATGGCGCCCAAGCGCTGGAAAACTCGGGTCCCTATTTAAGCTGCCAAAAACTACATTTTAAGACACATCATGATAGCATTATTATTTACCTCAGCCCAATTAAAGCCACATTACAAATGACTTACTACAAAATAGTACGGAATGACCTTGAAACATCGTTGAACCTCTGTTGACAGCTGGATCAAATCGAGCGGATGTACGGATCGGGTGCCGACAGACCGGTTGTTGTTGTTGTTGTTGTTGTTCCCATGTAGCTTTAGTTAACTGATAAATGATACAATTATGCGTTAAAGGATTGCTGCATTGACTTGCCTACCTGCTGTTGTGGAATATTTCAATAAAACTAGTTCGGGAGAAGAGAATGATTTGTGATTTGAGTCTTGATGAATGATCAAAGTTGTAAAAGTCAATTTATTGCTTGCAAGCAGGAGGTCAAATGCACAAGCACGTATTACAGTGCTCTGTGGAGATGGCGTCTACGAGCAGTCAAAACGCCGAGCTTTTATACACAGACTAAGGTCATCTTCAGTGGCAGGTGGCCCGCAGCGGCGCCGGATCCGAACCACTAGACCATATAGAGAGATGGCAGATATAAAACTTGCGAACCAAGTGAGATATGGAACTAGGTTATGCAACTTGCATCGATACATGTTGAACCAGATTATGGCCCTTAGAAAGCAGGTGAGACACCTCGAGTGAAAGATGTACACCTTTTCCGAGCCTTTGTTTGCAAGCAGGTTGACTCGCTCTCCTTTCTTCAGACACGGCTGCAAATAGAATTATGCTTTCCACATGTTAAACTTCAATACAGATAATTATCACTCCTTTAGCATAAGACTATGTTAGAACATAGTTTACCATTTGACTGCAAATCCCTGAGCCAGCATGAAATCGAATAATCAAGATGAAATTGAGAACTCAGAGCACCCGTAAAGCAACTGGACTCCTGTGCCGTTAAAACTAGACGAGCAGGTATCTGGTAATCGGATTGCTTTCAGCAGCGGGCACCGATGAGCCTGCAGGTTATTGACACAGAGAGGAATTCAGCTTGAGGGAAAATGTGGCGGTGGCCGCCGACTTGACACGGCTTGCGTGTATGACTAACATTACAAAGGGTGATGCAACATATCGGCTACAATACGACAACAACAAGGCCTGCAATCGGCCGCATATTCTCACAACTGTTTGTCAGAACATGAAATATTTAAATGAGGGTAAGTAAGGACCTCCTGTGGTCGGATCTGCACCCTTCATCGGTTTGCAATAAGGAGTCATGTTACGGCCACGTGAAAACATCTATAAGCACGAACACAAATCTGTAAATATATCTGAACGAATTAACAGACAGATGAGTGATTATTATGAAGTCATTATTACGCATAAACAAAATAAAGTAATACTTTTTAAAATCCATTCCATGATTATTCAAAACTCACTAAACTGCCATTATTCGTGCCATTAGAATTGATTATCAAAATAGTTTCCAAATTCTTTTTACAGATTGACTAAATGATGAATTGACTATTAGTTTCAGCTCCAGTCCATATAGAATATTATCAGGTAACACAATAATTAAAGATAAACCATTCAAGCTTTTTATCCCAGTTTGAAGCACATGAATATATGCAACTTTCTTACATATAATATCGAGCTGGATATTTGAAAAATATCACTTTGCAAAATCTTACGGTCAAAAAAGAACATAAATGAGGGTTACAGTTAATTTGACACTAAATACGCAGCATACCTCTGGCGGACGTGAAGTAAATGCTCCCTGTCCTGCAAATAGCGCACAGAAAGGCCGCCATACATGACCGTCAGCCAGGAGGTCCCAACCAGAGCCGGACTCAACCACATAACGGATCCCTCGCAACTGTCGAGCTACTGGCGGCATGAAAAAAAAAACCTTGAGATTGACAAGCAGTTGTCTTCCAGGAAGGCTGAATAGTGTCGAGCGTGGTTTGCAAAAGACAGCGCAGGACTTCAGCAGTCAGACACAATACGATCGTTGTCACGCCGCTTATCGTGAAACTAGAGCTGGGAAGCAGAAGATAACGCTCACTGAACACCTGAAACATCTCGTTTCATTTATTCAACAGAGCCCAGTCACTGCGAGGAGGCAGATGGAAAAGCACTTGGATAAATGACGCGCTGTGGTTTAAATTTAGATTTAAACATTTTTTGAAGACCCAATTACTGTAGAAAGTGATTACAAAAAAAACAATCATTAGTTGGAGCCCTTGTCAAGTCACAGCCTATAAAGAGGCAGCACTGGCACATTGCCCCTCATGTTTAAGATATTTTTAGATATATAAATAAAGTAAAACAAGCAAACTTTGTGTCGAATAGAACATACATTTTGCTTTAGGGGGAGCTTCCTGTGACCGATTTGCAGCCTCCACTACCAAAAAAAAATCCATCCATCCAAAAATCCATGTTTCTAATAGGGCTCTTTTTTATCATTAAGGTCGACAAGAGCACATGGCAAACACAGCAGACTTATTGAATGAACTGGTGACTAAATGGCTCAAATTTTCAGAATACAAAAAGCAGCAGAAGTTTGGATTAAAAAGTGACCAACGCAGAGCCTCCTGTTCCTTCCGTCATCAGCGCAATCAGCTCATGAGGCTCAGCTGTGCGGCGTGGTTCTCGTTTTACTGGACGCCGTGTTGGTTTGTAGTCCTCGTTGGATCAACGGGGATGGAATGTTCCTACATTGAGTTTGTGACATCATCCATTTGAGAAATCATTGGCTACAACGGAGAATTCTAGAGATTATTCTCCATTTCACCTGACACCGCCCGTTACTGCACAGAGATAATCTACTGCACATAACCAGATGCTACGGAAGACACCAAATTCATATTCGCACCACTATGGTCTGCTGCAGAGACGGCTCAATGGATAGAAGACAACCAGAGAAACGTCTCTACAAAGTATATCACCTGAAAAGGGATCTTCCTCGTGCTAAAGACGAGATCCGAAGTCCGACAATGCAGCTCAGCGACCTGGAGGAATTTAAGAAACCCTGATTGAAAAGGAAGAGTTTTTGCAACAGCTGAAAATAGAAGACAGCCAAAAGACCAATCAGCAAACACGAAGTATGATGTTCCAGAGCAGAAGTTCAAAAACGGCGAAGAGCAAAATATATTAGTGGTTGCCGGTCATCTGAGGACAGAGTGTGCATATTTGTGTGTGTGGGAGATTAACAGGTCAATATGGAAACATGCTGTGGACCGACACAAGTTGGGGCCAGATGTGACACAGTTGAGCCGAGCGTCCAATCCTGATCTTGATATTTGAACATTATAGAGGCCAGAAGAACATGAGATTCGCAAATCATGCGCTTATTGTTTTGAGCTTTTCTTTAGCTGTCCTGGTGTTGTTTTCCTTCAGAGTGGCTTGAATGAGTCCTTTATCCTATGACATCATTTGCTGACTGACGCATTTTTCAGGCTGAATGCGGCACTTTGTTGAATCATCCTGTAACCTCCAGACGACGTAACGTGCGCAAACACCCCGCAGGTGCAGCACTTTCGGATGCATCATCCACAACGTCTGTGAGAAACACACTGTGGTCAAAAGTCACCCCGCCCTTTGTAATGTCTTTCAAATGATAACGTGACTATTTGACCGGCCCCCATGTTTCCTGTGTAGTTTGAAATGGGGTTTTTAGTTCGCTCTCAGGGTAAAGTAAGGTGTCATGTGCCGGCATATGGTTAAAAAAAAAAAAAAAGGCAGTGTCAAACTGCCGATTGCACTGAAAAAAAATTCAAAATAAGAAAGAAATGTCAACAACACTTGAAGCCATGAAGCATTGTGCAATAGCTTCTCCAAAAATCAAGAAACACTGAAGGACCAATTTAGCAACAAAGAAAGGAACTGAGATCTTTCTTTGTGTGGCAAGACTATTGCCAGTCACAAGTTCATTTGGAAGTTTAAATCTTCATTAACAGGAAGAATCCAACCTAGAGTGTGCAGGCCAGCCATAGGAGTCACGTTCTGTTTGGTACTCCACTCATTTTGCAAATGGTCAAGTACAATTCAGTGTCTGTCCAGCTACCACTTTATGAAAGCTGTTCCTATGACTTTCTTTAGCAGGAGATTTTCTCGTCACTTGAGTGGAAAGCATCAGTTGAAAAGCAGTGCAGGTAAAACAAAAACAAAAAAAACTTGTTGGATGCTCCGTTTCACTAGGAAAATACCCAAACGACCCCTGTCCAATTAAGGGATGCTCTCTGGAGTGCAAAACATATTTTATTTTGAAGAAAAAGTTAAATGTAAAAAAAAAAATCCTGAAGGCTGTATTCTAATAACATCCTTTGGAGAATAACGTGCTTGATCAATAAATGAAAGCTGGATATACACATATGAATACAAAAGTACTGACAAGCTACATGGTCACTTTAATGAGAATATATTTAATAAGGTTTGGTCTTCGTTCCGTTTCTTGGTTACAGGAAATATACGGACTTGCACACTAGTCGTGCCCCATGGTGATACATCCTGTGCGACCGTTTAAAGAAAACGTTACACCGGGAAGCCAAAATGAGTCAGAACATGTCATCACATGCTCTCCAGACCCGTCACACGGCAGACAGACAGGTTAACGTCACCGAACCACGGCGGGGAGACGTCTCAGTCCGTTAGTACAACTATGCGAGCCGGTGAGGACGTAGAGAAAGGCCACGCGGTGAGTAAAGCGAGTTTACGCTCTGCGCTTTAACCGCAACATGACTGACACCACACACGAAAACAAACACACACACACACACACACACACACACACACACACACACACACACACACACACACACACACACACACACACACACAAAAACAAAACAAACAGATAAAAGTTTTCAGTTTTTTCCCTTAACGTGAACTTAACGTTACCTCAAGTTGAAGTACGCGAATACTCCACAAACATGCCCTCCGCTTGGGCGAATACTTCCACCGGGGGCGCCGCGGTGTTTAAAGCGCTCGCTGCCTCCGCACTCCGCAGCCTCGCGACGCAGACGTTGAACAAGCCCCTCCTCGCGCGGAGATCTGCCTCCAATTAGCGGTCCGCGTTTGCTGCCTTCACGGTCCGTTGGAAATGTTGGCATCACGGGTAGAACAGAATTTTAGGTCTGCCCTGCCCCCTGTCGCACACAGTGGTTGCGTGTTTCCGTACTAACATATAGGTTACAGGTCAAATGTTTAATATATTTACAAATATGTTTTTATATTCTAAACGTCATGTTCATTTATTGTAAATCCTCCTGCTTACTCCTTACTTACTTACTCCTCATTACTGTTAATTTGTATTATTAATTTAATCAATGTTTTTTTGCCAGTCTGGGGCTATGTAAAAAAACTGTGTATTATCTCGTCAGGAGTTTTGGATAAAAGTGTGGATTTGTGAATGGATTGTGAACAACAGTGCCACAGCCTTTACCTTTGTTTCGAAGTCTTTTTCACTCTTGTTTCGATGCACCTTTTCCTCTTTGTTCAAACTGTGTTCGATGCTGTTCCCAAAAGATTTTCCACTGTCCTTTAAATGAAGATGAACCGCTGCTTCTTGACCTGTGGGCTTTGTTCAATCGTGGCTGTTTCCTGTCCTGTTGTACAGGTCTCATATCTGTATTTGTCTTCGCCTTGGACTTAACTTTGTTTGACCTGTCCGCTGAGTTTTTAGAAGACAAGTTTCAGTAAAACACTGGGATGCTTTGTTCACTGGAGATCAGTCTGAGTGAAACTCCAGCTACTTTTGGGATGACTTATCGCATGTCCGCTGATTCTTTCATTTCATTTGTGTCCCTGTGCTCCTTCCAATAGCTCTTGCTTCTGTGTAAAAACTCATTTTCTCTGTGATATATTTTTCTTCATGGCCTAGAAATACGTTTGCATTCCCTCAAAATATTATTGCACCCCTTCACTGTCCCTACTACATTTTGCTTGTCCCATAGGAATTGTGGGAGCCAATTTTAGTCTGCTTTCTTACTGCGTGAAAGAAAAGAAAAACCAGGTGCAGCAGTGGCCCTTTGATTCAAAGATTTGTTGGTACCAAGGACAAATGGCCACTACAGGAATCTTTGCATTCATTAATTACTATTAATGCCTAATTGTGGTGTTCCCGTAAAATGTAAAACCAAAATGTTTTAGTTCTGACACTAAATAAAGTGAAATAATGAAACACAATTCAATGATGTTTTTAAAAGTCTGTTAATGTTTTTGAATTGTTCATCAAGCAGTTGATAGAAGATACAATGATTTATTAAAATAGTCTTGAATAAGCCATTTTCAAATACAAATGGTTTTAGCCTTGGCTAGCTTCCGGAGCGGTATTTCAGCAGCAGCTCTGAATGTAATTTCAGAACCAATGAAAATAGATGGTATTCCCCTCATTAGCACAAATTACTACAAGCCTCCAGTGACACGCGGCGGAGCGGCATAACCGTCCACCCACGCGCTAGCTAAACGGTGGTGTATCGAGCTGGACCAGGGCAGGAGCGGAAAGGAGAAGGCCCACTGGGGAAATCAGACAGGAAGGTGGGCTCATGAGTCGCTGAAGTCTCCGTCAAGGCCTGCCGTTTTTTGCGGTCTCGCCTTTGGTAGCGGAAGTTAAAGGGTGGTCGCAGCGCTACGGGGCCCCCCATCTCCTCAGAGGATGAAGAAAACGGATCAGCCCCCGGGGGCCGCTGTTGCTGGTTTACCAGATCTTCTGCAGACTCACTGGAAGATGAGGCGAGGGGGTTGGAGGAATTGGGGGGGTCAAACGGCACAGGGTCAAATGGCACGGGGATAACAGGGGTGGGGTCAAACAGCTCTGGGTGAACAGCGGGGAGCAGCGTGGGGTCATAGGGGACAGGCAGAGGATCAGTCATCGGTTCGTCGATCAGACGGGGGGAGGTCGGGATCGCGGGGTCCCGGGGGAAGTCGTGACCTTGAGGATCCACTGGTCTGAAGATGTCCACGTTCTGTAGACGAAGAGAGGAGGTCACGCTAAAAGGGGTATTTGACAAAGTCACTCGCAGTGTTGTGCTGCAAAGCGAGCCTCAGTCATGGCATATTACATTACACACCACAGCTCTACAAAGGCGGGAGAAGACGACATAATTACAGCATAGAACCATCCAATTTGAAATCTCACACATCAGTTTAAACACACAAAAGCACAGCATACGTTTAAAGACACAACACTAGATATGACAGAATAATTATATAGCCAGTGGCAATCATTCAGAAAGAATTTTAAAAGTTGCTTTCATAAATCCTGAAACAAAACAGCATAAAACATTCATCAAATCTTGCCGGGGCACTGGGCTATTATGTTTCTGACTGCAGTCCCACACAGTGAAGTGACTGGCACTTATAATACATATAATACATTTTGCTGAATTTTTCCACTCGACTGATTCACGTCCTTTAATGCATTTGAATGTTCTGTTTCTTTTTTTGGGCTGTACAATAACTGTTAAACCGCTCTGCTCCTCTTTTCCTATTTATTTAATTTTCTGTCAGAGAGACTCAAAATTATTTTATTTAGTAGTCTTTGTAGTCTGATAGTAGTCAGATTTCACATCAGGTCAGAGTATCCCCAGGAATCTGATTCACCATGTTGTTTCTTTTAAGAAAGAACATTCGGGCTCAGAAAGCTGGAGAAATATGTGAGCAACAAGCAGATGGAGGACGGAGTTTCAATTGTTTTACGTTCTCATCTCCATTTTGGATATATTGCTCGAATTGTTCTAACTGTGAGAAATAACTGTTGTTGTGTATTCATGTATTGGTCATAGTTCTGGCCATAATGCAACCAACAACAAGGCCAATGAGTAACCAATTCTTAGGTTTCTGATTTGATAAATATGTCTAACATCTTCCAGTACCTGCGCTTTGAACATCTCACAAGACACCTGGACATCAGGATTTACTTTCAAGTCTCCGTGCACAGATCCTGCGCAAAAACCTGCAGTCTGAGAGAAAAAGAAAGCGATGGAGCAGAGAATAATAACAACATAATGAATTAGGAAAGGAGGAGTGGTCTGTCAGGGCTTGTTTGAAAAATTATCAATAACTGAAGCCTTTCAGTGGTCAAAATAGAAAAATAAGTAATTTCATCAAGTGACACTTCCAGGAGCTGCTTCAGTGATAGAAGACCATATGTTGGCTGATGGATGTCCATTTAAGATTTCTGCACAACATGAATTTGTGTCACAACAGCGTCAGATTGTCAATACAGAAATAATTTTCTTTTATTAATAGAGCACCTCCGGGCAATGCTTTTTTGCTCTTTGAGGAAACATTTCTACGTGTCCAAATATGTGTAGTCTGTTATTTATACTTATTTTCCCAGTGCTGAGTACCTCTGTGTCAGACTCGAGTGTCAGCCGCTGGCAGGTGCCTCTTTCTGTCACTCCCTCTGGACACTCTTGGACAATATACTCCACAAAGCTGGCCTTCACAGGTGCCACCTGAAATATATCAAATAACACGGTAACACGAGTGAAATTATACAAGTAAACAAATGGTATTTGTGCAGTAAAGGCACTCATCTGACACACAGAGGCCCAAAGGTGCGCTGTGGCATCAGATATTTGTGTCATCTCACAAATGTAACACATATTGTTTGGTAATGATATTTATTTTGTCCAATCAGTGTTAACAATTATGTCTCCGTCCATACCTGCGCTGCAGCTCTAGTGATCTTCTTCACTCCGAGCCCAGCACCCACGGGTGACTGTCTCCTGTAGGACGCCAGAGTGACCTGAGCAGCAGTCACAGCCTGTGGGCTCTCCACTGGAAGCAGGGTGGGGCAGGTAGGACAGGTCTGCTGGAGCTTCTCTGGGGGATCTACATGGACCGGAGATGGAGGATATAATATAACATTTGTACTGAAGTAAAACAATAACTTATCTTGTGCACAATATGTTGTGCAGAATAAAACCAGCAGTCAAGTGTTGAGTAGAAGCTGTTAGCAGGAAACATGTTGTTGAACCTCTTTCATATAATTTAGGTGTTTATTCTGATACAACACAATGACAGAAAATATTTACGACGTTGAGATTGCTCACAAATGTAGATATTTGCAGTGTGAGCAGGTAATCCTGTGTAGGCTCTCAAGGCCTTTGTGTAATATAAAAAGACATTTTTGAATACAACTGAGTTTTGGGTAGTAGACATTATCTTATGACCAATATTGAGATCTGTTGTAGGGGAAAAAGCACAGGTGTTGTATCGTGTTTTGCCAATGTTACCTGGGACGAGAGTGCAGTCGTAGCTGTACAGGTAGGAGTATCCTTCTATAGTGTGGAGCATGGTGGTGTTACAGATGCCAGAGATTTGCTTAATTGAATGAAATAGAGAGAAATTCCAGTTATACCAATAAATGCCATTTCCCATGTGACATACCGATTAAAAGTGAGTTTAATTGTGTGTGTGCTCTTATGCTTCCATCTATTTGAGGAAAATACTTTATTACAAGGTTTAAGGCTACCAACGGTCAGCGTAAGGGTTTACATATTTTTCTAAAAATTATCAAAATATTATGTAGGATACAAAGAAATGTGCTTGTATTAAAAGTTAAACCATGCATTCAAGTATTTTTGAGACATTGTGACAGTTGCTGTGTGAATCGGGGGCATTACGTCAGGAAGAGTACTACAGTGGAAGTACAAACATGTGTAAACATGTCTGTGTGCGTGTTTGTCCTACTGTTTCCATGAATGGTCTGACGTCACAGCGTTTCCATGGTTTCGGGCTGCGTATGTGACACTTGGTCTCCAGGACATCCAGGTCCATGTAATACACGTTTCCCGCTGGGCCCTGGCAGGCACAATGCAAACACAAGCAATAAGAGAGTGGAGGTACGAACAATATTGCGTGCTCAGAATTTCCAACAGTACTGTTACATGTTCATGTAATGGATGGAAGCATTGTACCCGTTAGTATTTCTTTGTGGCTCAAACGTACTTGGTAAATCCTCTGTGAAGTGCGTACATTGGTTCAGTCACACCTTTAAGGAACCGTTTAGGAGGAGCTCCATATAATTCCCCAGATAACTTTGGACAATATTGATTTAAGCAGTTTTACTGAAAACCAATTTCAACAATTTCGGCAGGTGTAAATGCAGCCTTTTCAG